CGACTTCTGCGCACCGCAGCAATCACCGAGAGCGGCAGGGCCCCTTTTCTAGTCTGTTACCCGAAACACAAACGGGCGCAGCAGATGGCGACTGAGACCAGCGCAGAAGCCAAGGCCCTCTCGCCAGTTTTTTCCATGGATGCTGTCCCTACATATAAACCACAGTAATTATTATTAGATGGAACAGGTATACGTATTATTAATGTGGAGAGAAAGCCTATTTCAAACAGAATGTCAACAAGGACGAGAACAATCGAAGAGCATAAACAAAGCACTTTTCCAAGAGTCCAGAAGTGAGCAAATATCTATACCGTGCCGCCTGGCGTCTTGCCAACAGCGTTTCTCCCCTTTCCGCTTAAAACTGCTGCGACACGCTCAGCCATTGTCTTGTCATGCCACCGCTTTTTCTGTGCTGCCGTCTTTCGCACGGGGCGCACCACTTTCGATGCCTTGGCTTTAACTTAGACCCTAAGGCGATCCATTTCGCGGCACCAGGCCATTACAGTGCCCTTTTTTGATTCAGAGGCGGCACTGTTTGGACGCTGTGTTGAAGAAATGGGATGCCAGCCGTAATTTTTACTTGAGGTGGAAGCGGGTGCCCCTGCCCTCAAGGCCTTCTGCGATGCCTTCTTTTTTTTCATGGGCGAGCGCTGCTCCTCATGCCCGCCTTTCACTCGGGACGGCACGTGCGTCTCCTTCTTCGCTTCTGCTGCTGATTTTTTTGGCGCTGCTGCTGAAGTCCCCAGCTTCGGCCTCTTAGTCTCCAGAGCAACTTGCCCTACAAGTTGCTGCTGAATGTGTGCGATGCCCTTCGCGATATTTCCTGACGAACTGGAGCTACTGCTGCTAGTACTACTAGATGCGTCCACAGTCGAGGATGTGGCTCTGGCGCTCCTGCTACTAGTAAGGTAGCGCCTAGTAGAAGTTCCTGCGTTTAGACCACTACTACTACGGCTACTGCTGCTAAAGAAAGCCCTTCCCGCATCCGACCTGGAAGATGTTGAGGTCGAGCCAGCTGCTTCACTTGTTGCTGATGTTGAGCGTAGGCCCGAGATGTTGAAGCAGGATGTGGCATCGGAGACCTCACTTGCGATTACTCTTGGCGCGCCCATGCTACTAGCAAAGCATGGGCGCTCCCTCTCCCGCGTTCTCTTCATTTTCGTCTTCTAACTTTATCTAAATTCTAACGCAGTACTTCACGCACAGAAGAAGAAACAAATAGCGGGGAATCATACACATTTAAACTATTCACCACTACTAGTAACTAGTGGCGTACTAGTCGCGAGAGTCAGTTGCTACAGCACAGCTTTGCTTTCAGATAACAGAGGAGAACGATCTATCTCCAGCGAGAGGCTAGAGCCAGTCTTTTTACTTACAATTTCAAGAAGCCACCTAGTGCCACATTCACTATGCATCACCAGGCACCCTCTACTTGCGAGAGTGGGCCAGAATTCACGCCATCAGGTAAGGGCACGCAGAAAATTCACATAATGATATACGCAGTCTGTATTTTATAAAAACATCACAGCTCTCACATGACCTTAATTGTCCGCTGTGCATGAATCTGATCCAGCTGCCTGCGTGCGGAAGAAGACGAACCACACAGACGACGAACGGGAACGAGCATTGAAGAATGAGAAAGGAGCTCATGATCTCATATTCGTCTGTATGAAGAAAATGCACAAAAGAGCTACATCAAAATTTTCACGGTAGCGACATCGAAGAGCGATCTGTCTACATCAGGGAAGAAATCACCCAGATTCACGATGATGCAGAGGATCCATCTATATCATCGGATAGTACCTATGAGTAGCGCCGCCGGCAGCATTCACCCCTGTTTCCCGAAGTAAGCCATGATCAGGCTGGCCTCACGTTGTGCCCCGACAGCTTAACGGTCGCGCCGTCACGATCAAAACGCCTATCGAAGCAAATCCGCGCTAAGTGGCTCCAGGTGGGGAAGGGGAAAAAGAAGGGGTTATCAAGATGCAGCGTGTTGCGTATTTATACCTCTTGACTCAAAGGAAGCTGCTCGATAAGCGTGCAACGAACTAAGTACACTACGACTACATACGAGCTCCACTATCATCTCACTGAGCTATTGAAGAGTATCACTTTTTCACAACTTCGTTTCTTCGTTTTGAAAGCGCCACCCAGTTTACATCAGCGATGTAGGCTGTCGCTTTCTCTAGGCTCTTCGGAGCTTTCAGTTGTCGGATTTGCTGGTCGTGCGTTCTCCAGAACATGAACCGGTGGAAAGGATGGTGAAGCCCAGTTTGTCTCCAGGAGAGGCTGAAAAATAAACAATCGAGCGAAGGAGCGATGTCATCTGAGACGCAAGTTGTGAGTGGATCTATAGGCAAAGCGTCTCGATGATGTCTGTCTCTCCGCGTACGGAACCTGCTGGGAGAGTATCTGAAGAGGAATTCCCCTTTCCCGTCCAAAATCAACGACCCCTCAAAAGAAGACGTTGGAAGAGATACGCCGAAAAATATTCTTATGTAGTTGCACCTATGGAAATGGAGGACGACTGAATTTGCATAAGTGTATCTACGTGTATAATGCATAGTATTGTTGTACTCAAGCTCATGTTCCTCGAGAGTAGGGAATAGTAATGATCCTCGTTCTTCCTCGGGACGGCGTCGATCTTGATTGTAGCATTGCAGCCAGACACGAGGCAACAGGCGGGGAGGAGAGAAAATGAAGATAAAGCTACCTGCGTCGAAGCCACCACCTGCGAACAGTCGACATTTGTGATCATCGCGAGGTCTTCGAAAGCCAAAAAGTACGTAGACACCACGTTGGGTTGTGGAGAGACAAGCGCAGCGGGTGGCCACGCAGCGAGCTGTGGCCAAGACTCACATCAAAGTATCTGGAGACAGGCTCCATCAAAGGTTTTTTGGAGATGGAGGGGATTCAATGAGGCACGTGCTCGAAGTTCCTGATTGCGGCGTGCACAAAATCAAAAAGGAGTGTTTATATCGCGAGGATCGTTGTCAAGTGGCGGCAAGAAGCCGGGAGAAGCTGTCACAAGAAAGAACAGAGATCCGAGGTGCAGGAATAGAGATCCGGGAGAACGTACGCGCGATGGAACGTTCCGGCAATGTTGGTCATATTTATCGAGATGGTGGAGACAGAGATGGAAAGTTGGTCATATTTAGCGGGAAGCATACGCGTGGTCAGATGGCAGCAGGATGTGCTGTGTGGGACACATGCGTGACGCATGAGACGAGATGACGCAGTGATAGTTAGAAGACTGGTAAAGTTCCTTCACAAGGTACAACAGCTGTAAGGACTGTGTCATCCTCAGGTTTCTCTCTGGCAGAAGATTGCGGACGCTGCTCTTCGCCAAGAGCTCCGTCAACATCACTAGGAGAGCTTGTCTTCGCCAGGAGCTCCGTCAACATCAGTGGAAGAGCTTGAAAAGGCCAATAATCGGAATCTTGTTCAGACAGAAACTGGAGGAACTGCGACAAGAAGATGCAGGTGAAAGCCCGCCACACTTCATGGAGCTGCGCGGACGTGAAGGCCTTGTCGCGACACAAAAACCTTGTTCGGAAAGATCTCTCCACGCACTACGATCTACGAAGAGGTCCGAGTTCCTGCGAACACCGTCCCTGAGCTCCGTCAACATCAGTGGAAGTAGAGCTTGAAAAACTGCCGAGACCATTCTCACTTGTCTTTGGGGTTTTTCACGACCGCGCAATCACCGGGTGAGTTGGGGATTGCTGTGATGAAGGGAGGCGCTTCTGGGGATGATGTCGTTGGAATGAAAACATCCTCCGCCTCAGCCGCAGCTTGCTCCGCTTCTAGCAGTACAACTTCACTCTGCTCTTCGCCTTTCCCGTCGTCAATAAAGAGCTTGAAAAACTGACGAGACCGTTCTCCTCGTCCGAACCTGAGGATAGACTGAGGCCGCTGTGGTCGTGGTCTGCCTTTCCGTGATCCGGTGTTTCCGTTTCAAGTGTTGTTGTTTGAGCCTGTTCGGCCTTTCCGTGATCCGGTGTTGCCGTTTCAAGTGTTGTTCTTTGAGCCTGTTCGGCCTTTCCGTCATCACTGCTCTTCTCTTCGTCTTCTCCGTTGCACTTCATCTTCTCCGTTGCACTTCTTATCCTCACCTCCAGTCTTATGTACGTCGCCGCGAGCCTCTGTATCTTCAAAGGGGTCACTTCCACCGTGAAGATCGTGATGAAACACAACGTGAGGCGCCAGGGCCCCGCGAACGCAAATGAGAGCAACATGTTGTTTATAGTCCGCGTTGGCTATAAGTTAGTGGTGCTGCTGTAGTTTCTAGGAAAGGGACGGCTTCAGTGCACTCGATTTTCAGCGACCTCCTCTTACTCTCTTAGGTACGAGTGCTTTTCAGATAGCCTCGATTGAAAAATCAATGAGTCCTTGTTCAAGTCGGTATTCATGATAATGTTCTACTTCTATTACAGTAATACTGATAGTTACTAAGTAGACAGAGTAAGTTTAGAGTTAACCTAGAAGCTGAGTCGGCTAATGTACGGATATTTTTCCAGAGTACGCACCTGATATGAGGGGACGCTCATACAGCCAAATAACACGGAAGTATTCAATTCTTAGACGTAGTTGATAAAAGATCGAAATAATTCTTCACAAATGGACGCGGGGGAGGAGAACAGTTGAGATTTTCCTTAAAAATAGTTTTAGTACATGTAAGTTCCACGAAGACATGTCTATGTGATTTCGAAGTATCTTTCAGTTTTCAGCATTGTGCCGTTTTTTCCTTTCGAATACATAGTAAAAACAGAAAGAAAAAGTGCTCGAAATTCTTGGATGGTACGACCGAGAACGTTAGGTAGAAGACACTCAGTCACAGAAAAGTTGCTGCAACAGAAACCGATCGATCCGGAGGGGCAGATACTCGTCTACGTATTTTGTCAAACCTTCAGATCCGATGAAGGGTCCGCTCAGTCATCTTCCACGATCACTCCAGCACACTGCAGATCATGATGCGCACATTTGACGCTGTGTTTTTTCATGTCCTCTCGTGGGTTTCAGAGAGTTGTGTCATAATTTCTTTGATATATTTTGATTTGTGTTTAAAAAAAGTGACTGCCCGTTGAGATCAGGGACTCGATGTCATCGTGCACATCTTCGACGCTGCCCAGAAAATGTACCAATGGAAATACCTTCAGGTCACTTAACATCTTTGCATATAATATGCACAGTACAGATGTGATTCCTCGCATGCTCTGCACGACGGACTCCTTTGCGGTTATAGAAAACACGCATGAGACGCCCATTTGAGAGTCTCTACTTACCGACAAGGATGACGCTCGCGCCGTCAATGGGGCTATCGTGTCCACTGCGTCTTCATTCGTCGTGTCTGGAGTCAGCTTGGCCTGACGCGAGTCTTTCTTCGAAATGGCCGTTAATATGGCTATGCGGCACCTCTCCCTGCAGCGACTAATCACCATGATCACGCGGAGTCGTGATCATATGGCCTGTAGTCTTTCCCATTACTGTCACAGCTGGTGACTTTGCCGATGACCGGCATCAGCTTTTTCATCTACAGACTACCCACTGCGCCTTTTTTTTCCTTGCGCTAAATCTGTCAGCTGAGCGTAACCACTTGCAAATTGCCATCCCCTGTGGTCGCCGGTTCTTTCGAGTATAGTTGGTTTCCAGCCCTCTTGATCGTCAGCCATCACTCGTTCGTTGGACTTAGAAGGACACAGGGAGAAGGACAAAGCAAAGCTTTGTAGTTTTGTTTTGAAATTGAATCAATAAAAAAAAGAGATCCAAGCAACGAACTACTCTTTGTCGCTCTTCAAAACTGTTTATTTTACTTAGTGTCTTGTTGTTCACTTTTACTTAGATAGTGGTCTTCATCTAGAGGTCTAACGAGAACGACCCAATCAGTGGTGCTATGTATAATATTAACATTCTAATAGAGGTCCAGAATTCATAATGTAACTCATGGCTTCCAGGCGGTGACACTTTACTACGATATCCACTCTGGCTGGCTGCCCTTTGTCTATCGGAATAACCTCTGCTTGGCCTTTGGCGACGGCCCAGCCTCCAGCTCCGCGTTGGTCTTCCCACGATACGCTGACTCGCGGATTAGCTCGTACCTCAGCTACTTTGCGGCTCTCGGCTCTTGTATTCAGACGGATTTCCGAAAAATCTGGAGCCACCTGGCGTGGAACAACTATGCGTGAACTCGGAAATCCGTCAGCATCGACTGTAATTAGAGCTCACCCTGATCCATCATGTTGAGATAGATCCCAGATCTGTTTTCCCCTTATCGGACAGATTCGAGATGCTTCTGGAGGTGGATTGATTCATTCATTCATTGGCGACCTCGGCTGCCTTAATGTAATCAGGGAAGCAGGATGCACGCCGCCAGCACCGTTGTCATCGCGGTAGGGGATTTTCGCGATCATGGCATGCACAGCGCGATGCACGAGACCAATGCTCTGAGAGGACGAATCAGAGGAGGTGGGCATTTTTTCTATTTCTCTTAAAAGTTATAGCTGCGTGAGTCTATTTCTATTAGAAGTATTTGTGTCCAACTCCAACCATGAACAAGCAGGGATAACAGGTCAAGAAAAAGTCGAAGACGAAGAGCGGAAAATTAAAGGAATTGGAAGGTAGAACTAGTAAGTCTTCAGTGAGGATTAATATAATTCATTGTTTCATTGACATTGTGGAGGGACCACTAGAAGACTTTTGACTGATTATAAAGACAAGGCATATTAGCCTTGCCAGTTGTAGTATGATAACGGGGAGCACTAGTAATTATATTTCAAGATGTCCTATTTGCGATTGATGAGGAAGAACAGAAGCGCCAAAGACCAAGATAGCGTCTTATTTTCCGGTAAATTCCATCTCAATCACACATGGATCGCCCGATGGATTTGAAAAAACGTATGTTTTTGAAAGGGATTACGCTGTTATGCTCCCCAGGTAACCGACATATTTCGCAGAAGTATGAGAGCAAATAAGCATAGTACTAGAATCGTCGACGATCGAGTACGGAGGAAAGTAGCTAACATGCCCTACCGCGGCCAAAATTCAAAAAGGCAACAACAGAGACTTGTTGAGATTATCTAATTTTCAAACTTTGACGGAACCTCCCCAGCAGAGGATGCTTCTGTTGCTGCAGCGTCAAAATTGTCTGCTTGCAAGAAGAAAAAGCCTTCGCTAGCAGCGCCGTATAACGTTGCTGCGCCACAACTTGCAGCGGTGGGTGCTTCATCTGCGCTAGCGCTGCTTGACCGGTGACTCCACCAATCTCGCCAGAGCTTCCTTCGATTACGTGTCGAACGCCTTAGCCTTGCCCACAGTATACGACCCGTGCTGCAACCCAGAAGGCTGCTGCATGAAGAGGTGGCTGCCGTTGATGTAGTTGTTTTTTGGCAGCAATTTGTTCTCAATTCTGCGATTAATGCCTTTCGTCGGGTCTCGCAAGCCCGAAACGAATGCTGCTGCTCTTCGTAACTTCCCTTCCATGTGTGCAAGGAAGGGAGAGGGCACATGTCAAAGAACCACGCGCCATCTCTTCTTAGATCAACCTTTTTATAGTATACCTTAGATCAATCTTTTTATAGTATACCTGTAATTCTAATTTATAAGTATTTCCGATATATTCAAGAATACGCACTATGTAAAATATTCTTCAACATCGAGCATTCTTGTTCGTCTTGGTGGAAGGCATCATCTACATCTCTGTGGTGTTCTCCTTCCCTTGTTGAAGAAAACCGGGTCAACAATGAACGGGATGCTTCGACGCACGTGTGCGGCGGGAGTAAAATTAATAGTTGTACGAGTAGCTGCCGGTGGTAAAATTAATAGTGTACCCATTCCTGGTGATGTCTACTAAAATGGTGTCTAACTAAGTAATATTATAGATGGACCCAGCCTTAACCCGTGCGTCCTTGTTCCGTCGTCGTCTTTGTTGCAGCTGTAGTCTTGCACCAGCATCGCAATTTCGTCACGTAGCTTTACGGGTGCCTCCGGAGGCCAACTTCCCGGTGCAGCCACTCCGGAAGTGCCTGGAGGACAGAAGGCTGCTCCCTTGTAACCATGCTTAGCGCTGCAATACAAAGCAATACAGTAAATCTCGCACAAAGTTCAGTGCAGACTGCCCAAGAAAGAAATTGTTCATATTCGATACAGTAAATCTCGCACAAAGTTCAGTGCAGACTGTTATGTCATTATTATGTCGTGCTGTCCTTGATGACGCTGTCCGCAGTGCCCATAGAGACCAGCTCTGTTAGCAATTGCTCACATTCGTTGCGCATTCTCAAGTTCATTCCTTCAGACTCCCGGAAAGTCTGAAAAAGAGGAAAAAGTTCATGGCCCCGAAAATGAAGATCATTATGCTTATGGTGAATTTTTCAAATTATAAACCGTAACATTCGTTTTGTCCACCAGCCATGCGGTGTGGAGTTCGGGCAATCTTCCGTGATTCTCATCAAACGCATCGAAAAGAAAGGCACAATTTAGAAATTCTCGCGGCCCAAGTAGGAGAGCGCTAGCACCTGCCTTCATCTTTTCTATCTTCTTTTGAGGGCAGGGGGTGATGAAGTTCTTGTCAGGCAGTTGTACTTGTATTTATAAATTTATGTAAAAGTTTTACAATATTATGTTGAAGCATCACAATATGTTGAAGCATCACAAGATTAAAACCGATGACATTAAAACAGATGACAAAAGACGCATGAAAACGAAAAGACAGTTCTTGTATAAAAGTTTATGACGAGAAGTCCCCGTCTACTTTCTCTTTCACTGCATCAGGTAGATTGATGAGACTAAGAGTTTTCTGGAGTTTTATATTGAGCAAGAAACTAGGAGGTTGAGGGAATGATGACTAAGTACGCCACAATTTTTCCCAGCGATATGCAGATCGCCTCACTCATAGCGCCGACACTCAGGTCGGGGCGAACAGGGTGCCGCCTGCTACTTCTACCAAGATCGATTTTCATTGAATGAATCTCCTCACCTTTATCCAGATTTTGACTGGTAGAGCAGAAGACCTCCGCTTTCAGCTTCAACATATCAAAGAAAGGCGCATAAGTGAAAGCGTAATCTCCTTTGTGCTTAAAGGTCGTTTTCTTAGACTATAGTTGTAGACACAATTTTGATTTTGAACCCCTACTTCCAGTCACGGATCGTCGGATATTGAGAGAGTGTGTGCGATACCAAGACGAGGCTTCGCCATCAGTGGCGTGTACCAAAACCTCATCATGAAGGTCTTAGAGTTTTCATCTTTCCGCTGTCCACCAACTTTTTCTTACAAAGCATGAGATTCAAGATGAAGATAGATTCGCAACAAAAAAGGAGTTGTAAGCAGCATCACATTAGCAGACCATGGTGCGTTTGCAGTGTGTTTGAATGTTACTAGTGTGGAATACGCAATGAGCAAATGATCCAATAGTTAATATTTTTCTCCAAGGTTAGTTAGATGATTTTTCTTCGACAAAGAAGGGTCGTTAGTTACTTTATTTTCGGCAATTAGTACTTGCTTCTACGTACAAGATTTGAGTTTGAACACTGTATAAAAAAGCTTAGGTGTACTACTTACTTACAGTAATTGACAGTCGCTATGCATACCACTGCTAATTCTTGCCTATTCTACTCTTCGAAGCCCACCCTTGGGCCTTAGCCCTGCTACAGCATAGCTGGAGCGCCGCTTCTCGAAATTCATTTCTATTCAGTAATCTTCAAGTCAAACGCTACTACAGCAACGTAAGCGCATATAGAAATCTGTCTTTCAGTTCTTCCTCAGGCAAGGCCGCTCGAGTCAGAGAAAGCAAGCACTCAGCAGAGGACTCGTGCCCAGACGACCTATGTTCTCGCACTTCGTCCTCTGCATCTTGGACTAACGCAGACCAGAAGGAGGCAACATCTTGATAAACCCGCCCTGAAGCTGATGCCACTTCCTTCTTCGTACCAAAACCAATGAGTTCGCGGTCTAGCCTTTTGATCCATGGAGAAGTGTTGTCCTCGTTCAGTGTAGTGAGGCAAAAATCACGATCGCTCGTCGAACCACAATGCAAAAGGCAGCTTAGCAATTCATCGCGACGTGGATTGTAATGCGTGCCCAATCGCTCCGATTGCCGGTAGTAGCTGCTGAGAATCCGCAAAAACGCTTTGGCGTTCTTTCCCGCAACAAAGCTGTCCTGCTCATCGCAGGTTAGAGGAGGAGAGTGGTGAAGAAGTACGTACTAGCAAGAGTTAAAGGTTCAAACATTTCATTTCTTTCCTTCATTTCTCCGTCATTCCAAGAAGGAATCAGTGAGAAATGCCTCTTAAAAATGAAATGCTTCAACCCTTAAAAGAGGAAGAAGTACCACCCAAGAGGAAGTACCACCACGACCAGTGTATTGCCACTCCCAAGAATCTTGTGATAGGCCACAACAAATGGTGAAGAAGTACGTAGCAACCAACTCAAATGGAGGCACATTGGTTCTTTTTGGTTTCAACATTGTTCCTTAACTTATTCTGAAAGACGCAACTCCGGATCCACAGCTGCCACAGGCAACGGCGTATAAGCTTGGGAAATAGAAGCTGCCTCTGAACCGAGGCGGACTTTGACCTTGCCAGAGTCGCACTGTCCAGAGTCACAAGTTTCTGGGAAAATTGGGTGAGGATCCCGACGAAGAGGTTGCTTCTACAGAAGTTGGCGCGGGTACTGTGAGTTGTAGAGGAAGAGATCGCATTCTTGGAATTCGAAATCGAATTTTTCTTTTCCGCAGGAGCAGTTGTATGGACTTGTTTAATGTTCTTGGCAGAAGAAGACGCCCCTGCAGCTTTTCCATTATGTTGCTGTTCACTCGTCGAGGTCAAAGCTGTTTGGGCAACTACTTGCTGTGCGACTCCAGCTACTACTTCTGCGAGATGCGGGCGATAGTTGTAGCAACTAGAACTACCTTCGAGATCCTCATGATAGTGTCGCAATAGAGTTTCGATGTGTTTGATTGCTGCACTCCATTTGCCTGCGACTTCTGCGGCTGTTGTTGCTAGGATTCCTAACCTCATCCTTGTCACGACCTCGACTTCTGTAGCTTCTTCCCCACTTAGTGGCACAGAATTCATCAGCGCGGACTCTGCTAGCTTGGATGCCTGCGCTGCATGTTCTTGTCGAGAAGTAGGGTGATGATGATCATCATCGTCCTTGTTCAACATCAAGACCTGAGCCATGACAATGTGATGCCATGCTAGTGCTGCTTCCAATGAGACCAGTTGCATAGAGTAGTTGCCGTCTCTGTTGTTGTTCTCCGTACGATGATGTTCTTGAATCGTTTGAATAGCATTTGTAGCAGCACGCTCTGTTTCCTGGCTCAATTTTGCTGGTCGCTTCAGCAATGTACTGCCGCATACGTGGTCAAATTTTGTGAAAGAAGAGCCAGAAGAGGAAGTTGTGCTAGGCCTTATTGATCTGAGATGCTCCAGAGTATGCCGGAGAAAAAGACCAAGGAGAATTTTAGCACGTGTTACAAGGATGTCCTTCAACAATGTACTACTAGTTGTGCTAGTCGTGCTACTAGTTGTACTTCTATTTGTGCCACTAGAAGTTGTACTACTTCTTCTACTTGTGCCACTAGAAGTTGTACTATGCTCTGCTTGCTCTAGAAGCGACAAGAGACTTGAGTAACATCCAAAAACAGCTGGGCCGCCTAGGATGAACGCGCGAACGGCAAATAAGATCGGGTCTCCAAGCTGCTCGTGGAATGGCGTGGCGCGGTTCATTAGAGCTTTTCTGAAAAAATGGAATACTATAAGCCATGCGTATCCAAATCCCACTTCATCACAGGATTCAGACAGGATCATACGTTCAAGAATGAGCTACAGTCTTAAAGCAAGCATCGCCTCTAGCTGTTCATTCGCTTCTTCGCCGTTCATGCGCAGAGCTGCGGCATATAGTATCACCCTGCGTGCAGCAACTTCGGTTGCAAAATCGTTCTCGTCGAGGACAGAATGTGCCAAGGCATGCGCGGACTCTAGAAGAAGTGTAGGGGACGGCGACGAGAGGTGACCGAGTCCGAGAAGTGAGAGGATGATTGCGCATCTTGCCAACTGCAATTTGCCTCCTGCGACGACAGAAGCCTCACCAGCACAGCTGGACTCAGAAATTGCGTCCTGTAGATAACGCACTAGCCGAGTCAACATGTTGGTAGATGACTGAGCAGAAAGATTCCCTGTAGTATTCTCAGGGCCGCTGTTTGTCGTGTCAGATCCATCATTTTCTTGTGTGAACACGGACAATCCTCCATCTACTCCAAGAAGATGTCGAAATAAGTGTTCTGCCACTTCCGGAGCTCTCGGTACTTCCTCCAAAGAAGATAGCATCAAATCTTGACTGCGAAGGTTTTCCAAGGCCGCCGTGAGCGCTGCTAGCTGTCGCTGAAGCAATGGGTTCTCAATGCTGAACGTACCTCGACAGACTGACGAGTGGGATGTTTTTCGCCGTGCCGAGTTCAAGCTCCTTTCTCTGGCTTCATCATGGTTCAAAACAAGTACTGCAGGCTGCCGCGCTGTACCTGTAGCGTCGAAACAGAAGTTAAAGTTCCAAAGAAGAGAGAGAAATCGGCATGAGTTTGCCGAAGTCATTCGCAAGAGCAGACAAGCAAGCGGGGTAAATTCTTCGCTAAAAGTGGCGGCTACCCGTTTGGCGCATATCATATACATAGTATCACAAGAACCTAGCGCCATACCGGAAGTGCTCCCCGAACAGCCCCACCACCCTGTGATCCGAGCGGTCGACTTGGGTTTTTTTTGGCGTGCTTCCGTTTCATGCTTGATTCTCTAATACTTCAAGCAAGTTGCCGCTAAGCTTTGTAATGACAGCGAGCAACACAGCATGCGCGTGCGCAACTCCTTTGCAAAGTTGGTCGCCAGCGGGTGCAGGCGGAGGCAAAAAGCCCAATGCTGCGCGCTTGCTAATCCTCAAAAAAAGACGACGAAAGCCAGAGCTTCCTACGAGAAAACAAGGAGACAGACAAGCGAGGGGGACAGCCCACGCCGAATGCGCAAGGCGCTGGCCTTTGCGGCAACGCCAATAGATAAGAAGTGAAGCCCCACCAATGCCGAAGCCTTCCGAAGTCTCACCAATCTGCTGGGCGCTCGGGTCGGTGCCACGGATGACGGGGCAGCGAGGGCCCCTGGTGCTCAGATAAGTACGCTGCTGCTGGGTCGAAGCGTGAGCCCCCAGACAGAGGGACAACGAAGCGCAGAAATGCAGCCACCCAAGACACACCCAAGCAGACACCACGCGACGCTGCCCGCCGCCGCCCTGGTGTCTCGGTTGCAACGACCGAAAACCCCGGCGCCCACACACCACAAAGAGAAAGCCCCCGCCTTGCCTGCCTAGCTGGTGAGAAAAGCAGAAGCGAGCGCGCCCACTGAGGCACCCGCCCAGGGGGCTTCCGAGTCCAGTCCCTTGCTTTCGCTTGGGCTCCAAGTCTTGGAGCAAAATGGCGCAGAGTGCGGCGCCCCCGTGAGTATGCTCCCAACCGCTTTGCAAGCGCCTTCCCCCCGAGCATCATCGAAACCAAATGGGCCGCGGTGTCAGATCTCCACAAGCCCGCACGCACAGACGCACGCGGGAAGCCAGTCGGCGAAGCGAAACGAACCCCAGAGCCGCTCCAGGCGCATCAGATCAGCTTGGGCCCTGCTCTTGCGGGCGAAGCTCTGGGACAGATGCGACGGCTTTTACCGTAGACAGCGGCGCCGTCCGCCCGCGGCTGCAGGAGGGCGGTTTTGGTGCTGCAGTAGCAGAAGGCGCCGCGCGGGGGCTCTTGCCTATTATAATACCCGCGATTCCGTCTCCTTTACTCCAGCTAGTTCATACGCGAGAGCGGGGCACGCCCTGAGAGCGACCGCCAAGCAAGCCCGGACAGGCCTGAGGCTGAAAGCGGTGCCAAGAAGGCTGTCACGTTGACACGCCCGCACGCCATCGGGAAGACAGAAAGCAAGAGAGAAAGAAACCCCGTGACCAAAGGACGCGGGCCCAGCCGTGAAGAGTTTGCACCCGCTCAAAGGCACGAGGGGGGCCGCGAGTGTTGCGAGCTGTTAGTGGGCGGCCAGCGTTGTGACCCCTTTCTCTTCGGCCGGACTGCTTGATAAAGTAGTCATCAGGCGGCGCAATGAGTATGAGCGGCAGCCGTATTTGTCATATCAATCTGAAGCCTATTTCCATAATAGAATCGAATCCCCAAGTGGTACTGCAAAGCCGCCACAAGCGCTCGCAGAGGTATCTTCTCGGGGCTGGCTAGCTTTGGTTGAAGCCCAAAATGTCCAAACGCGATAGGTTGAATTTCGTGAGCCCAGAGCCGATCCATCGCATTATCAGGACTGTTTCTAGCAGCCGGCAACAATACCGCAGTCAGAAAGGCGGAAAGGGCGTCGTCGAGTGAGGCCACGGCAGACCGTGACTCCTTTTTTAGAGGAATATTTTTTGGTGTGCTTCTTGTATTAGGGTACTTCGACTGTTGAAGGACTTGCTGAGTCTGCGTTTCGGCACGAGCTCGCTCTTCCAGCGCCTCTTTGACGCGATCCCGCCGGAGCTTCTTGCACACTCTGGCTACTATTTCGGTCGAGACAACTACTTTCGCCGCTTTTTCTTGACAGAGAGCGCACACTTGTCCCAAATGGTACATGTTTACACCCATTTCATGGAGTACCTTCGTCAATGTATAAGACGACAGCGATTTCCCTGCCACTACAGCCGTGTCTAGATACTTAGCGGCGCGAGTGACGCAAGTACTGCGTGCCATACTGCTTGCGTCTGTCCCGTGTACGCGCCACAGCTCTGGCCGCAAGCGTTTTAGACTCGGCTCATGTGCGTAAGCGTCGCGAGGGAAGAGATCCGCCATATCGTGAAACTGGCACAATATTAATGACTGAGAAGATGTTGACTGTTGTTGAAATTGTACCAGACGTGGATACGAAGATGAAGGTTCTTGTCCTGAAGTAGAACTCATCAAAGCTGGCCTCTGCCCCCTCTCAGCTGACGCTGGTAATAGCGACCCAGGTTTGCATCCAATCAAACGTTCAACTTCCCGCACGTGGGCGGAGAGCGGATCGCCGGCTGCTGCATTTGTGGTCACCGGTCGAGGCCAGGACAACTCAGTTGGTGACTGTCTCGGCAGCGGTCGCACATGAACCAGTTCACCAGTCCTATTATCAAACGTGTTGCAGCACAATGTCGGAGCCAGGCAAATGTGAGTTTGCAGAATAGTTTGTGCAGTTGCACTGATTCGTTTCTGAAAGACATCGAGGGAAGTCGAAGCAGCTCTACAGAAGGCTTCGTCTTCTTTCTCCTCAACAGTGCTTTTACTAGTACTTGATGTATCTTCCACTATGCCAGGACCTATTGCCTGCGAAATGAGCGACATCGCAGACGTAAAAATGGCATGATTTAGAGCTTCTTGATTGCGCACCTCAAATCCGTAACGCTTTCGCAGGGAATCCGAATCGGTCCTGACCAAGATGTAAAGAAATTCTCGGTCCGCGAAAACGTGCTCGGCAACTTCGGCTCCAGACCCCTCCTGCTCTACTGGAGATACTGCACCAAGGCAGAAGAATTGTGCAAGAGCGTGTGTGCGATGAAGGGAGACAAAGTGTTCATCAGTACTGCCTTTGAGCCAGCTTGTCACTAAACGACGCGCGCCGGCTTGAGCTGCCTCGACAAAAGCGGTAGAAATTTGCAACAACTGCAGATTTTTAGGTACTAGTTGTCTTGTACTAGTAGAGGTTGATGAGAATGAAGCTCGTGATGATGTTGAGGATAGCATAACCTCAGTGTTTTCTTGAAGCATGTCGATGAAGTGTGTTCTGTGGAGTGCAGCCCAATCGCGTGGAGCAGCTCTTTTATGATGCTGTCCTCCATCGCCCTCAACACTAGAATCTTCTCCCTCGCCGCGCACATTGCTGATCAGGTCTCTACTGGCCACCTCTAAATGTTTTTCCATGTCCATCACCGTCTCAATTGCGCTGTGCACAGCTATAATGTCGCTCTCAGTGGGCAACAAGATGCTGGAGACATCAGTAAGGGCTAGATGTCTTGGACTTCTCGTCCTTGAAGGCGTTGTAGATATGATTTGCGCACCGAATGAGGTCAAAGGTGTCTGATCTTCAATAGCCAGGCCTTCGCCTTCCTCGTCTTCGCCAAATAACATCCCAGTGAAAGTGTATCGAGAAATGTGACAACAGGCTATTTCTGGATGACTGTGCGAAGGGTTTGTCTTTGTGTACGCCTGAAGGAAATCCTTAATATCCTCTATTCCTCTACTTTTCGCAACATGATTCCTGCTTCCCCCTCTGACGTCAGTGACACCACGATCTGTAACTACAACTTCTATTTCCGGAGACAGCGTTTGTACTGCGTTCAAGATGTAGTGCGCCACAGCCTCGGACACGGCGAATTCGAGCACATCACCACTATTCGGTTCCAAAATTGAGAGCATTGTTCCATATGCGGGATGGCTCTTTTTGGAGAACTGCAGCAATTAGAGCTCACCCCAAGAATCCATCTTGGGATTCATCTCGGATCTGTTTTTCGCCTTAGAAGACAGCTTCGAGATGCCCCTTAAGATGGATTAGGGGAAGCCTTAAAGCAATATGTCACCCCACTCGTTCATTATGGGTAGTCGGACGAAAAGTTGATCCTGATGTCCAGTCCCTAGTACAGCGCCTGGGCGTCGCGCCTTGCTCACCTCCGCACGACATTCAAAGTAGTATTGAACAAGATGCTGAGGCGGCCTCTCACAATCGACCCGGACGGTACTCGGCTCACACTGCCCGTACAATATGCGATACATTTGACAGCTCAATATAGGGCCGCTAATATTCTTCATTTTTCGTTCGACAACTCGTTGAGAGTGATCAAGGGCCTCGAAAGCAGTAGCGGGTAATTCTTTTCCTGTTACAGGTTCGACTTGTTGACCATTTTTCCCGTCAGTCTCAGGTAGATTTGGCGTAGTGCGAGCTCTGTTTCCTCCATCATGTCCTCGTGTGGCCTTCCTTGATGTCCCACTTGGTGATCTGGTACTCCTTTCGTTTGCATCGTCTTCGAAAAGTGGATTTGCAAAGAGCCATGGGGCGCTTTCCTCCAATTCGCTGTTCCATCCCTCTTGCGTCAAGGAAAGAGGACGCCCTGGCCGCAAAGCACTCATCAACTTGTCCAAGTTGTTGTTACATGCTGTTAGCAGGCTCACAAAAGAGAACTGAGATGACGGGGATGGTGATGTACTAGTGGTAGTTGGAGTGGCACTAGAAGCTGTAGCCTTCATCTTCGCGTATTGATGTCGTCGATACCTTTTCACTGCTCCCAGACGCTGCAACAAGAGATCTTGACAAAAGGACACAGTAAAATCAGGTTCAACTACATCTACTCTCGAATACGAATTAGTAGTACCAGTAGTATTGGTAGCACCCGCCGTACTAGTGGAACAAGAATGTACAACTAAAATGTGCGGAACGAAAAGGCGAAAATAGATATCCATCACAAGTGCCAAAAGTTGGCCGCCATCTGCTTGGAGAGATCTGAGGACTGTGTCAGGGTCCACTCCTGTGTCCAGAACTTCATTCTCCAGTTGCAACAAGGCGTTCTCCTCACTTCGGACTCCAGCGTCAAAAATACACCGCCATTGGGAATCTATGAGAGTCTCATGCGAAGACTTCTGAAGACCGGTTTCTCTGGTCTCTTTCGGTTCTTGCATCTTGTCCTGCAGAAAGGACGGACCAGCGAGGAGTTCGTCCACGAGAAGACGTACGTCTTGCTTAGTCCAGTTACGCGGGTGAGCAAACGGTTTTGCAGTATGCAGATGTGCTCTCCGAATGCTCCGATGTATCTCAGCCAGAGCGCTTCGTTCTGCTTCTTGAGATCGCCTAAACGGTTGCAGGTTCTTAGGCAGAAATCGGAATACTTAGAGGTTGCGACATTGCATTCTTCAGATCATCTCTGACCCTTATTTTCCTACTGGAAAAAAATCCAAGGATGGTACTAGCGAATAATGCTGCAATGTGGTAAGAACCCTTAAAATATGGATTCGTGAAACTCGAAGAAGGAAAAGACTCGACTCGGGTCAGAGAAAATGCTTCTAGAACCACCCGCATCTTCAGGTGAGTATGCTCCTTGAATGAAATACTCCGCCGCTCCGATCTTGGCGCCTGGCGCAAGTATGTCTAGAAAGAGAGCTAACTCGGCTGCAGTGACGCCCACTCCCGGCGATTCGCTTGCTGTGCTACTGGCCTGCACATAAAGCGCGAAGACGAATCGCAGGTAAAAAAACACGGATCTTCGTCGAGACGCTGGTCCTCGAGTGTTGCAAAGCTCTTCGAAGGTCTCAAAGCTGATGGCCTTACTAGTCCGCGAAGTTTCCTCATGTTGGGTTTTGCCTCTGCCTTGGAGGTCATTCTGCACCTGAAGCTGTGAGAGTGCCTCCAGATTGCGTAGCAGAAACGGAAGCGGATGCTCGAACCCGAGACGAAACAGGCTATCTACAATGGCGGTGAGAGGGAGAGATGTTCTGGCTCTCGAGTTGTGCACCACATCTTGGCGGCCTTCTTGCTTCTGCAGAAGAACATGATCATCCCCCGTAGTTGTTGTACTCCGACAGGAGCATAGGAACCGGAAAAGCAAAGGCACACTCACCTGACACGCTTCCGCCTGTGCAAGAACGCCGACTGCTGTTCTAGTACTAGAGTGCAGACCGCCTTGTCGACTGGGAGGTTCTAGTACTAGAGTGGAGACGCTGCTCAAAGATGTTGTTCTTATGCGACAGGTGCAAAGGACATACCAAGCGGTGCGCCAATCGGCTATATGCAGTTTTGTCTGCGGCATATCAAGTCGCTCTCGCATGCTGCGCAAGGCCCCAACAATGTCCCCAATCTGGATCGTAGCCCTGAGCACCTCTGAGACGAAATCTGCAAATTCTGTGACTGACAATCCTCTTGGAGGGCCTGAAGAAATACTGCTACTGCTGGGTGCAGAAGATGAAGATCGCTGTTGATGTCCTCCTTCTCTGCAAAATTGTCGGAACGTGAAAAACAGCTTTCGGTAGCGCAAGAAAGCGGACGAGGCTCGCCGCAAAGGAGGCGGGAAAGTTGGTGTTTAGAATGAGGCGTATTGTTGATATCGATGATAAAGATACACTACCTGTTGAGTTTATTCATCATGGAAAATTAATGAACTACCTGAGGCTGAGCAGCAACATAGATACTTAATTATCCTGTTAAGACGAGAGTCGACCAAGAGGAAATCAGAATAACATTTCTAGCATACACTGATGCGACGTCGTCCGCACAGGCTCGCAGGAAACCAGAAAAACCTATCGAGAGCTTTTTCCCCTCGCCAAAACTCTGCTGTAGGATGGTAAGATCATGACTAGTATGACTACTTCTAGTACTAGAACTGGAGTGTGACGAAGTGTGGCCGCCTGCTCCATTGTCCACGTCTTCGAGAAACGTCTGTAGGATGGGTTTGTCCAGGCTCAGGCTCTCGGGTTCTGTCTTGCCTCCGGCGTGGTCACGTGATGCGACCCAAACTGCTGCCTCAAACATTTCTTTTAGGAGCACGTCAGACTTAGAAGAGTCGGTGACGGCACCGGCAGCTTCAAATGCTGAATAAGCTTCCGCTAGAGGTGCTAAAAGAGCAGGAGCCAACTGCACGACACCTGAAGTTTTCATGCGCCTGTCATGGTCTGTGTTCCTGGTATCATTCCCCAAGGCCTCCATCTCTAGAATCGCATTTTGCTCTGCTAGGGGACTCAAACCAATGTCTTCCTCTTCGTATTTCCCCTTCTCGTAGTTGTTACTGGCTGCGGTCGCAGACGCATCATTATGATCAGCATCGATTGCGACTTGCTCATTGCTTTTGCTCCTTGTCTTGATGTAGGTGTCAGGGCTTTGCTGGGTACCAAAGACGTAGTCCTTAAGGAAGCTTGAAAAGGAGACCACTGCTCGACGTGGTTGGTCTCCTGGATCTGGATTGTCTTAGAGGTAGGTTTTTGGTGCTTGCTTACCCCGCTTTTTATGCCTTTCTCCCTTAGGAGAGGCATAAAAAGCGGTAAGAAAAGCACCTTTAACCTACCCTTAATTGTCTATCCGGTGAATAATACTTGGACTCTCGTCCTCGTCCCCATCGTGGAGAATGACCCCAAAGCGTAATACAAACTGAGCCACTTCTGAAGGCGATAAAAGCACTACAGTATCGCCTTTTGGTACGGCTTTGTCGTCAACTTCTTGCTGAGCCTGCTGGTTCACATCCTTGGCGTAAGCGACAAAAGCTCCTGCAAGTAGTGTTAAACGTCGTGCGAAGCTTGTCATCGGTGTTTGGATCGCTAATGCGCGAACTTGCCACTCCTCAAACGATATGGCTCGGTCCGGCACGACTGCCTTACTCGTCTCAACAACATTATCGCCCCTTGATATCTGTATATCTTCCCTTGTATTCTCAATAGCACCAATAGAATCCTTTGGGAACAATACAGTACTGGAGTTGTGCGTCCCTCCATTCGTGACCAACTGCAAGTCCCAAGGGCTCGACGCATCATCTTCGCATACCTTGTACCGCATATTCCCGTGTTCCACGATGGCTTGAATCTTTGTGCGTGTTAGCAGACCTTTTGTCTCAGGGTTTTTCTGCTCCTGTTTGGTGGTGCTAGTGCGGGAGACGACCGCTACCAGGCTGTCATACGCCAATCGTGCGGCCATTGCATCCAAATTTTCTGCCCTATCAAGATTGTTGTAGTCATCTTGACCCTCCTCTATGCTTCCTGCGTCAACATCGGTTGCTGATCTCTCTGAACGCGCCCTCGCTACAATTGCACCAGCGCTTTTTGGCACTTCTTCTTGACTCTGTGCCGATGATTGGCCTCTCCCCACTGCCGCAGAGCCGCCGGAGAAGACAATCCTTAGCCGTCTTTCTGCGAGACTCCATCGTTGCAGAAACTGAAGGTAAGTGAGGATAGGAATCGTTTTCGGAGAATTTCCAGATGATGTGTGTTGAGGCCGTAGCAAAAGCGTCCAAGCCCTTTCTTCAACCGGGGTTGGAGTGAGCCAGGCAGGCGTCTCCGGAGGAACGCTTACAAAGGTGCCACCACCTCCTGCCACTGGTTCGTAGAGCACCGCTAAAGCTTCCAAAGAAACCCGGCATATCGAGAGAGGCTCGCACTCAGCACACTGGATCCAGTCGTAGACGTCGGGAGGTTAGAGAGGGCACATGAGGAGAGTACCGTAGAGGACATCAATTATTACATTTGGGTTAAATTTAAAGCGCAGAAGTTGTATTGCAATGATGACGATGAGCGAGTGAGCATCTAGACCAGCGACGAGAACTACAGGTCAAAAATATTCAACTGAGTTACTTACACTAGCACCACCCATAAGCAACAATGAACTTCCCTCCAACTACGCCGCTCTTCGTTGCCGCTTGTCCCTCTCCCGCATTCCCCTGTAGTTCAACTTCTACAGCACCTTCTGCAGAGTTGTATATCCCAGCAGAAAACTCACGCAGTTCCCTCCTCAGAATGTCCGCTGCTTCACCCGCAGACGCAGGTTCGAATCCAAACAGGAGGAGCAGGTCGCGCAAGCTTGAACCACCTGTCTGGGCAAGACTCAACAAGGCACGTTCACAAATAGTCGAGACTCGGAAATCATCGACATAGGTACTAGTACTAGTATCTCTATCTTCTGCAAATAAAACAGGGCGTTGTACTATCGCTGGAGCAACAGCCGCGCTCAGATGAGCATGCTTAGCGACCAGGTGACGATACTGGATCAGCGCTCGAACTCGATGAGGAAAGTCGTTCTCACTCTGTTGCACCTCGTGGTATGCATTTAGAACGTCAACGTTTGCCGCGTCTGAGCCCACCATCGGTCCTTACGTTGGAGGGTGTCCATACGTGCGCGTTGAGTACTTCTACCGGATTCTTCTAAAATCCTCAGGACGGCGTCGTCGAGAGGAGTTGCTGTCCCGGCAACCCGCCCCGGAAACCATTTTCTCGCGTCGCAAGACGTGGTGCGGCATTTTTGGGAATCAACAATAGCGGAAATCTCTCAAGTCTCGACTTGACTTCTAGAAAGAATTAATTACTTGATCCAACAACAAACTCTATTGCAATGGGGCTGAAAGAGCTTCTCTTGATCTCTCCGATTCGCGAATTTATATTTTATCGGCTCATCGTGTTGCTATCGCAATCGCCACAGCGAGATGATTCAGTCTTCTCAAATGACTTGAATGCGTCTTGAGAAAAGTCACTTCTAAGTGCGTAGAAGTCATGTCGTGCTGGCAACCTTGTTGCTGTAACCCTGATGCAAATACTCCTCAACCTGATCTAAACTCAAAAAAACTGAGAGCAGGTTCTCACTCATGAAACCCTGCCAGAAAGCGTTCCCACTGTTGCTTCCGTGCATCGCCCCAACGCGATTGATCGTGGTCAGCATGAAAAACGAATAGTGGCATATGCCTTTTCTCCTTCGAAAAAGCTGGTAGCTGACCTGCCTCTGCTCGCCGTGCAGCTTCGTCGCTGACCCGGGGGTTAGAAGACTAACGTTAACAAAGATGTGCGGATCCATGAGGATCATGTTTTGCGCTGCTCTTGAGTTCGTGCTTCATCTACTCGAAAAACTGAAATAGCCGAGTTACTGACTGAAATGAGGGGCGTAGCTTAACATCAAGGCTACCCTTCCTTCCCATCAGTCTCCCGGTTATTCTGATCAGTTACCTGCTTATTTCAGTTTTTCGAATATATAATAGAGTGACCTACAATGATCGAATTTTCTGTAGTCATTTCTTCGTGAACGGATCTACAGCTACAGAGACTGTCTCTACTCCCTGTTCATGTTCTATTTCTACCAAGGCAGAGACTGTCGCTACTTCTACTGTAAGGATACAACTACCAAGGAAGTGGTCCATAAACAGGGGATTGAGTTTCCGCAGCGGCGCTCCTTCTCGAATTGACACAAGCTGATCGTCGAATATGACGCAATCACCTGGCTGCTTACTTGTTCCACTACCTTGTTCTATAGGACGTTGCGCTTCGGTAGAAGTTGTTGTCGGATTGCCAGATAAGGTAACGCCTATAGGACGTTGCGCTTCGGTAGAAGTTGTTGTCGCATTCTTGCCACCAGATAAGCTCAACACATCCTCGCGATACAGGCTACCATCGGCACAATTTCTACGCAGGTCAGGCGGAAGAACGTCATTGAGACCTATCCTCTTTCCTTTTTCGTTGACTACATTGTTCGGGGATTAGAAGGGGGAAAAGGAGTGGATTGATAATGATATGTTGAGGATAGAGTCTACTACAGGATCTAGAGGGTCTACCTCTACCTCGTCTACTACGTCCACCCCTACCTCTAGCAAGACCAAAAGCAATACAATGCAATTAATCTCGCTTTTTTTTTTTGTATCGTGAGCGAGTTCCGATAAGTCAAAACCTACCTGCGTATTTTGCAAGCGAGCTCCGATAAGTCAAAACCTATGCATACGGCTACAAGGGCGCTATCCGATCGCCTCATTTCCGATCGCTCAAAGTTCAGGGCAGACGGCCACAAGGGCGCTATAGATGGTCTACGCGATGGATCTCACGCAAAGATTGTAATAGCGAAGCGGTACAATTAAGTATGTTTTGAAAAGTAACAACTTCTAATGTCATAATTTTTCGCTGTTGGTCCTCTAAGAAGTTGTGGACTTTCCATGTAGCTGCCCCATGGGGCCTTTCCCGTTATGTTTGTCACGTCACGAATGCGGTAGCCGAAAACCAAGATGGCGAAATAGTAAGGATTAGAGCAAACTAGTATTGTCGTGAAGGAGAAGACCTAGAGGAAGAAGAGCATGATCGCCAAAAGAAAGTACTCCTAGTGACTCCGTTTTTTGAATCAACAAAGTCTCTAGTTTAGCAAGGAGAGTCTCGGGCGATTAATAATATTTCAGTACCACGTACTTTTCAAAAAAACAATAATCGAAAACCTACAGACCTGGCGTTCCATAAGATAAAGCATCATCTCGAAGTTAGTGTGCTCCAGGTGACGGCCCAGTGCTCTGTACGAGAAAGGAGATATGATCTTGCTTGTTGTTGTTGCAGTTGCACCAAGCGAATCTGGTGCATTCGTCTGTTGCGTCTTGTTGTTGCTCCCTTGCTTCCACGGAGTAGTAGGTCGCACACCAAGAAGTTTGCACAAAGCGTCAACATTCTCCTGCGCGACTACTTTTTGCTCGTCTACGTCAGCATTACTAGAATCTTCACTTACTCCCACCTGCTTTGGGTCTCGTTCCGACTGCTTTTGCATTGCATGATCCACAGCATGGTCTTTTTTCTCCGCAGCCTCCACTTCCGCTCTTGTCCGAGAACTTCTTTCACATACTCCAGCATTGCGCAAAAGCGTCGCTCGATTCCGCCGCTCCCACAAGGTGTTGTCGTGTTTGCTCAAAGGCAAAATACTGTTTCTGGCGTATCGATGCGAGAGAAGGCCTTCAAAATCTTCCCTAGGTGTACGCTGTTTTGGGCATGTCGTGTCCTTGATGTCATCTGTAGTCGTGGGAGGGTCTGAAACTGGACTGGCTGAATCCAAATCGCTGAGACCGACCACGCGACGCTCTAATGCGAGACCGGTGACGAACGCTGGCACGATGTGGGTGAGGTTCACAACTGGGAAGTCGGCCCACCAAGAAAATAGGACGTCTCGGAGTACAGTTTGCAGATGCTGAGCTGCCGACAGAAGCATGAAGGCATATCTAAGTAGATATACGCTCAAAAGTAGATAACTACGTTTGAGTCAAAAGTCGATAACAACTACGTAGTTTGGGCCAAAAGTCGATATTTAAGTGTACGTAATGTTGTAACTAATGGTCACCTAGTACAGTCGTAGAAAAGACATTACGATTTTGCCTTTCGTCCTCTAGGACACTGAAATAGTGGTCAACACGCGGAAGATTCAGACTAACACTCCTACAATTCAGCAACTGCAACTTTCATCTTTCTCTGTGGTCACCTAAACCCCTATTAAACCCTAAACCCTTTTTATCCTGAGTCCTATCTTGGTAATTTTTATCCTGAGTCCTTCTTGATGAGCATCTTTTCGAGAACAAGAACAGCTCTATTAACTGGACTAAAAACACTCCTACAATCCAGCAACGTTTTGCCATAAACATCTCTGGGCCTGCTATTGGCAGAGGGCATTGTCCCATTCCCCGTCTTGTACCTATTATATTTTCTTCCCCCCTGGTTTTCTTGGTCGTTGTAATCGTTTTCGGTGGTCTTCCTAGTACCGACTCTCTGCCAACAGCGACGAGCGCACTCCTGCTCTTGTCAACGCCTCTGTCGATGCCCTTGTCGTAGCGGTCAATGATGCTTACGTGGTCGTTGTGCCACCGATATCGAAAGAAACGTCGGTCCCCGAAATCGCGAGGTACTAAGTCGCGCTTTGACAGCAAGTATCTCCATCTGCGAATCCTTGTAGCCCCATTTGCTGCCTCAATTGCACGTGGAAAGGAACGTGGTCTTAGACGGAAAAGAAAGGTGCAGTTTGAGGTATTTATTATCATGTGCGGAGACGTAGATATTGCTACGACAAATATGAAAATACACTGTGACGCTGTTGGTTCTTGGTGTCCTCCTGGACTTAATAGGAATCGCCTACATGATGCCGAAGGTCATAAAAACATCAGTGCCCGATTATAGGTCTGCCCGTTCCACGAGTTTGTCTTTGTTAGATTGTAAATCTCAATATCGCTGCTCACTGCGGCCGCCGGGAAGCGCCTGGAGCGCTCGTTCTGCTGTACGCGCTCTAAAAAGTAAGAAAATGCTGATTCTTCGTTGCCCCATCTGGCAGTGGTCTTCTCTTGTCTGCTTTGATCTTTATACTTCAGATCTTTGGTTGCTGCAGCATCTTCAGCCGACACAACGCCGGAACTTCCATGTTCCTCGTCCTGCTTAGGATTCTTGGTTGCAGGAAAAGCCTTCTCTGGTCTTGCCTTCTCCAGTGATGCCTGATCATCCGCACCTTTGTTGACTACGTCTGCTCCACGATGTTCGTTTTTGATGCCATTTTTACATGCATCGAAATTGATAAGCATGTCAGCGTCTAACATTGCGCCGAAATCAGGTCGTTCGTCTGGAGGCAGATCTAGCATGTGCAGTAAGCCATGGGTTAGACGGGTTGGAGTCCTTATCTGTGGAGGTAGGGTTAGATAAGATCCTTATCTTAGATGGGTTAGATAAGATCCTTATCTGTGGAGGTACGTCATCTAAAGTATATCTTCTTAGCAACAAGTTGGAATTCTTCATCTACTTAGGTAGTACTTTTTATTCTGTGAATACTTCCTGAACGAGTACTAAGGTGATCTACTTGGACCTACTCTCTCCTGTAAACACTTTATATATAATGCAGTTCCTACTTGGTGTTCTTTTCTTCTCATACATACCACTTCTTCCAGCCAGTGTATCCTTGGACATCGGTGTCTGGGGAGTGCAGCTGTGTCGGTACATCAGCGATCACCGCACGCCAAGGGTGCGGTCTGGAATGGGAGTTGGCTGTTGACTGCACGTTGGACTTCTTCGTTGTTGACGTTGATGTAGTGGCTGTTGCATCTAAAGAACTACCATTAGAGCTTCCTGGATGAGTATTAGCGCTACCATTAGAGCTACCATTAGAGCTTGCAAGTGCATCCTCGATAAGTATGGGGGAGTATTCCCTTAGGATACTCCTCGTCCATACATTTCATCAACGATGTGATGTCCAAAGATGTATGATTAGGTAGTGGAAGATGTATTAGGTACAGCCTTAATACTAGTAGTGGAAGATGTATTAGGTACAGCCTCTAGTAGTGGAAGATGTATTAGGAAGAAGAAAAGGAGTGGATTGTTGAAGAAATAGACAAGTGACAAACAAAAAAGAGAAGACAAAGGCAAAGAAAGGAATTGATCTCGACTGCGATATTAGGTACAGCCTTAATTGTGGGATCCTTTCCAAGAACTAGCTTTTCCCTTGTTGCGGAACTCGAACTAGCTGTATCTTGTTTCATGTCCTGAACGACACGTAAAAGCTCGTCAACTTCCGGATGTGCGAATGAGGCAACAATGTCCTGGCTTTTCAAGCTCTTGAGGCCATGGCGCCATTTCTGCAGGTCCTTTTTGGCACTGAAGACTACGTGCACAGAAAAGGCGCTCCATGCGGCGGGACAGCGTGCGTACTGGCTCAAAAATCTTGCTAGAAAGTGGAATTTCGGAGGATGAACTGAGATCGACAGGCAGAAATTAGAATGATCGCCGGCAAGTTGTAACATGAAGGCTTCTACTCAACGGCTTTGGTGTTGGTCTGCTTAATATTTCTTTCGTGAACATAACAATACGTGGAGCTGCCCTCGAAGGTGAAGGCTGTGAAGGCGTCACAGAGTGGCCATTCGCGTCGGCTGGTCCTTTTGCAGGCTCCACAGACGTTTCTTTTGGTTTCGGTCTACTATAATCTTTTTCTTTCTGGTGTCGTGCTAGTAGTTCTTTTCCTTGTCCTTTTCCTTTTCCATCAATGAGATCATCCTCCTGATCATCGTAGTTACCCAGTGAAGTTGAACTTGGTTTCGACTCCTTCTTCGCACCAGCGTGAATCACGTGATCTTTGACCAGTCGTGTGATTCGCGGTTGGCGTCTAAACCGGAGAAGCAAGACATCGTAGAAAGCTGCCCACAGGCATATCAACCATGCACGTGGGCAACATCGAGTTCGGTGGTTAGAGGACATTCTCGTTGGGACATTCTCGTTGGGACATTCTCGCTAGGACATTCTCGTTAGGACATTCTCGTTAGGACATTCTCGTTAGGACATTCTCGTTGGGACATTCTCGTTCAGAATTTGATAAAGTTAGAATCAGTATCAGCGTTAGGACATTATTTTCGTTCAGAATTTGAAGTTAGAATCAGTATCAGAGAGATAAGGTAGAAGTTGGGCCACCTAGTACACCATTAAGTTCGTGAATCAGGAAGAATCTATTTGTCTCTATCTTTTCTTGGAAATATGAACCTTATTACCTTCTAGCACTGTGCGCGGGGCTGCAGTGGCTACAGCTTTTTTTCTGAAGTATCTTCGAGACGAGCAAGAGACGGAGAGAGCTTATGCTTATTATGAACCACGACGAGTATATCTTCAGTACATCTATGATCAGACCAGGCTTGTGTGTGTCCTCACTCCTAATTTACCTATGATGGGGCAAGTTTGTTCTCACTCTCACGCTCAGGTTTTACATCCGAGACTCAATCACATAAAAAACATGTGGCAACCTAACATGCTACATGTAGGAGGAGGAGCATTTTGAAGAACATAGCAGGCAGTAGGAGGTTCGCCAAAGAGCAGTCGTTGCGCTAATTATATTGTCATAGCTGCGAGTAGTACCTGCATACTAGAAGTAGGTGCGCAGCCCCTCTTTTCACATGCAGCGGTCTTCCTCTTCGCCATGGACATCGTAGAGTTTAATAAGGGTTAAGGAACTAAGATGAACCGAATCCCTTGTGTTCTTGAGTATCACTGCGGAGGTGCTGTATGAATATGGATGAACTTCTCCTACGGAGAAAAAGAAAAGTAGCATATAGATATGCCTCAAGGACGATATAAAGATGAATTAGCTTTTGCTACTAGTACCATCTTAAGAGGCCTCCTCCACCTTGTTCTCAGACGAGAACAGGAATATGAGTAATGTTCTTTATTCTCGGTCCGAAAAATCGCGTTGACAACGTTCTCCTCGAGATATCGACTAGCAGATATAATAATCTCAAGATACGGCATATTCTTAAGCGTCTACGAATGATGGGATAAGATCAAGCCTCCCGTCAAGCGTCTATAGCGGGATCTTTCTATTAAAGTCACATGCTACAAGAGCACTCGGTCGGTCGGTTGGTGTTGTTTGACATCTTTGTAGTATTTGAGTTTTTCGAAGTCCGCCATTGCCCTTATGAGAAATGCTAGGATCTCTCCTCCATAGGAAATGCTAGCACCTCTTTATGAGAAGTAGTAGTATCTTCATTATTATCATGTTCGCGCGCGACCCTACCGCGTCACACGTGTCGCGCTTATGAGAAAACCCTAAGCCCTCCATAGCAGAAAATAGCAATAAGCCCTCGTCCACGAGAAATACCCGTATCTATCTCCTCCATAGCAGAAAATACCCGTATCTATAGCCCCATGAGGAATACCCGTATCTATCTCCTCCATAGCAGGAAATAGCAATTGGGGTGGAGGAGGTAGGGGTGGTTTGATGCCCGTATCTATCTCCTCCATAGCGGTCCTCGTCCGAACTCTCCCCCCTTCATTTCCCCCCATGAATAGTACCAAGACATGACTCCTTAGTTGGTTCCTCAATCTTCTAGCTTTCTTAGAATTGAAAATATATCATTCACGAGTGCGATCATGAACATCGCAGGCATAATCAAAAAGATCATCTTCTTCCTTCAAGTGCTTGTTCGACTTGGGCCTCGTCCTCTTTTTTCTTCTAGTTCAAATGTATCAAGACACCTGTATCAAGACATCACCTGGTCCACTACTATTGCTCTGCGTCCCCCGATTTGTTTTTTGTCGGTCCTTCTTACCTTCTACTTGTTCTACTTCTAGTTACAAAGTCCACCACCTTGTTCAACAGCACTTCTAACAGGACTCTTTTAGACACAGAGTTGCTACTGTCTTGTACTTGTTCACCTTCACCAACAATTACTTACAATTACAAATTTTTCGAAGGGGGTTATGGCGGGCGGTATACTAAAATAGTATGACCCACCAGCTGGGGTGGGCGCAATTTTCTTCTGCTTGTGCTGTGTTCACTCCTTGTTCATCAAAAACCTTCCCGGTACAAGATTCAGGAGATAGTGGTGGTTGTAGTTCTCATCTAAATCATATAGGCGCAGCGTCTCTTGTCCTTCGAGAAGGGACGATAGTGATGATGATAGACCCAGCCCACGACTTTCTATCAATCAAGCAAGGGGTGAAGCGCGGTAGCCCGGGTCTTGCGGGCGTGTTTTTTTTTCCCCGCCGTGCCTCGAAGAGTATGAATGCCCGCTTTCGCGAGATCAGTCGTCAGTCGAGGGTACGACACTCACTAAGCGGTTTGCCAGGGGCGGACGCCCCGGATAGCGAGGATAGTATTGGTTGAGCTCTACTTCTCACGTCAGTCCTCAAGAGGCTGGCGCAAGTACTACAACTTAGTACGTATTAATTTACTGTAAGTAGTAGGTTGGAGTGTAGTCAATAAGAAACTCATATTAACCCTCTCCAGATCGTGTCGTGCGTGGCCATTAATCCAATGGCTAACAATCCTCAATTTTTTTTGTTTTTCCTACTTTTTAGGGCACACCCTGGCCTATGATGTACTGTCAGCTGATCCTGATGTTCCTCCTGTCACGACAATGTTGAGCATTTCCGTTTGTAATTATGTTAGGTTCATCGGTGATTGGTAGTCTGTAATCAGATTTCTCCTCGTCATCCATATCTAGTGTTTAGGTCACACTTCATAGTAAGCTAGCCTTCTACTTATTCTACACCAGTCGTATAAAATGGGAAGTACTTTTTCTACACCAGTCGTTTAAAACTGTCAAATGAGCACAGCTTTGAGAAACCTCAAGGTCTAATATGTAGACTGATTACATCAACAATCAAGCTCTTTCAGGTGATACAAATGTTAACATTATGTCCGTGGTTGTCTAAGGAAAACTCAAACTTATTCTAAAAATGAAGTAATTCCGGCGGGAAGGACGAGCCTTTTCCTAGGTGTAAAGGTAATAAATTTGTGAGTAAGTACTTAATAAGTTGTTGTTATTAGAGGACGTTCGTTTCTAGTAATGATGATGGTATTACGACAGCAGAAAGTAAAAAAATTTTCATAAAAGTTTTGTACTTTGATACTTAGGAGTCGTGGTGGAAAAGGAAAACTTGATGTAGCCCTCGTACAAATGACCCTAAATTTGCACGATGAATGCTTCCAAAACTCAGAGCTGGGATAACCAAAAACTTCAACACAACATCTATGACTCATTTTCATCACGAAGATTGTTAAGATTTCTCATATAAGCAATTGATATAAGCACCTCCGTTATCACGCAGCTAGCGACGATCACCTCCCTTATCTATCATGTACACACCTCCGTTGCCAAGCATCTGAATATCTTCGCCGACTTGATCATACTTATGCTCCTTGCGTCTGTTCTGTCGTTGTGTCTCCCCTACCATTGATTTGCGACAGATTTGGTTGTGGTGCACTCATCTCTGTTTGTCTGCGACCTCCTCCACGCTTCGAAATTGAAGAAACGACCGGTGCTTTTATGGAAGTTGATGTAGTTGGGTCGTGCACAAAAGTAGAGGTACCACTAGTACAACCATTGGCCACTACTGGCTGTCCTTGTCCCTGTCCACCCTGCTTTAGCGCTATCCATAATTCATCTTTTAGTTGCATCCCCATCTTTTAGTTGCAAGAGTATCATACTTAGACAAGGGAGATCCTCGCTCCACCAGGATCAATAACTAAATGTATTCGAAAAACTGAAATAAGCAAGTAACTGATCAGAACAGCCGAGATACTGAGGGACGAGAAGCTCATCACGGATATAAGGGATTTTTCAGCTTCACCAGGGATTTCATCAACTCAGAAGATGAATTATCGAGAGCCTTAAAAAACTACCTTTTCCAGCACCTTTTTGACCTCCGTCTCTTCGGCTTCTACCTCGTCCGTGGGGTGATTGGAAAATAGGTGGCGGTGGCGGCGGCGGTGGTAAGAGAGAGCTAGAAGTAGAAGATCGGACAGGAGTACTGCGAGAAGGATGACCTAGACCTTGTGGATGCCCTTGTGGATGACCTAGTAGGCCTTGTTCATACATAGCCACGATTTCGTGTGGAGGGGACATGAGGTTGTGACGTTGGCCGTTCGTCCCCATTCCGTGGTCCTGTTGATGGTGATGTTCCTTTCCCATTCCGTGCTGGTGCCCACACATATGAAAGTCGGCGCCCATCTTCGTCCCACCTTTACGTCGATTTCTTCTGTTTTAGCGTGTGCTAGAATGCCTCTTCTCGGTCCTCCCCTCATCTTGACCCCTTTCTTTGCTTTGTATTTCACGAGAATACAAGGAAAAAGGGGACCAAGATGCCGAGAATGATGGACACTCAAAAAATGTTGTGACCATAACTATTGTGACCTCCACCACGCGGGCCTGCTGCCATAGTTGCAGCTGGTCCTACAACTCCGTTAGGTTGGCCTGCTACCATAGTTGCAGCATTTGGTGAGAAAAAATGGGGCGACGCCGTCGCCGCTGGTCCCACTCCGTTAGACGATGAACTTGGGCAGCCTAAATTGTATGGATTTGGACGTACAGGGATTACTTTGTTGTTCTTGTTAGTGTTGTCGTTTCCAACGAGCATCTCGACATTAATATTGTTCGCAGCACTACTAGTGCTGGCGGTCACGACCTCTTCAGGTGGTACACAGCTATAAGAGGAGGATGACGTCGCTACGTGTGTACCTGTTGTAGAGGAAGCGGGTACACCAGCCACGACAGGAGTTGTTCCGCTTGGGGTAGCTACGGCAGTTCCTTGTCCTTGTCCCTCCTGGCTGCCATTAGGTATTGCCTGTAGCTGTGCAGCCGTAGTTGACGAGGAAGCGTTGTTGTTGAGCGCAGAGTTGAGCGCAGAAGTGCTGGTACTCATGATGTTGAGCGCAGAAGTCGTGCTCATGATGTTGTTCGACAAAGGTGACATATGCACTGGCGCCGCTGTTGATGAGGAAGCATTCTTGTTCATTAAGTTTAGGGGTAGGCTTTTGGTGTTCGTATATCCCATTCGTTACGCCTTGCCCCCTTCAGGAAGGCAAAGCCACGAACGGCAACAAGAACACCTTTAAGCTATGCTTCATAAATGTTGGGTTTGGAACGTATTATTTTTCCGACTTCGCTTTGACCCAGATCTAAGTGGATGTTGATCTAGGACCACAACCGGACATGCCACTGGAATTGGAGCGGGTGGGGGAGGTGGTGGCGGTAATATTAGAGCGCAACAACTGCGTGACGAGGTCATTTCTTGCGTACATTTTTTCTACATTTCTCCCGATTATCCTACGAGGAAGGAAATAAGGAGCAATGGCTTGCAGCAGGAATTATGTGGAATTGTATTGAGCCTTAATACTACATGCGATGTCGATGCGGTCGTGTCAGGTCCTCTATTGCTCCACTGGCCGTTGTAGCTATACGGACTCACAAAAAAACTGTCGGATGTGCTTGCCCCATCTTCTGGCAGCTGTAGTAGCGGCTTCTTGTTTGTATTGAACTGGAACAATGGTTTCACCTTGAAATTGTTGTGCGTCCGTTGGGTCGTCTGGGTCTCACTGACAGCCTGAGCCTCGACTGTAAGTGCGCTGCTGCCGCCAGCACTGCTAACGGCGACGCCCGCACGACCCGCACGACAACTAGTGACCTCCTCCGTACTAGTACTGTTGAATTTTTTCGTACTGTAGTTGAATTCCGTACTGTAGGTGAATTCCTCACTACTATTCCGTAGATGCTTGTTTCGCGCCACGCGTTTTCCAGCCTTGACTTCGTCCGCGATTCGACCGTTAGAAGAGACAACGCGGCGTCGTTTACCACGAGTAAAGACGAGGTCTTCAAATAAATGAAGGCAGAGGACGTCAATATTAATCACTCACGGAGAACAAACATGGGAAGAGACGGACCTCACCTCCACGTACAACGAACTACAAGTTAATAGTTGAGAAAAGTAAATAAACTCTAGAAGTTATTGATGTTCTTGTTCTCCACTCATAGTATACAACTCAGCAGGAACGACAGCAGAAACGACAAAGCCCTCTTCACTTGGTGTAGGAACGACAAAGCCCTCACTTGCCTGGGCTTCCTCCAGCACTTTGATTAATCGTCTCGCGTGATCAGGTAGCACGTCAGAGTACTCGAAAAACACGAGAGCATGGCCTCTTCCAGAGGGGTTGCTTGCCGCGCGATTCACTCGTTTGATGTACTCCTGTGTGTAATTGACATTCTGGGGAGTTGAATATCAGAAACAGATGCGTGGATTGTGGTTACCAGTTCCTTATGCACAAAGAAACACATTCATTGTAGATGAATTTCAATATTCTCAAAGTAGTATCACGTATCACAATCACATACCAGATTTTTTTAGTGTGCAGTTGATGATACCTCCATCAAAGGTCCGAGTTCGAAAAGGACCGTGTCAGTCACGGAGCAGTCACCCAAGTCCTCTGTGGTCGTTGTCACCAAGATATCCAGCTTCCCATTCTTGAACTGTGTGATTAACTGGTGTCGATCAGCACGCGTCCGATGGATGTCGGCTACTTTGTAGCCGCCCTCTGTCAGTCGCCATGCCAAAGCCATCGCATCACGTGGCTGCTCAACGAAAACGACCACCTTTGGTCTGGGAGATTTTCCCAACTGTGCGCTCGTCGACTTCGACGCGCATTCTTTAGCAAGTAGAGAGTTGTTAACATCTTTTTGCTCCTGGCCTTCCTGTACTTTAGCTTTACTAGCTTCCTGCACCACTTCAGGCTCATCATGATCGTTCTTTCCGTTTTCATCTTCACCACGACAGGGGTCTACAGTGGGACTCGTAGTCGCAGACTTCGCAGCTTCAGTTGGACCTGTATCTTCGAATATATTCACTTCTTTCAGCACTTCGTTAACCTCCTCCGATGTAGTAGGATTCCCCTTATCCTCCGACGAGGACGACTCTTCTGCAGTTGCGCCATCGCCTGTTGTACTAGGCTTTGCCACCTCCTGTTTAGGAGGGGTTTCTACGACAACATCCACCTCTCCTTTTTCGCGGGGACTAGTACTTCTAATAGTATCTTGTCCTTTACTACTAGACAACTCCTCAAAATTTTCATTTCTGCCCTCCCCCTCTTCCTCATCTAAGGTCATTGCTGCCCACGAGGTGGATTTTCTAGCCGAGTCGCCTCTACTTTTGTCACTTCTTTCTGCCTGAATATCAATATGCTCTTCCTCTTTTTCCTGTTTGTCTTTAGCTAGTACTACTTCTACACGACCACCTGCTTGAGGAGCCGAGTTTTCAGTTTCTTTCTGGGCCCCTTCGTCGATAGAAGATGAAGCTTCCGCTACAACTGGTCCATCGGCAGAAGAGGATGGACCAAGCTCCTCCATGTCACACTCAGTGGGTGTCCTCTCCTTCTGCCCTCGAAGGGAAAGCGGGCAAGGCGGCGATCCCGAAACGACAGGAGTAGATGCAGGTCCTTTATAATCTTCTTGGTCATGAAGATCTTCTTGTTGTTCCTTGTCCTTGTCCGACGACTTTTCCCTGGGTGGAAAGAGCCTCTTCAAGTGGTTGAGTAGTCGGGCCTGTTTCTGACTCTGATTTTTTTTCCAGGTTCCGGGGCCCTCTTTGTCAAAGACTATTACTTGCTGGCTAACACTGGGATTCAGACGGAGCTCCTCTTTCGTAGCATGGTTCGTCTTTGATGTGGAGACTTGCTTTGACGTTTTATTTACACCAGTATTTGGGGTAGCAGCGGTATTCTGGGGAGGCCCAGTCCTAGGCTTTAGAACTCCAGGAAGCTTTTTGCAATGCGGTTGGAGCCACTTCGCCAGGCGTGTTGCTTGATACTCTTCTTAGAGGACCTTACTCATAATTAAACTTGGTGGAGCATATCTAAGTTAGACCCTACCCATAATTAAAGATAAAATTCAAGACAAAGAAAGACAATGGCAAAGACGCTTTTTTTGAAGATAGAAAGAAGAAGATAGACGACCATAGCATAACACACACAGAGCACAAAGAAATCCGGCGGGATCGTACGCGTCGCCCGGAGCGCATCGAAACAAACAAACAAGGATGGTCTACTTTAAATGGTCTAATATTTTACAGTCTAAGCGGCCTTAAAAATCTGCTCTCTCCCTCTTGATCCTGTCCTTCTCTTCCTTCGTGACCATCCACACGATCCAGTTTCTTGGATGCATCAATTTATTTGCGAGAGAGCAAACCTCTAGGGAATCGGAGGAGGAAAACACCAAAGTCTGCACTCGCCTGGACAAGAACGGGCGAATGCCTCGCAATTGAGGGCCCAGATTCTGCTCCAACATGCACTGAAGGTTAGATGATGATCTATAACAGAAGATATCAAATACAAATTATATATAAGTCCGTCTAAATAGAGGTATGATCATGCTAACAGACATCTGATCCCAACAGATTCTAAATATCGATGTAAAGGTAGGAGCATCACGTCTTGGCTCCAGTTTCTGTCCCCTTTATTTAAAACGACGCCCCCCAAGATATTGGATGCTCATCTAGGACTAGATGGATTGTCATTATTTGTGGATGCCTTAACAAGGTCTAGAACGGCACAAAACGAAACGGCGGAAACATTTGGTAGCTGCCCTGCAGTCAAAAAGTCGAAAAAACGGCGCGGCGTCGCCACCCACAAGTTGGCTTCACGCATCGCAGAAAGTAGGTGGTTACGGGGTACGCCTGCAACTGCCATTGCGCACTTTAGGCCTCCAGGGTGTCCATGGAGCAGCTCTTGACACAGCTCATAAATTGCCACCGTCTGTTCCTTGGTTGGCGCAAGGCATAAGAACCTGAAACGTTGTGTAACATATCATAGAGTAAGGCTTTTTATTTTTTGACCCTTATCGGGTCGAGTTTCTCGGGTTCCTCGAGTTGCCCACCCTAACTTTTTGCGCGGCGCCCTTCGGGCGCAGCTTCGTGAGACTTCGAGAAACCTTAGCAAGAGCGTAAGGCGCTGCGCGTCGTGTCTCTGCTCCAGGGAATTTTTTCCGCTGCGCCCTGCGGACGCACCCTTGGCAAGGCGTTGAAGTAAGTACTAGAAAACAAAGACACTTCAGGCCAGAAGAAGGGGGGTTTGCCAGTGGAAGACAGCCAGGGGCAGGCAGTCAAATGCCCGCAACGGGTCCAGCGCGGGGGCCCTGGGGGTGTAGCATGTACCACACCAGCCCACCCACCTGCCGACCAAAGGAAAACCACACGCACCGCGACCCGCCCAAACCACAGGTGCAGGGGGCCGAGGCACTTGCCCCCGACCACCGCGACCGCATGGGGAGGGGCGCGCCACTATCGAACCCAAACGCGAATAAGCCGCGCCGCCCCCGCCTTCTTTTGCGAAGGAGCTCCCAAAGAGGGCGCCCCGCTTTCAGAGTGGGCACTTTGGCGCCCGCCCCGCCCTGCTTCATTCTCTACCATTTCGGCGCAGCTGGTTTCTCCTGGGAACTCGTGGCAACTCGTTCCAGAATTGGAACTTTTCACTTCGGCAACTCGAGCAACCCGTGGCAACTCGAAACCCGTGCCCAGCCTTACTCTTTTTGTCAAGAAGCTTCGTCACGCACTCAGGAGGCCCATACTAAGTGAGATGCTTGCCTCTGCTAAAATTCAAGAAAATACTGACAAAGAAAAGAACAAAGGCCACACACCTCATAGCCATGCAAGCAGATGATAAAAGCGACAACAGACAAAGAGGCCAGAAGCCCTGCCCGACACCTGCAACCGAAATGAGGCGAGACTTCAGAAGCCTGCAAGGCTTCCTATCAGGTAGAGCCTGGCGCCTATCTACACGAGGCTCCCGATCACGTCCACCGGTGAAGCCGCCGCAGCCCCTTCACAGCCTTCAGGATTATCACACGCAGAACGAAGCGACGCAAAGGCGCAAGGCCTGGCTGACGCGCTGCGTCGGGGGAAACGTCTGCGACCATCTGCGTGGAGTGTCATCTGCTGGAAACGAAGACCCGACAGCAGACCCCTGCCGTCGATCCTCTAGCGAAGCGGCTGGCAGCGGGGGCAGCTTGAGCTTCCTCCTTTTTCAGCGCTACAACCGAGCCACCCAAGCAATTTCGAGGCAAGTGAGTCCCAGGTGTCCCGCACGCCTTGCGGAGTCCAAAACTTCACGCGCAGGGGCTGCCCGTACCCAAGCGAACCACGCGCGCCGCCTGGGCTTTGCCGATTGCCTTCGCACGCCATGGCCATCCCGGCACCTCCTGACAGACAAGTCCGAAGCTGAGGCGGGGGATCTTCTAGTGCTTTGCAATTGCGACAGCATGCCGCTCGAGGTGGTCGGGGATCGACGCTCCGAAAAAGGGTCAGCATCGCCTCGCATAGCGGACAGCAAAGAGGTCTTTTCGCAGCGGTCTTATCCTTCTGAGACAAGTTCTCCCCGATACGCCCAAGCATAGCCCCGCCCCGTTTTCTTAACACTGGCCCGCGTGCTCCTTCCAAGATCCTAAGGACTCAATGACATCCGCGCCGGGTTCTTGCCTAGAACAGCCCCGCTCCTCTCTTCGGTTCGCCGCATGCACTTACTCCGCCAGCTGTCTCCCCGTGCTTCCTCGTCTGCCTGACTGTGCTCCTCTGTAGTGAACCAGGGCCCGCCTCTCACCGTCTCGCCCTCCGGCTTGCCAGCCACTACCCGACGACAAGGGCAGAAAAGACCCCACAGCAACCCCGTGGCGGCGCCTGTATGAGTGTCCCCCAGCGACGTCCACCTGTTGCGCCAAATCATATCCCGCCAAGGCGCCCTTACAAACATCCCCAGCAACCCCGAGAGCAGCAACGCGGGCAGCAGTTTGCAAAACACAGCACACCACCGCCCAGCCCGTTTCGCCTAACGTGAGAAACCTCCCCCGCGGGCTTTCCCTCAGACACGGCCCCGACAATTGCCCGGCCCTCCTCCCGTCGATCATCCGCGCCGGCCTGTTTGATTGTGCGCCCAGTCGCGGAGACTCTGCCTCGCGTCCTGCGCCCCTACCCTGTCCTCCCTGGCTTTCGTTTTCTGGTCATCTTGCTGGGGGGGTGGGTCCTCCTATGCGGGGTAGAGTGCACGTCACTACCCAGTGACGCGCCAAAAGTGCAAAATAGAAATACTTCCTCTCTTCACCCTCCGCGCCTTTTGTTACGTTCCCAAAGACGTGAGCGATGGCAGGGCACAAGAAGCTGGTAGCCCGTGCGTTTCCGCTCGCGCTCGCGCCGATAGTAATGAGGTCAACTCCTGTCAAGCCTAAAGGTATCGCGTATCTCTGGACACTTGGCAAGAGGGTCATCGCTATAGCATTCGAATTTTGTTCAGTGTGATGCGACTGGGCAGCTGTTGCATCACCAAGATCGCCAGACAGAGGCGGATCGTCGGGATCCGTTCCGTCAATCTTCCTTTTTCTTAGAGAGGCGACGCAAACTATCTATAATTTCGTCTTTTATTATTTTGTATGGTCATGATGACGATGAGTAAATAACCAAACAGCGCCTGTAGAATACAATACCAGAAGCTCGGCTACGTGAGGAGCCATTTTACCTACTGGAAGTTTTTTGTCAGGTGTTCGCCCCGCGTTGTAGTTCTAGCTTATGCTTGACTTCCTAGAAGAGCCGTACAGCAGCAACACTCTCGAACTTACAATCTACGATAAGAAGTCGTCAAATGGTTGCCGTAAAGCCATGTTCTCGTAGAGGAAATCCGGTATGCGTCCCTTCAATTGCTCCAGCTGGTCAACATACGCAGCTGGGAGGTCCTGTGTGGCTCCTTCACTGAGAAAGCTTGCTGAAGGCGGAGCGCCGGCGAAGCGCTCCCGCATGTACCTTTTGAGAAAGCTACTACTTCTAGCTCTCGACGTAGTAGAATTATCTCGCCTAATATGAGGACTAGCAGAATCCCGATCAATCAGAACTCCAGTCGTGCCGTCAACTTTGCTAGAAGTTGAAGGTCTCTCTTTGCTACATGTACTTGCTTTCTTGTGCTCATCATCCTCTTCTTGTTGTGTTGCCGGAGGCGATGAAGGTTCTTCAGACTGTTCGTCTTCGCAAGCCTCTGACTTGCTTTCTTCGGGTGTTTTTTCCGTAACATCAGTGGGATCTCCGGTTCCTTTAGCTGCAGCATTTTTTGCTCTTTCTAGTACTTTCCCACCCCCATAGAGTTGCTTGCGCGTGTCCCCTCCAGGTCCTTTTGGAATGTCAGTGTTGCCTGAAGAGCTTGCTTCCGGACAACCGCTCTGCGCCTGAGTGCCAGACGTACATTCCTGACCCCCTTGATCACTACTTTCCCGTGAGGACAATTTTTGCACAGGAGGAATTACAAGGATTTTTTTTGGTTTTATACGCTGTTTTGAAGATGCATCTCCTCCTCCAAGATTGTTCGGGCTCATGTTCACCCATGTTCCTCTTCTACCACCTTTTCCCTCGCCTGCCGTACTGGCAGAGGAGCGACCGCCTCCCTTTGCGGCTCTGGCAGAAGAACTGCCGCCAGGAGGAGTTCTTGTTCCAACGAGGTGGCCGGCTTCTGCTCCTGCTTCTACCCTTGTTCCTGGTGCTAGATTGATGTTTGGAATTTTTCCACTAGAACTACAAGTAGCATTTATTTTACCACCTTTCGCATTAGTTGTCGTGCCTCGTCCAACTCTAGTGTTACCTCCAGCCAGAATTACTAGAGAAGATGAGCCAGAATCACTAGAGGTCGTACTACCTCCAAAGCCTTTGGCATTATTTGTTTTGAAAACGTTACAACCAGTTGCAGCAACATAGTCGCCACCAAGTGTTCCTCCAAAGTCAAAGGGCGTGTTAGATGAGCAAGAACCGGATTGGTGCAGACTATAGGAGGTGGCTGAACTGCATGACGACGCACCTGAAGCGCTTCGAGGGGTAGTACGAACAGTCTTACCATTAGAGCGCACCCTTATCGTCCATCCTGAAATGCATCCTGAGACCGGTTCCCCCTTGAAAACGTGCCCAAGATGCTTCCGACAATGGATCATTAGGGGAGCCTTAATACCACTCCCTTCTCGAGACGCTTGATGTCCTAGTCCTACTCCTCCTCCCGCAAAGCGTGGGATGAGGCCGCAAAGCGTGGGATGAGCGCTCTTTTTGAAGTCGTAGGATGAGGCCGCAAAGTCGTGGGCAGAGGCCGCCCTCTTGACCGCCGCTTGGTGCTGCTGACCCGTGGTCTTTCTATTACTGCTTGTCGCACTCCCACTTCCTCCAACATTGGTTCTCCGATCGGTTGAAGCCGACGTTTTTCCATGATTGTAAGGCCAGCACCAAGCTTCATGGGATGCTTGCTGCGGCGTCGCGTTGAAGATACTGTACAAAGACGACGAGCTACTTCTACCTGGAGCGCCAGACGTCACGTTTAAGCTTCCTGCTTGCTGTTGTGCAAGATGAACTTGTTCCACCTCTGACGACGTACTATGCTGGCTGATGTGTTCCGGTTGTGCTAGAATTTGCGCTGGTCCAGCACTGCTAACATTAGATCTAGTCACCTCGTCGATTCATCTTCTTGAAGACTCCAAAGTCTGATCGTGAAGATCTGCTGAGCGTGAGGATCATCTGCAAAGTATTCATTGTTCTCTTTTCTACTTGAAAAGAACGTAGGGAAGATGAAGATGTAGAAAAGAAGCCTTCCGAAGATGTCAGATGGATTTTTAGTAGGCTAGCCTTAACATGATTCGTTGTATTTGGCACACTTCCGATACTGTAAAGGCCGTCAAGCTGGTGCTCTACTCCACCCACCATCTGTTGATGCTGTTCCAGAACCGTCTGGTCACCGTGCATGCCCCCTGGGGTACTGAGGTTAGAAGCAAGACGAGGGGGTGACCATCCTCTTGATGTTCTTGATGTATCTCTACTATAAATCGGGAAGCTGTTCTTGTGACATCAACTCTGTATACTTAGACTACTCCGTAAGCTGTTCTTGTGACAACTCTGTATACTTACTATTCGTCCGTAAGCCGTTCTGGTGACAACTGAATTATCCATAATGTTGCATGTCGTGTTCAGCAGAGCGCAATCGTTATGCTGCATATAGTCGATTCCATATAAAGCGCGACTATGCAGCTGCTCGTCGTTTTAGAGGTAGGTTTTTGGCGCTCGCTTACCCCGCTTGTTATGCCTTTCTCGTTCTCCCTTAGGAGAGACATAAAAAGCGGTAAGAAAAGCACCTTTAGCCTACCCTTAATCGTTGTAAAGACCAAGTGGATCATCCGTGATTCCATGCTCGTCTAGTGTCGCCAACGTCTCCAAGTGCTGGGAGCCGTCTAACTTTTAGAGATGTATTATCATTTTTCTTGGGTCCTATGATGTATAATTGGTAAGTTCAAGTTCAAGTTCAAGTTCAAGTTCGTTGATGAAAACTCTAGGAGGCGGTAAGAGTAAGTTAGAGATGTATTATCATTTTTGGGCTTTATGTATTGGGAGTCAGGAAAAATGCAGGAACTTCGCATAAAACCCAGGATGGTGAGACGTCTGCAACTGGTGTCCATGACGACTAGAAAGGGGATTCAGTTTGAGTTAGCGAGTGATCGTCTGTCATTTGCAAAAAAAATATCAAGCAATTTGTAGCATGCACGCACACACCAATCCAAATGTCACGAAGCACGATGCGTCTTTCAGGTGAAGAAAGTACAAGACTCAAAGTGTGCTAACTTCACTCTTGTTGTATCTCAAAGTGAGCAGAGTGAGAGCAGCGTGAAGAAAGACGTACTCGCGATGTTCATAATTGATTGTTGTGACCGGCAGTACTGGAAGAAGAAACGGGTAGTGTTGTTGCTCACCATGATGATGCGCTGTACAGCTACCAGGATCGTCCGCAGGTGAGACGGCAGCCGAAGTGAGACCACAACTCGGCGATGAGCTTCCTCCGGTTCGTGTCGTCAGTGGTGTGCCTTCTATTGGAGCCGAGCCCACTTCTATTGGAGCCATCTCGAAGCTCATCCACCTGAGAGCGCTTTCACCTTGATGAAAACGTCGGACGCCTATAGATGGTTCTTCAATCTGAGTCGCAACCTTATGCACAAGTGATGACATTGATGAAAACGTCTCTGACGAGATGCTCATGCTTCGGAAGATGGATAAGGGTGAGCCATAATTCTAAAGGTAATTGCACGCCGTTCTCACCAGTTCGCGTGTGACCAGCTGGGTAAAATTCAGGACAGGCAGGATTCAGCGTACTTCTGCCCGTGTCAAGGAATGGGTTCGTGGAGGTTGCGTTAGACCGATATTCCCATCTAGAAAGTGACATCTTTGTTGACCTATATATTGTTGAAAGGGCTAGATCTCTAGAGGTAAAAACTAACCGGCTGTTTTATTTAGTGCTTTGAGCGCCGCTGGGCCTAAGCCTCAACCTTATAGAAAGGGAGAAGCCAGTCAAGATTTTGCAGTGACATCTTTGTTGACCTATAAATATATAAATGTGATGAAGCGAATTGCTGTAATATTTTTCCCCTTGAAAAGAACCCGGCAAAGATGTTGCTCCGCAAGATGATTTAAGGTACGCCTTACATGTGAGACTTCCTAACGGCGTAGGCTGATGCGCAGCACCAGGCGTTCCACCCGCCCATGCAGATCCAGTCCAAGACGAGTGCACCTGCAGCATATCACCGTGAGCATCGGGCAAAATATAATGTTGCTGCTGTTCCATAGCGTGTCTCTCGCATGAGGACGCAGTCGTAGACACATATTAGAAGAACGAAGTAGAAGAAGGATATGTAGAGACAATAAACATAGATGTTACAACAACCCGTATCGAAGCATACGTGGTCAAGGAAAAGAGTTGCACAAGTATATCTGCTCAGAAGAGCCTTTGAAGAAACTAGTCTTCATGTTCCTTCATCCTGACCGTCTGGATAATAATATGGTCACATCAAGAATAGTCTAAAATATTAGCCAAACTACATGATGCAATTGGCCATAAGACTCCCTCACAGTCGCAGGAAAAGAGTAGGCACCGTAGTGGTGGTGGTCGTCTGCTTGATGCGGTAGTCTGTCATCCCATTCTTGGTACATCGAGTCGAGTTGCAGCCTCTGTGGATCGTGGAAATCTTTACGGTACAAATAGGACGAGTACTAGACAGGAAGTGTTAAACATGCTAGCGTCATGATAAATACTTGTTTCTATTTTTGCAAGGATTATGTCTGGAAATGAAGCTACTCGCTATAATTTGCGTCAGAAGAAAAAAAGAAACCAATCCAAATGAATCTAAAGTTTTTTTTACCTGAGCCGCGTTCATCTCCTGTTGGCGTTGATTGTAGAGCTGCGCTGGGTCGGGCCCATACCGCGTGCAATTCTCATATTCTTAAAGCTAGCAGCCACAAATATAACTCATTGCCCGTCGTGCTCCCTCAGTAGAATGTACAAGAACTACCTAGCCTGTAAGCTACGTCCCAACGTACTATAACCTCCCCTGATGATGGTCCTCAGGTCCTCAGTGATAAGTCCGCTAAGAATCCCCATTCAAATTACTTAGTCGTAGCGGAATCCACTCAGTAGTGGTATTGGTAGTGTACCCATGAGTATTAGTAGTATTATTAGTAGTATTAGTAGTAGTATTAGTGGTATTAGTAGTAGTATTAGTACTAGTATGTATTAGAAGTAGTAGTATTAGAAGTGGTATGTTGGTAGAATACCCAGCAAGAGAGGGTAAAAACAGCAAATCGTCGTGATCGACATCTAGCCTTAATATTCCTTGCCCATCACCAAGCGTAGAAGCACGTGATGGTCAAAAGTAATCGCCGTGTGGAAGAAAATATGCGGAAACATGTAGTCACGCAAACTTCTGCAACTAGTAGAAGACGTTTGAAGATCTTCACCAGGAGTCGTGTTCTTGGTAGTGGTAGAAGTAGTTTCCCCTTCACCGTCAGACGTGGGAGTCATGTTCCGCATCATGTCCATGGCATCTATCACGATTTTAGAGCTAAGCACGTTTAATATCAACACCAGACATAATCTTAGATTTAGACTACTCTTCATGATCTCTACTTCTAGCACTAAGCCCATCCAGATTAGATCGTGAGTAAAAAAGTAGGCCTGTGAACTTCTTCAGGTTTCGTCTGAGTCTGAGAACTATCAATCTAGCTAAATACCGGTACCCATAAGCATTTGAGGTGGCGGCTCAGGGCACGTAGCAGGAATACCGCGAGGTTCATGCAGCTTAGAACGAAGTTGTCTGAAATAGTAAGTATCTGCTGCGGTGACGTGTTCAGCGTAAGCAGGAATAAAGTGCAGAGAAATACAGGTGCCCCATGACCTTGATTGAACTACTCACAAGTACAATGCAGATTATGAACTTCTTACACTTGTTACATATAACGGGCGGCTTGATCAGTGAAGCACGAAGATGTTGAGAAAGAAACCTTCTAGTACAGAACCAACAGATGTTGAGAAAGAAACCTTCTAGTACAGAACCAACCTTCTACAGAACAGTCTATAAAAGAGAGCAGTGACCACAACAAAGCCATAACAGGGAAATCGCGTGGGTCATTCTCAAAATTTCGAAAAAAGTTCGCAGGTAAGTTCTGCGATAGCGTCTCCCTCACAGGCAGGTGAAAACGTAAGTGATCAGTGTCAGCAGGACACAAATCCGGAGCAAATATGCGAACAGGCTGAAGATTCACTCCTCGTGGTTCCTGCTCTATGAAACGAAAAAGTGCACTCACACTCAAGAAGTTGGGTACTAGGATTTAAGTAGGAAACTAGCCAATTTTTTTGAGTGTGAGTGCACTTTTTTCTTTCATATGCTCGGGGCCAGTTGTAGTGCCTGATCCTGATGCCTCCTGAGGTTCTTGAGGAGTAGTAGTAAGACCCTGACCAACGCGACCTTCCAGAACAGGAGGGGTGCTTGTTCTAGTTGTACAAGTCGGATTGATCCTGTTTAGAGGGGTGCTTGTTCTAGTACAACTCGGATTGATGATGTAGTTTACCGTAGTACAACCATTTTCTGCTTCGTCTGCAGGTGGAGTTCGAGAATTATCGGTGGATCTCCTGGGCGTTGGAGTTCTGTCTTGTGTCGGTGTTTCATCGTGTGGACTATCTTTCTCACCTCCATCTTCCGGTGGAGTTGTACTCTCTTTGATTATCAATATATTTCCATTTCCTTCTTCTACTTCTTTATCATCTACTTCGATTTCCAGAAGCGGGTAGAACTCTTTCTCGTCTTTGTCCTTTTGCCCTTCCTCGTCTTTTTCTTCATCTCCTCCACAATCAGCCTCCTCGTCGCAGTCAACGTTAGCAATGATGCTGGAAGCATCTTCCTCGGTCGGAAGGAGCTCGCGTCTGTCGTCGTCTTCCTCGGTCGGAAGGAGCTCGCATCTGTCGTCGTCTTCTTCGGTTTGTACAAGAAGATCTGGTCCTTCGTCATCTAGTTGAGCCCCTCCGTTTAGGTCGTTAGGGCCAGCTTCTTCTTGACCGGACCCAACTGGAGAAAGCATGCTAGCGCCTCCTTCGTTATCCAGGACAGCAGCCGATGCTCCCACAAGAGTTGTGTTCCCATCCAGTGGTCGACATGAGTTGTTCTCAAGGGTCGCGTAGTTCTTCTCGTTTTCATCCTCAGTTGTATTATTGTTAGAGGTCGTAGGTTTTTGGTGTTCGTGGGTTCTCCCGTTTGTTACGGCTGTCGCCACCTTAGGGAGAGGGCCATAACAAACTACGGTAACAAAAGCACCTTTAACCTACCCTTAATATTCTTTTTGTTCTTCGTACCACAAGAAGCAGGACTACTAGTACTGGGAGCATCTTGTTCTACTTCTTGGTCGACACGTGTTTTGTCACTAGGATGAGGTCCACCGACAGACACAGATGGGTCTTCGTTCTCCTCGGTCGTGCGCTTGTCCGGTGTTTGCGTGCGGGTGGATGACTCACTGTCCTCTGTGTTGGTATCATCACAACTACCTAGTTGTGGTACCGTCTCAAGGGTCCTGGTCGTGGAGGGCGTTGCCTTGCTGGTCTCGGCAATAAAACATTAGAGACAAAATTTTGTGATATTTCCATCGACTTTTTTTCTCTGGCTCTATTACGATTACAAATTTTTCGATTAGTTCGACGCACCAGCAGCGGTGGGCGCAGAGAAAGCAAACATTTCACAGACACAAAGAGAAGGAGAGAGGTACGGCTTGAAAATTCGAAAATTCTTTAGCATGCCTCTACCTGCACCTATGAGCAGCGGCGACGGTGCCTGCCTGTGCCAGCTAGTAATTGATTGATTGACGTACCCATTCGCGGGGTATAGCTTCTTTAATCATGGGTGCATGTTTATCTATTTCTTCCTTCCCTTGTTGCATCTATTTTCATGACTCCCCATTCGGTCTGCTCTTTTTGACCTCTGCATCAGTGTAGTTTTATTTTCTTCAAATTCCAGCTTCCACTTTCTGACCAAGGAAGACCAAAGACTTGACATTTCTCTAAACAAAGGGAACTCGCAGATGCTGACCTTTCGGAGCCATAAATGACTTTGATATCTTCACGACCATTAGCGTTCTCCTTGTCGTTCCCTTTCCTAGCGTTCTCCTTGTCGTTGGTATTGTTCCGTCGCCTCAATATTGTCCTTGTCACCTCCTGCTTGTTTTCCTTAAAAATATTGTTCCGTTCCTGCTTGTTTAGGAGGACCTTGTCCTCCAGCTTGATGTCTACTTCTACCTTACGAGTAGTCGCGCTGTCCAGCTTGCTCAGCCTCGGTCCCCTACTTTTGCTGCTCGCTGCGGTGCTAGCGAAAATTTCATCCGCGAGATCCCAAAAATGAAGAAATATATAGACTGTATGGCTCTACTGGTATTTGGTAACCTGAGTTTGATCCTAAGGGTTCTCTTCTTGTTTTCCCTTAGGATCGAATTCAGGTTACACCAAAAATACCAGAACCATTCATAGACGTAGAATTCAGGGAATACATAGAAGAATGTGAATAAAAATAGAATCAACTAGTAACTGTAACGAGGAAAAGGTGGTTTAGATCGATAAACCATGCGCAGATGTCTTTAGCATGTCAATCTTAATGGCATCAATCGCAAGGCCAAGGTTATGTTGATTAGCACTATCAATACTACCGTGTAGGGACTAGATTTTTAGCTGCATCATATAATATACACTATATAGTGGCAGTCGTAATGTTTATGTTAGCAATAGCGGATAGATACTTCTACCTTATCTTCTTACCAGAGTGGGCAATGTTTGAGATAAGTATAGACAACAAGAAAGAAAAGAATATAGAACAACCGTGGTGTGCGTGCGTGGTGATCACGGGACATAAGAAACGGATTTCATCGTTGTGCTTCGAGTAGAGGCAAATTGGTATACACCAAGAACGCGGCGTGAGGATCCATCCGTGAGGAGCTTCGACATTTTTATTCTTTCATGATCTGAGACCACTGGTGCAACAGCAGGGGTCGTAAAAGAAAATAAGTCGTGGTACTAGTAGTGAACAAGAATATTCTCTTTCTAACAACTGTTGTGGTCTGTCATGACCTTGTTTAACAACAGCCTCATGGCACTAAGTAAGGTTGATGTAGTTCATTCTTGTAGTACATAAGGATAAGACAAACAGTTCGAGAGCCTTCATTTGTCGAAGCTACTACTCCTTCTTGCTTCGTAGACACTCTATCCTGTTGACGTCGGTTGAAAAAGATTATATCATGCGACCGCTGGTAATGGTATGCGTTTTGTTACTTCAATGCCGTTATCTTCTTATATATGTCAGTTGTTCTGCTCACTCCTTCTTTCGATATCAACTCTAGTACTAGGCATGGGTAAGTCTACCTATAAGAGGAACAACCATTAGTTTATTATTGTTGATCTCGACAAGTAACTTTAAAGAGAAATAGTGCAGCACTTGAAGAACTACGTTAGAACCAGATTTTTAACAACAAGGTCACGGTAAAGTAAGAACGCTCAAAGAGGAGGAAAATAGTGGCTATCCCAGCCAATAGAAAAACCTGCAGACACCAGAATACCCCAGACGGCTACTACAGTCAACTCATCAGAACCGGCGTAGGGAGGGTTACAAACACGATCAATAGGATCAGGACAGGTGAAACATCAACATCAATCTATATCGGGAGCCAGTTGATATTCTTCATGACTAGAAGTGCAGTGTTGTTTTTGGCTAGCATACCAACCCCTAGAGGATACGATGACACGCTGAAACCTCAAGCAATGAAGATGTGATCCATTCTTTTCTCTTTACGCTATGAACAGGCACAATCCAATGTTGAGCATCCGAGCTTACTTGTGGAACACTACACGCACATGTGTATGAATCGGGGAACTTCCACCTTGCGCATTTCCACCCTTGCCAGAAAAGAAAAAAAAACTTTCACGATGAGCGAGGTTTCTTCGGTGCCTGGCTAGGCTTTGGCACTTCGCGACACCTTGCGACTACTGCATGTAGACCCCATTCCAGGCGTCAGCGGTGGAACAAGGCAAAAACGGGACCAGCCACCCCAATACGACGCCAAGAAAAGCTTACTTGTGGAACACTACACGCACATGTGCAAGGCACACAAGGAGCACTAGAAGCATTGGAAGCAGAATGTGTCAACAACATCTGGTTCTTTAGCTCGTCCGGTGGTCCTTGTCCTAGATACCGTAGCTTTTTAGAGACATTGATAATTCCAATTCACTCACTCGCGCACGCTGCCGCCGACACTAATCGATACAATTCTTGTAACAATCAATCTCATTGGCCTTAGAATTCAAGAAACTTATTCTCCCTAAAAGTTAGAAAACTATCTTGTATCGTTTGCAGAATTCTGCCATTCTTGTAACAAGGATGAAAATCAGAAATAGTAGTGACTTACGCTACTGCAGTGCTAGATGAGAAATAATACTACTGACTTACGCTACTGCAGTGCTAGATGAGAAATAATACTAGTGACTTACGCTACTGCAGTGTTAACGGTGAAAAAAGCGTTAACATACTATGCTAGAACGTAAGATACTCTGTTACGCCCTGTTTTTCAGCTTGATCAACTCAAGAACTCGTCATAGCTTTTGCAACTGCCGGAATAACCAAGAATCTTGAGCAGTCAACAAGATTTCGTTTCATCAAATGTTTACAGCGAACGTCTAATAAATATCTCTATTTTTATAGTGGCTGCCAACTGGTTAGATCCTATGTATAGTATACTGCGTTGGGAATCATTCAATGACTGAGAATCAAGATTAGTACAGAGCTAATTATAGCTTAATATCGTGTTAATATTATCTTTTCGTTCATAATCGTTACCTGTCTTATCCAATCAAAAAGAATTGCTTATCCACCATGAAGCTGGTACTCTTCAGATGAAGCTGCTACCGCTTTACTTAGAGGTGAAAAATTGGCTCGAATAAAAAGCAGCACAATGTATTATATATATTTAGTGACAGCACCAAACAATTTGTCAAAACTGTAGCTAGTATACAAACGACAAGGTGAAACTGATGATCCGAATCCGTCATGTAGAGAAAAACAAAGCCAAAAAATCAAAAAAAGAACAAAAGCAAAAAGAAATATGAGATGAAAGTCAAGGAGGAGCTCTTGTACCAAAACTACATTCACGAAGTAGTGTAGAGGAAGACAAAAGAAATAGAGGTTAGGTATAGGTTAGATTAGGTGTGGGTCCACTAGATAAACCAGCAGACTTCATCAGTGGCTACTGGTTTATCGCAGTTCTCAATTAGATTTACAGCATGATCGTAACTAGCAATGCGGCAAGAGGCTGCGCTGGCAAGAGGCCGCACGGAAGGAGCCACATACACATAGACATGGAAGATCTCAATGTGATGTGTGTCAACAGACAACAACATTCTCGTATCTTCATTCCGGATTTACTGACATGATCATCTTCACCTTACGCAATAGAACTAGAACTTCTGCATCGACTACCCAGCAGAATTCTTCTCATCATGGGATATCAATCAAGAACATCTCCAAGAATGCAATCATGAAAGCACTTAGGGACAACTACCGTTTCTAAAGCACAAAAGAATGAAACGAAAACCGCTACCGTTTCTAAAACACTGCAGTCCAAAGCGCAGCTTCGTGAGGTTGATGTCGTTGCGTGAGGTTGATGTTGTTGCGTTCTCTATGAGGACAGCGTTTGAAGTTCATTCATTTTCACCTTCATGCACAAGCACATCTTTTTGGGAGGTATTGCTCTAACACAGGGGCGATTGATAAGCGCGGGTAGATTCATTATACCAGCGAGAAGGGGAAGTTTTTAGCCCCCGGGGGGATGCGAGAGTCAATACAAATGCAGGACCTCCTCGATAACTAAACTGAAGATAAATGCAATAAGTGTGTAGTTGCAACTACGTGTCTAGGAATGCACGGTGATTGATGACTATGTCTGGCATAAATGTGATGGATGCACTTCATATTCATGTTAATCGTGGAATACATGCTACTACGTGACAACACCCACAGATTTATGGATTAGAATATTCGGAATATGAATCGAGTTGAACAACTCACGATGCGCCAGAATAGTAGTTCTGTTTTCATCGTGAGCTCACTCCTGGCAATGGGGGGGATCGATCATTCAACATAACAGCTTTTGTGCAGCTTGAAATTCTTTCCGAGTTGTGAGAGAGCAATGTCCAAAGACGTATTTAGTATTTACAAAGAACTACTTGATCAAGAGATGTACACCGTGAACTACGTAGCTACATGGTTCTAACTACTTATAGTCGCTCCTGTCTTAAAAAATGAGTTGAACAAGGTGTTCAAGTGCGAACTTCATGATCAAGCTGTAGGTGTAGTCTACTTGTTCTCACTTCTACTAGTCTCCGTACTTTTTGAAAGGGAACTCGAGTTTTCGCAACACATTGTACCAGCATATTTTCTGCATCATTTGGCCGCCACAATGCCGATCGATTGCATCGAAGTTCATACTTTTAGAGAAGGAGCTTGCCCAAGTCTAGTCTCTCCGTAGGGATGTACTTATCTTTGCAGTGATTTGCTGTTTTCCCCTTCAAAACAGTGCGTCATAGAGGTTAGGTTAGGTTAGAGGATAGAGATACAGCAGCTATATTTTATTATAAACAATAGTTGCAGAAGTAGATAATTATGTTGAGGGAAATAAAGCCCTAATTTTTCCACCCCAGGTGGACCCTGTAGCAGAGAATCCCTTCTCAATTTTCTCCACTTCGTTTTTTGTTGGCCACGGTGCTTCTCTCGCCAAGCGCCGTAAGTTTTCATAATCCCTGTCCGCGCTAATCAAGGGTTTATATCCGGCTCGAAGAGCCTATGACAGTGCTGAGAAGCTTACCCACACATTAAACAAGACAGTAAACACGACTCTGCTGCCCTCTCCGGGCACTTATTTCTATTTATTCCTAGACTTAAAGTATTAATAGTAAAAGGTTGTGTGGTCTTTTTCGTTTTCTCTGAGTCTACGAGTATGAGTAAGCTTTTCCTTCTCATAAAGCCAATCGAAGGTGTTCTTGAACTGTGTCAATGCTTATAATTCTTTTGAACTTGGTCGTGGTCCTCTGCGCTCCGACCAAACCCAGGCTTACGCCAGAGCAAAAAATATCTGCCGAGCGTTCCTGTGTTCCCTGCGGCTTAAACTTCGTCCGCGTGTCAAACCCGTCCTCGGGTGCGTTACAGCCACGGCGGAGCCAACACGCTGGCAGGGTTAGAGCTCAGTCAAGGCCAACAGTGAAATCTTGAGTACTTAGCTGCGTCAGGAAGCCGCAGTTCTCCACCGTCCTCAGATGCTTCTGGAGATGGATAATTAGCCTAGGGGACCAAGCCTTAAGAGTACAAGTGCAATTGCGCCTCTACCTCCAGGTACAACTTGGTTTTCCTGCTGAAGATTCTCTTTACCTGTACTGATATGAGACGCGGACGGGACGCCGGATGAAGCGAACGACGTTGATGCTGATTCTTCAGGTAAAAAGAGGTTGTAGCCATTTTTCTGTCGCCAGTGTTTCAAATTTTGTCGTAACTCGGTAAGTGGTGCTCCTGAATCAGAATACGCACCACGCGGGTTGAGATTGAGATTTGGAGTACAGCATTCCTTCACCGCGACGTCTACGAGTTGATTGGAGTCGTTTAGCAGAACGGCTAACTTGTATTTGTCGTCGGGAGCACAAAAAAACTGAACGTTCGAAGACGCCCACTTTTCGATGATCCCAAAAACTCCTCGAAGGTACTCCTGCCGAGGCGCCTTTTGGTTCGACGCATGACGCAATATGCTTTGCCACTGTTGCTCCGCAGTACTTGTAGTCGTATTTAGACCTTTTCTTCCCTAGTTGATGCAGCTATAAGGTACAAACACATCCTCAGGATGTTTGTATCTTATAGTGAGGAACACGAGTGACCCAGGACTGTATCTCTTTTCAAGGGGAACAAAAGGGACCCTTGAAAAGTTTCCTCAGGATGCTTCATCTGGAGATGGATTAGGAAGGCCTTAAACTTAGTATTGTATTTTTTTTCTTTCGGCTCGACTTCTTGTAACAAGCGGACGTCGTGTTTTTGCCCACTCCTTCTGCCATCTCATTCATCTTCATGTTGTTGTCCTTGCGAGGTCTTCTTTGTAGAATCTGCGCAATCACCTTCGGAACAACAGGAACACTGCACTCTGTTTTCACGTGATCTTCTTCTACAGCGCCTCGTGGTCTACTCAGAGGCAGTAAATCCTGCAGAAAATGAATGCCACTGGTGGTGATGGAGTAGCATTCATCGTTAGCGTAACAACTCGAGACCATACTAGTACCAATGTCGAAAAATGACGTGTCTAGGTCGACTACTGCGGTAGTGGAGACAGCAGATAATGAAGATGGAGATGCGCACTCATCTGCTGAAGATGGCAAAGCTTTAATAGCGCTCATTTTCTGCGCGACCCAACCTTTTCCGACGCAATGCTTGAGAAAAAATATCGCAACATCAACCTGCATTGTGTTGTCTGGGAAAATTAGAACCGCCTACTCTCTGGGCATTGGCATTTCTTGTTGTTAAACAAGATAAAGGAATTTTTCCTCTTCATAAAAATGACGCATCAACAAAAGCGAAGCATCACTTGTAAAATTCAAAAAAAAATTAACGTGGTGCAACGAGAAAAGTCCTCGACGTCCTGGTCTAACTAGTTGTACAATAAGGGAGTATAATGTTCTAGTACCTCATAGTGAATTAGAATTACAAGAATGAGCGACAGTTAACAACTATAACAGAAGAATTTATAAGGGTGACGGACGGATTAAATAGTATAATACACCCTTAAGCAAAGGTCCGACTCCCGACGAAAGCATCCCAGCTCCGAAAACTGTACTCCAGCTTCGCTATCTTGCGTTCGAATGCCTTTCTCTTTAATGCCGTCTTTGGCGCGGTCCAAGGCGAGATGAGTTAGGGCCTACTGCTGCAATTACATTCCTCTGTAGATCACTCTTGGCTTCATCTTTGTCATTCATTGCCGTGCTCCATTTAGTTCTTCTTGCCTGTGTCTACAATTTCCCGTAATAGTTGCACTCAATTAATACCCCTAACTTAATCGCGAGACTGAGACAATGAGATGGGAGAAGTGTGGGATTGGACAAGTGTGGGATGTAAATCAACGTCGCTACAACTAGCTCTTAAATTGATGACATCCATCATGGTCAACTCGTCATCCCGCCACTTGTGTAAAACTTTCAATATGCATCGCACTTCCACGCGAAAATCTTGAACCCTTGGAGGTAAGGAGTTGCAATTTGAGTTTCTGTGCCGGTTCCTGGTCGCGCAGTTGTCGCATTGGCAATGCTGGAGCTGTTTTGGTTGGAAATTTTGCTCTCCGATCAGATATCGGACAAGTATGTGCTGTCGACATTCCGTTTCGTTTTTGCAGAAATCCTGCAGAGCAGGCGTCCTGCGGTAGAAGTCGCCGTGGCCCCAGAAGATTTTGCAGGTGCAGGGGTTGCCGTCTCTTCCCCCACGGCCACTCTCCTGCATTAGAGCTACCGCGTCACATCCCTGAGAGCATCCCTGAGCCCTTTTTCCCGTTGAAAAAGGCTCCAAGGATGATGCTGAGGACGCTCTCTTGCTCGCCTTAACTGCACATACGCTTCGACAGTGCGAGGCGGGCCCCAGTGGAACACTTGACGGATATCCCTCTTATCAACGCCCATTCCGAAGGCGCTTGTCGCTACTATTATTTGCGCCTGCTTCTTCACTACTTGCCTCCGCTTGCGATTCGTACGTCCTTCGTGGTCCTCGTCTTCCTCGCAGATGTACGACACGCCGGTCTGAAAAGCGTGCAGCGCGCGCTCCTTTTCTTGCTCATTCACGCATGCGTGATAACGGAGCACTTCCACGCCTCCCTCTTGAATCGCATGCTGCAGATCCGAACAGTCGAGGTATTCCTTTTCAACCGTGGATGCCGCAGTAACGGAGTTCTTGTCTTCTTTTTTTTCTTGCGAGATGACTTCACACCTGGACATGTTGTTTGCTTTTTCATCTTCAGGACTCCTCAGGAGGAGCTTTACTTTTCGCCTAGTTGGAACAGTCTCCAGCTTGTAATTTAGAGTCTGCTAGATTGCATCTCGGCCCCCCTTTTCTTGCTGGGGTCCCTTTTACCTTGCATTTCATGAGCAGAATACAAGGGAAACGGTACTACCGAGATGCCGAGAAAGATGGATACTTACTTCTAAATGTTGACCTTAAGTAATCCTCGTTCTTATTGCCATCCCTGGTTGCACGCAAAGGTACTTCATCTACTAACCAATCTCTACTGCCAATGTTGTTGGTCAACTCGGTGTCCAAATACGCCTGCATCTCATCACACAAATCTCGGCTCGGCACGTAGATCACAGTGGGCTTGTCGTACGCCTTTCCGGAGGCGGTGCAGCTCCGGACTTCATCGACTAAGAACTTGAAATCGACAGCGTACTGGGGTAGAGGCTGCTCGCCCTTCTTTTTTGGCTTGAGTTAGAGGTTCCAGAATGATATTCCTCAGGAGTTCGATATCCCCCTTGGCCCTTTTTCTATGAACAACAACAAGTAAATACATAGGTCAAGGATAGTATTGGAGAAGAATGTAACTTCAACTTGGTAATCCTTAATTGAGTTTCGGATGGCTCTTGGCAACTTTCTTCACTACTTCAAAGTTTAGATTTTCTCGATAGAGGTCTCCGACGTAATCCAAGGTTTGAGGTTTTTCACGAAGCTTCAGAAAAGTATGGATGTCCTTCCGAACCTTTGGGGGCGCGGTCGCGGTTAGCGCCAAAATTGGGATGTCCTTCAGGACACTTTCGCTCTGACCACGCAAGAGCTCTCCGATTTTCAAGTAGGGAGTTCTGAAATCGTGGCCCCACGCCGGAATACAGTGCGCTTCGTCTATCGCAATGAGAGAAATGTTGCCACTTCTACTCTCGCCGCCGTCTCCTTCTCTATCTTCGTGAACGCAGCTCCCAACATGATCTCCTCCTCTATCGTGCATGTTCTTCTTCATTCCGGGACTCCCGACGTTCCGCTTAGGAAATGGATGTAAATGCAATTTTTCAAGAAACGTTTTGCCAGATCCCGCCAATCGCTCTGGTGACATGTAGATGTAACGATATCCCAAATTAGAGCTCACCGAGTTCCATCTCAAGAAGCGGCTTCTTGTTCTTGTTCCGCTTTTCGGAACTAGATGAAAAGTCTTTCAGAATGCTTCAAAATCAGTGCAACTACTGTAATTAATAAGCCTTAACCACAAAACCATTTTCCAAATCGATCGCGCTCAAAACTGTTTGTTCATCTTCACTCCTCTGTAAGTGGATCGCAATCGGACTATCCAATGTGTTCGAATCGAAGACGTGGCGCAGTCGATCTGCATTTTCGTTCAAGCGTCGCACTTGGTCTTGCATCAGGCTGATCAATGGACTGATACAGATGACCACTTTTGCTGTACCGCATCTTTTAGAAGACGTCGTTACCGTCCGAGATGATCGAGTTTGCATCTGCAAATATAATAAGTAATGGATGCATCTTCTGCGACCTGTTATTTCGTTCCCCCTAGAATAATTTAAGAAAAAAGAATATGCGAGCTCTTGAAAGACAAAAATCATGCTTCTCAAGATGAAATAGAAATTATTTCACTGAGAAGGTAAGCCTTAAGTCTTGCTGCCTCGAATAGAGCTGGAAGCTGAAAAATTGCGGATTTCCCGGTTGCGGTAGCCAGGACACCCAGTGCGTCCCATCGGTTGACGCACACAGCACGTAACAGCTCCTTCTGCCCAGAACGAAACTCACGATGCCCGTAATTAAAGGTCAGCAGTCAGTGGCCACTGATTCTGAAAGAAAAATGCCCCATGCCTCTCCCCGTGTTTTCCCCTGTTCTCTCAGGGGTCTCCTCTTCGATTTCAGTTTTTTTTTTTGTATCCCAAGACCGCCGAAGGGATGATCCCAGTTTTATCCAGTTCGCGTGACCAATGAAAGCTGAGCCTTAACGTAAACTGTGAATAGCAGGTCCAATAAGACTTGTTCATCAACATCCACTGCAGACTGCCTATTTTGTCCATTCAAGGTGGAAATAGAAGAAGGAACAGCTGGGGCAGTTGTACTTCTACTACCATGTTGTTCATTGAAAAACTTAGAAGGTGGAACTGTATGAGAAGTTACTTGATGTTTCACGTCCTGCGAACGCTGTCCATATGGAGCGCCTCGACCAGACCGAGTTGCCATGACGCGTTGCGGCCGCAGGTTACTCTTGAGGTGGTGATCATCTGCATTAGCAAGGGAGCGCTGCTGAACAACTGCTCCTCGCACTGCTCCGTATGATGCTGCTGGTGCCTGCGAAGGGATGAACTGAGCAGAGGATCTGCTCTTCGGAACTGCCGATAAGTAGGTATTGGGATCCGACGATAGGAATAAGCCTGTGGCTGCGGTCCCTGAGCGATCTCCTTTTCCAGGAGCTGAGGCACCGATTGTGTTCTCTACCATCATGTTGTTGCTCGACAAGGTAGATGACGGTAAAGAAATATGAGGCACAACTAATGGATTCGCACCTCCAACGGAATCCCCAGCATTTGGAGCACGACTAGAAAAGCCAAATCCAAATCCACCAGTTGTTGTAGTACTTGTACTACCGCTACCGCCACCGGAGCCAGTTGTTCTACAGACACCGAAAACCCCGGTCGTAGTACTGCTGGATGCAGCAGCTCCGAAACCACCGAAGGGCAGGCTAGCACCACCCGCGGCTTCGAATCCGGTGGGCCTTGCGGAGTTGTTCATTACGACATTTGGATAGGGATAGCCGGACTTGCAGTGTTCAACTCCACATGTAAAAAAATCTGAAAAGCGGGTTTTCGAAATCTTGACTGTTTGTTGTAGCACGAGCGGCTACAACATGGCCTACAACGATTGCCGACGAACGATCAGAGGGTTTCAATGAATGCAGTGCAATACCTCACGAATCATTTTTTCTTTTTTTGAGATGGATCTGAATAGACACGGTGGACCTGTCGAAGTAGGAACAGGATTTAGACCCACATCAATGAGCAATGCACGTAAAAAAGGCAGCTTTCAGCATGATGAAGCAGAAAGATGTTGTTGTGTCACCGAGGGTGCAGGTGGAGGTGCTTTGTTGGAACCATCAAGGAGTGAGAACACTCAAAAGGCTTTGCAAGCCTTGTACGATACGCCAGCACAAGCAGGAAATGTTACTCCCACCCCTCGAACTTGCGCATCCCAACCGTTAGCTTCGTCCGCTATAAATCTGGAAAAAACAATTCTAGTAGTCGAAGTTTGAAATGCCGCTTCTTCAAATTCTTCGAGTACTGCATCTTCAAATTCTTCAATTTCGAATTCTGCATCAAGAACTTCCTTTCATCCTTCTTTTTGACGTGATTATGAGACTCCATCTACACGACCTGTAGTACAAAGATAACAGAAATACGCAGCGACTACAACCTTCAGAGTTTCTTCTACAGGGACACTCCCGCCACATCATCATCCACTATGCAATTTGCCTTGTGGAGGGCTTCCGTCAGCTCCGTGGCCTTCTTCTTAGACTTCACATAAATTCATCTTCAATCGCATCTTTCACGCATTTCCCCCTCAGCAAAGGGGTCAAAGATGCTTCTTAGGATGAATTCATGTCTTCACCCTTAATCTTCACTACCGCTTCACATGGCGAGACACAGGCAGGCTTCTGCGCCTTGGCTTCGAGGATGCGCTGTTGGAGCACCGCTTGGATGCGCTCAAATTTTTCGCGCATCTTCGAGTTCGAAATGGATTAGAGGACGAGGACAACAGAAGTCCGGACAGATGGCAATGAATCGGATAATTAAGAATGAAGATGAACAAAAGTTTTACTGTCGAATGAAGATGAACAAAAGTTTTACTGTCTGATAGATTGAGACTGAGTTGTTTCAAGAAATCACAACTGTACTAATGCAACAGTCTGATAAAGAGTTTTTGCATTTTAATGAAGAAGCCTTACGAGAGCATCACCGAGGTGGCTGTGCCCAATTTCTTCTGCTTCGTCTCCGGCTTCGAGGGCGCAGCCATGCGCTTAGTTCCAGCTTGCTGCAGTTCGATAAAGCTCACTGCCTTCACGACCACTTGCGCGCTGCCATTGGGTACTGCAACAGACTTGTCTCTTTCATCACGCTGTGTCCGTTGAGGCTCGATGGTTCTAGGATTAGCGGAGATGTTGAAAGCAGGTTTGTGTTATACCGAGGAAAGAGAACAAGGCATCGAAAGATTGCATTTGCTGATGAATGCATTGAAAAATTTCTATGTACTGCAGAAGAAGCTCAAGCTCAGTCTAAGTTCACAACTATCTATGTATGTTCTAGGATTAGCGGAGATGTTGAAAGCAGGTTTGTGTTAGATTGAAAGAGAACAACGCATCGAAAGATTGCATTTGCTGATGAATGTATTGACATTGCCGTATCTTTCATCTGATTCCATTTGGCTTTTTCAGCCACCCAACGCGTGTGGAGATCCTGCACCTTGCCTTTTGCAGCAGCAACCTCCTCAGCATTTTTGGCGTCCGTTTCTTGCTTGGCGCGCAAGAGCTTGGAGATACGAGCCTCTTCTTCGGCTAAGGCTACATCCAGGGTACCAAGTTCTTGGCCTCCATTGTTGCCTCCATTGATGTTATTTGGCGTCTCAACTGAGACTTCTTGTTGAGGTTCAGGATCGCCTACTTGTGGTACTCTTTGACGATGATCTTCTCCTGTAGTGCTACTTGTGCTACTGCTCTGAGCAGCGCCTCCCCTCATTCGTTTCTCCCATTTCGATACCTCCAATTCTAGCTCGTCGTTTTCGCGTTGTAGGGCAGTAATTAGAACATAATCTTCAAGGTCTTTATCAAGGAGGTCGTGTAGACAATCGACAATGAATCAAGGAGGTGTAGTACTAGATCATCGCAGCCTTCATCTATCTCTGAAAACAAAAGATGATGATGATGATGATTGTACTAGATTGCAAGTAGGTTGTTTAACATTAACTTCACTAACCCTGCATTAAGATAGACTAATCAGGAACGCACACGACCGTTGAAGGGAGGAGTACTAGAACTAGCCTAACACGGAATATAATCTATTACAGATTTAGAAAAGACATACTAGCGACAAACAAGTAGAAAAAGAACTTCACATGTTGGTTATGAATTCATTCATTCGCATCCTGTTGGTTATGAAAACAACAGCCGCATCCCGTTGGTTATGAAAACAACAACCGCATCCCGTTGGTTATGAAAACAACAACAAAATGAAAAATTAAGAACACTTCCCTAAATCTTCAGCCTCCTTCCGCAACCGATCCTGGTCCAAGATATCGTGTTGTAGACGCGCCAAATCATCCCTAGCCCATGCTACTTCGCGTGCCTTGGCCCCAAGTTCAGCGAAGGACTTGGAAACCAGGGACCATTTCGTCAGTACTATATTAGCGCCTCCCCTATTGATCTGCTTAGGGATCCGGAAAGGGTATGCATACGCGTCAATGTCTCCCTTGTACAATACAATCCAACTAATCTGTTTTTTTTTTTTTTTTGTAGTGCGAGCGAGTTCCGACAAGTCAAAACCTACCGGCGTACTTTGCGAGCGAGTCCCGATAAATCAAAACCTACCTGCGTATTTTCCGCGTAGGGATGGAGACTGTGGAGCAGCATACTTCTGTTGCGGGAAGTCTATAGAGATGGACAACTAGGGCAAGAAGCCTTAACTATAGCATCTTTCTCTGGTAGGTAGGTGGAGAGCACATCATCCGCTGCTAAGGCAGATGCTAGGGCAGATGCTACCAGAGGAAGGTAGAAGACGAAAAGCAGAAGTCTGGCGCAGGACGCGGAACAAGAATACAACAATTAGAGGTATCGGGAATCCATCCCAGAGATCATCTGGGTCCCTTTTTCCCCTTGTGTTTTTCTTCCAGATGACTTTCACTTTGGAGATGAATTCTCTACACCCATAAAACAACGGCACCATTATCGACGAGGACCAACTGTCGTAGACGCGTCGTCGAGGTCATGCATTTCTCTTCTTGCTATTTCATACCTAGCGACAAGGACGTGGACGAGAACGACTGGTGGACCACTGAAGGTCTCAACAACAGCATGTAGATTTTGCTTAATTCACTACAACTGTGTCTCTGTGCCATTTGCTGTAGGTCGGTGAGGACGAAAACCTCCTCCCTGGTACTGTCACTCGGCTTTGATAGATTTTGTGTCGTTTTGTTTCCAATTCCATGACTTGCTGGATGCACATGATGGAGAAGAATTGCAAATCGGAAAGAAGTGCCGAATCGCCTTCCCGTTTTCACACGCCTTGCTTGTCGTCTTTACGATATCAAACATGTTGTTGTTGGGTGTCTTCGGTGTCGTCAACAAACAGATCAATGCCAAAAACTAGGAAAAAGCCCCTTTCATTATTGTACATTTGAAGCAAGTGTTTTGGCACCTGCTTTCCCATCGTGGTAGTTCGTGCACAGATTGTTTTCTATATGCGTGAGTGCGTGATATCTTGATTTGGACTTTTCGATTATCTTCCCCTCCTATACAATTGTAGTTGCGAATATTGAGAGACAGACTTTTTGAGACTGTAGCTATCGTTCATTGACTCTTCTATACAGTTTCAGTTTGTAGTTTGTTCAGCGGTGCTATTAGTCCAAGATTTATGTTACATGGTTTTTTACTAAATGTTGATGCCCGATCGAATTAGTTAAAAGGTCATTTTATTTAGCGATATTAGATCTAGTTCCAAGAAGTTTCTAAATACAGGTTTTTAAATACAGGTTGCCCGATTAGTTCAAATGCGTGTTCTTCCCTATCAAAAATCTTAGTCTTGATCTTTCTAGTTTGTTATTCTAAAGTTCTAGTTTAGTCTTGTTGAAGAGTTGACAAGTAGTTGTAAAATCTCTTCTAGCTCCTGGGTCATCGAGAAGTAAATGTCATCGATTTTCATACAACAACCCCTTCGTGCGAATGATCATGCTGCACGATTTGCGACGTGCTAAGGCTCTTCAGTAGTCTCTGCTTTCTCGATGGCAAGGCCTCCTCCAGCAAGCCAGCCTTCTCCAAACTTTGGCGCTGGACGGCCAAATTCCCCTCTTCCACCGACTTCTGGAGGGTCTTGTGCTGTCGGTGCTGGCCAAAATACTCTCGGAAATCGGAATGGGCCACACTGTTGTACTTCACTGGAGGAGAAGATGGAAACATGGATAATCGTCTCTTTATCACTTGGAACACTGGTCTACTCATATTACTTATCGATATCGGTAGTATTAGTAATAACTGGTAAGCAAGAGATAAGAGCCGAGAAATACAGTCAGTATTAGCTTAGCTTTACTTAAAGTATGAACACGTACGTTGTGCTACCCAATGTACGATGTCGGTAGTAATAAATAGTTGTATCTATTTAATATTATATATAATATGGTATTAAAGTACTGCCGTATCCGATTCCTGCTATGATATCTGGCCTCGGAATCGGGTCTTCTGGCAGGACAACCCGAACAAGCGCATCCTTCGTCACAAATTTCTCTTTCGGTGTTGGTCGCGCATGCACGTGTGAGTACAGGATCTTCATCGCAGCTGATCATTTGAACTTGAGGAATTTTAGATGATCTTGGGGACGATGGAATGGACGGGTTGCAACAGGAGAAAATTTGTGATCACACTTTTTTCAGAGGTATGTTCTTGAGATATATCTGTAAGGTATGTTCTTGAGATGTATCTTCTGTATTATAATAAGTGTAAATCTGTGTTCTCTCATCATCTGCGCTACTTGATTGATTGAAACGTATTGTAAGATGAAGACAAGGTGCGATGTTTTCTAGCATTTCATTAGACATTGTGTAAGAACCAATAGATTATACGTGATTTCAGCTTTGGCGGTCCATGGTCACCAATTGGCGGGTTATCGATGAGCCATGTGGAGCGAAGCTGCCCAACCTTTGATGCATGTTCACTGGGTCTGTCTCTCCATCGGTCGAAATACCTGTTGTGGGAGATGATCAGTACTGTAGTTGGGCCTGTTGTAGAAGTAGAGGGTCGTGATGATAACCTACTACTAAGTTGTTATGAGTTCTTGTGAGTATAGTACTGTATCAGGAGAGGATGCAGGCGAACATACGATAGGGAGATGAAAGGAAAATAAGTAGAACAGAAAAGATCGACTGTCGTCCAGGAGAGTAAGAATCTTTGAATTTTCAACTGCATCCACTGTTGAACAAGTTTTGTACGAGCAGCACAATCACAAATCGTCTGCTCTTTATCACTTCCTTGGAACAATGGTCGACTCATATTACTTATCGATATCGGTAGTAATAACTCGTAAGCAGCAAGAGATAAAAAACTTCCTAGTACGATCTCCCATTCGAGCAACAGCCCACATTCTGGAACGTCATGGTCTGCTCATTCCACTGAGGCTTCACTATCTCCTTGCGGAAAAAGTCGTTTTCCTCCAACACCCATTGGGCAGATGGCATGCCTTTGAGGATGGTGTCATACTCTCGTAGTCTGCCGGCGCCTTTGCCTGGCTTTATCACATCCGCAGATGCGCTTCGCATTAGGGCTGTCGAAGTCATGATGTTGACTATTGTATCTCTATCTTTTGTTGTCCTAGAAGTAAATCTAACTTCTCTTGTTCAGAGGAGATTGAGACTTTTTCTTTGCAGCTGCACGTGCACCACTGCGTCTGCGTCTGTACAAAATGATGGAAACTACAAAACCTACAAGTGGAGATGAGTGGAGATGCATGTAAATCTTTGCATTTGCTGTCTAATTTCGACGAAAGGTTCGCGTAAATCATTTACGGTCATGCCTTTCACCCGAGTGACCTCTCCAAGTAGAAAAGAAATATTTCAGAGGGTATCTAGGTTGGGAGGAAAATGAAGGTGTTGGCGATTCTTGGGGTTGTAGACACACGTTGTTAATATTTGGATCGCGCGTTTCATCTCCATGAACAGAAATTAGTAGCAGGACAGATAAGAATGATCGTTCAACGTCCTTCTCGCATCATTTACCTAACACGAGGCACTGTCTCAAGACTGAATTAGTATGCAACATCAATTAGGATGCATCAAATACAGAACTTCGTTAAACATAGAACTTAAACATAAAAATTTCTTCTTCCCACATGTGAAAACCAAAAAAACCACGTCTCTCGTTCCCCTCCATTTCATCCTCTCTGATTTTCTCGCAGTTGAACACTTCTGTAAAGCAGCTAAGCGACCTCCCGATTTGGGCCTTTAATGTGAGACGACATATACATAGTCTTATGGTCGTGGAAATTCAAGAAGGAAATTCAATTGCAGAAGAATTTTCGGGCTGCCGTTCTTTAAACCTATTACAAGTATTATTACGAGATCAGATATGTGGAATTGCAAATAATTACAGATCAGGGTCGCTCTCACTTTCATCATCGCCTAATGCTGTCTGTTGGCCACCAGCTACGGTGAGAGCACCCATGAGCTCGTTCAATTCGTTCATGGGAACATCCTCCGGCATTGCATAGTCATCCTCGTTATCCTCCGGCATAGCTACTAATGGACTTCTCTTGTCGAGTGATGATGGTGTTGTTTCTTCTTCGTCGCCGTCTTCACTAGGAGTAGAGCCTCTGATAGCTGCTGCGTCTGGTCTACTAGTTGTTCCACTACAAGCTGCTCCGTCGACAGCACTAGTAGAAGTATTACTGTTTCCTCCAACTTTGTGCGTCTTCACCTTGAAGAGCCGGACATCTTTTCGCAGGTCTGCGTCTTCCTCTATGTCTTGCTGAAAGTGCTCGAAGTCTCTTTCCTCGTGCGCGACCTTCGCGGCGCGCTGTCCTCGTCCTAGATCTTGGTCTTTTACCGCCAGTCGCTTCAGCTGGAATTTTCGTCTCGCTGCTCTCCGAACCGGGCAAGACACGAACATTTTCCGGACAAGAATCACATCTGGAATGTTATTTCGCTCCATGTCCATGGTCGAGCCTCCGCCACCTGCACTCTTGTTCTTCTTCCTCGTACTCGATCCGGAAGAGGACGACCCAGCGACTCTGTTTTAGAGCCACTAGAAGTGAGAAGTACCCTAGTAATTATGCTACCTAGTATAAGTCTATTCGAAAAACTACTGAAATTTAAGCAAATAACTCCTCAGAGGACGACCCAGCGACTCTGTTTTAGAGCCTAGTCAGTATTCGAAAAACTACTGAAATTTAAGCAAGTAACTCCTCAGAATATTAACCGAGATACTGATGAGAACGAGAAGGAAGAGTAGCCTTGGCGTTCTTAAGCTACCTCGCGAATTTCAGTCAGTAACTCGGATATTTTCAGTTTTTGAATACCCTGATCCATCACCATCTACTTCTCGAAATTAATATACATCTTCCTAGGAGTAAGTCCCTATTTTTCCCCTTGAAAAGCAGACTCTCTCGTCCTAGGATCATGTCTTTCAAAAAGATGAATGAATGAATGTGCCTAACATGAGGCGTTTGCAGTGCCTTTACTAGTGGAAGGTCTTTAATTTATGTCTTTCAAAAAGTAAATAAAGATGGATAATGTCATCTTTCAAAAAACAAGATGGATAATTTATTAACTAAGGGAACTAGATCTAGAACTACGACATCAGGAGCCTTAACTGTTGTCGTCTTCGCCACTGATGTTTACCCGACTCACGTCGTAGCCCAAGACCCGGTCTCCAGGTTCCAAGAGGTTTCCGAGGTGCGTCCTCACTCGGATGAGTTTTAGATCTCCGTCGCCTCCTCCATTCAGTTCGCTGACTCGAGCAATTTCGACCTCGGCCAAGCCCATGTGGGCGCGAGGTCCACGACGTTTCACACTAACGTTCTTCTCTTCTAACATCTGATATCAAAGATTCAGGCCGTTACTTGTACATTCTTTAGTGTCGCCCATGGCCCACAAGCTACTTCTCTAACTAAACAAATAAGAGTTGTTGTACTTGTAGAGGGATGTTGCTTCTTATCAACAATGTGTACTAGAACTAGAAGAACAACTCCTGTAGAATCTAAATCATCCTCTCATACATATTATAATAGTACATACACAGTTAGATTTTAACTCCAAGTCCAAAACTCCAGCATAGACATTAAGCAACATACTAACACTAAGCTAGTACCTCTTTGTCCATCACTAGAAACTCGGTTAAGTGTTTGCGGGTCATGACGACATCTGCTGGGTTTTCCCAATATTTCACTGCAGCAACATCGCATCCCAAACACGTGCATGGATCTACAAGGGAAATGCTCGTCCCCACCTTTTTTTTTTGATTTGTGGATTTGTTTTTGTCATTGTTTTGATTGATTTGTTTAGATTCATTGTGGATTTGTTTGATTTGTTTAGAGTGTGGATTTGTTTTCAGTTTCAGAAACAGAGTCTTCAGTGAGCCTTGGAGGAATTGGCGTATTCTACTTTGGGATTTGTAGTTCCTAATGTTGTCCCAAAGATGAAGAGTTCTCTTTATAGGTCGGTGGCACTGTCGTGGCGAAAAATAAAGGTATTCAGCAGACATCTAGACATGATTTTCTTTATTTGTGGTATAGTACTTATGACCAGAAGTTGTACCTTGTGCACGAGCAGCAATTGCCCTGCCAGACCGTACGCCGCCGCCTTCTTTTTCGGCAGGTACACCAAATCGTCCTTGCATATCGGTGCCAGCGTGATCATGATTGTGTATTTGTAGTTGTATTTGTTGTTCTTCGTGTCGTGGGAGACGAGCGTGCGACTCTTCTCTAATCGACATGGTGACCACTGCTTCACGAAGTCTGCGAATCGGTTGGCGTGACTCTGACTGAGAAAGTGAAAATCCAAGCCTTCTGGACTCTGCTGCAAAAACAGCAGTTGGGAGTGCGCCTCGTGCTTCAGGATCAGCTGTTCCAAATGCATCAAGGTTCGTCGATGATCCACGCGTTGTCGCACCTGCACTGCGGCTTTCCACGTGTGGGGTGTGTACGAGCGCTTGCAGTCCTCGCACTGGTGGTTATGGATCACGAACTCGATCACCAGTTCTTGCTGCAAACTGGCGCCGGCATCGATCTCTTTTTGCAGAGTGAGCTTAACCCTCAGTCTCTTGGAGTGCTCCTCGGTCCACACAAAAGCGGCATCGCAAAGTTTCACCTTCTTCAGACCTATGATTATAATTGGTCGTAGAGATAGAGCTAGAGGTAGCTTTCACTGGAAAGGCAAGAATATCCGTAGTTGCGAAAAGACTTTTGTAATCTTATATATAATAGATCTACCTAGTGATAGTGAATGGTTCTGGTATTTGGTAACCTGATTTCGATCATAAGGAAAACAAGAAGAGAATCCTTGTGATCAAATTCAGGAGGTTACCAAATACCAGAACCGTACACCTAGAGCTTCATCAAGAACAAGAGCTGTGTTGTAAGTGTAAGACCGTACCTTTGATTTTCTTCAGGCATAGAGCCAAAAGTTCCTTGCTCTCGCGTTCACAGGTCATCCATCGGGAATCACCCAAGTAGCGCTCGCATTCGCGGCAATGGGGCAAGACCACACTTCTAGCCAAATGGTCGGTGATATCGAGACTACTCTTCATGCACTGGAGGCACATGGAGCTACCATTACTCTGCATTGGGATGCCGCATTGACAGCACAACATCCGAGCACGCTTAGCCGGTGGCCCGTCGACGCAAGACTCATTGTCCTCGGAGCCTAGGTGAAGATCCTCTGCGCCGTCGGCTCCTGCATGTAGCAGCAACTCCGCAGGCGCACAAACTAGATGGGAATCCATGTTTTCGCTGGATCGCTTACTAACTGTAGTTAAAAATGAAGAAAAATCTCAAATTATCAACACGATAGGAAATGGTAGAGCTAGAGTGAAAGAGAATGAACGACCATAAAAATGATCGCGAATGACTTCTCAAGGTATTCAAAAAATAAAAGCTTTTAGTTCCCCTACATCAAGCTTGTAGTCTAGTGATGGCTTTATTACCCCTGTATGTAGAGAAGAGTAAGAAGGAGATGAACCAGGCAAAGACTGAGATGAACCAGGCAAAGACTAAGAAGGAGATGAACCACGAAGCATAAAATAAATACCTATTTTGTCTTGTTGTTAAAAGAAAAATAAGTGGTTACAAGCAGATAGTACTCTACTATGAGTGACGAAGCATATTAAAAAGAATGGAGTCGTTTCTACAACCAGAACCAGATCCTCTCAACAATAGAAAAGCACGAAAGATGTGAGAATACATCAATACAAGTTAAGGTTTAAAAATATTAGGGTCCACCACACCGCCGCCACATACAATACAACGCAGTTATACAATGAATCTCGCACAGAGTTCCGTGCAGACTGCCATAAGGGCGTCGTAGTTGTTCTTGATTGATCGCATCATATGATCAGAACTGTCCTCACGACCCAGACCCAGAATTCGATCATAGATGTGGATCTGCGTGCGCCATCTGAACAGTATGATCTGCTCAGTGATAGATGGACCGCCATTGTTTCAAGTCTTTTCGTCCATTAAGATCTGCTCAATGATAGATCTAGATGGACCGCCATTGTTTCAAGACTTTTCGATAGGATAGGAGTTGGCTCGCCGTCCAGAGTTTGACCATTATCCTCGGGCGAACGTCCGTAGCCTCAGAGGGAAACTTACTGAGATCTTCATCTTAACTTAAGCACATCGGATCATCAGAATTGCAACATGCCTTTCTTGTTATCTCTTCTGCTCCTCTAGATCTGATGAGCTTATCGTCCGAAGACCAGTCTCGATCCTTCAAGACGAGATGAAACGTTAGACCGATCTGAACAACTACAAAAGCACGGAAGATTTTTTTCGAGGATCTTTGTTTGTTCTTGTAGTGCTTTTTCCGATTTTCACTGTTTCATTCTTGCTTGGCATTTCTCTATGGGGGCAGGGATACTCACCCTCCTCAGCTGAAGTGCAGGTGACTTCTCAAGGCGATCGATGAATTCAACAGAATTTTTGTAGTTAGACTAACTACATCATCATTAACACTAGTAACTCATCGTGAGTACTTTCTAAATCGGTTACTTGCTCGGTTCCACAACGCTGAGGTTCTTCCATGGGTTTCTTGCTCGAGAATGATTCTTGGAACTTGTGTGTTGCTGTTCATTCGCAGACTACGGTCACTTATATGATCTGATAACTACACTGGTGCAAGAATAGGCTGATGTACTTCTACTGAGCTACAAGCTTCCTTATGGTGGACGAAAGTGGAACAAGCAAACCCAAACTAGTAGTACTAGATGAAGTTCTTGGTATAAAAACCTCGCTGGATAACGACTCTCTTGAGGACTTTGCTCTTGATCTTGATGATAGATTAAGTTTCAGAGTAGATAACTTGGTTTTTCTGGATCCTGTGAACAGATTTTGGTAATAGACTTAGTCAGGCAAGATAATGTCAAATGTCATAGTACTTTTACTACTTACTAACTTAGTCGACACAACTTTCTACTTACTACACTGTATTATAGCTTTTCCGACTGTCTGTATAGCAATAGCTGGTCTGACTGAATCTGAAAAGATTTTAGTTAATTTCTTCTAGGGCATTTCTGTTGTAGTGAAAGTCCGTCGAAATAATAAATGAATTGAGTTTGAGAAGGATAAGCATGTTGTATTCGTACTTGTTGGGCAATACATTGAAGATGGGCAAAAAATATGATGACACGTTGGCAAAGTTCTAGTGGTTCATTCTAGCATTCTTCATACTGCTATCGAATAAGAAAATACGATAACGAGGAACGGTGGAGTAAGAATGCTCTCGAAATATATTACAACTGCATGTTGAAAACAGTAGTAGAAAAAATGCTACTTTTTTCTAGTTGATGTTGTGCACTTGGATCATGTTCAGAAATTAATTTGTCATCCGTAGAGAAGTTGAACTTCTAATCCTAATCGTCCGCAACATCATATGGTAAATTTACTCGGAAGCAGTATCAGGAATTGTTTCTTCAGGCGCAGCAAAGGCGAAATCCATATGCGCCTGCCAAGCTGGGACACCACCTACGTCTCCCATAAATGGCTGAACGCGTGCGTTGTTGCCTCCGCTCTCCCGGTTCACGTTTTCCCGCGTCAGCATCCTCGTCTCCGGAGCGGGTGCTGGGACCACGGAAACAGTTAGAAGAAGTACGGGATCCTGTGGATGTGAAGAAGGGAAAGCAAGGACCACCAGAAGAAGGACGGGATGATATGGATCTGAAGAAGGGAAAGCAGGGACCACCGTCGCCCACTTGTTCCATGATCATTCTTACTAGAAGTTGTAGTAAGGGAAAGCAAGGACCGTCGACCACTTCCATGATCATTCTTACTAGAAGTTGTAGTAAGGGAAAGCAAGGACCGGCGACCGCTTCCTTCAGCTGAGAAAATCATCATGCTTATACTAGAAGTTGTAGTTCTCAAGGAAGGAGGAAAAAGAAAGGAGTTCTTGTACTAGTTGGATCCTCCATCTACGTTAATGTTTACTAGTTTTACTTTTAGATTTGGACCAAAGGTCTTGGTTTCTTCCCATGAAGTTCGGAAAAGGTTTGGATCTTCTATGAAAATCATGTGGAACGCATTCGTCGATTACTTAGACTACTACTCACCTTTGATACTCACGACCTTCGTCACAAGTAAACGTCGCCATAAAGCTGTGTGTTGAGGCACAACATGCCTTTGTGCAGGCTGAGGGGCAGCTGTAGTTGTCAGATTCGCTCTTCCATTTGCGGCTTGCTGAGCACGGAGTTTTTCTGCTGTTGTGTTTAGAGCTAAGACGAGTCAGATTCATGATCTTGGATTCATCTACCTGGTTCCCGTTTTCGTCCATTGTTACACAAATCCGGGTTGGGAATATAAGGTTATCTACAAAAAAGGTAGAATCTTCGATAAAAGAGGTAGAAGCAGGCGAAAAACTAAAGGTAGAAGCCTGCAAAAATAAGAGCCAAAAAGGCCGAAGAATCACGGGAACAAGATCAAAATCCGGGGGAAGATGCACATGCATTTAAATTGTAGCCTTACTGTGTTCGTGCTCGTCGTTGTATTCGGACTTCCCACGCCTGTTACTACAGGTTGTGGAGCTGCTGCAGTGGCTGGAGGCTGTGCAGCTCCAGTTGTTTGGGCACGTGGTACTACCGGTGACGGCCCTGCGGCTTTGTTCTGCGCCGCGGCTGCCTCTTGTGCGGATCCGTTACGGGAAGCTTCAAATCCCGAACCACGTCCGCCTGCACTGCTGCCTGGCATAATCCTCTCTTAGAGGTAGTTTTTTTTTTCGGAGTCGAGTGAGTTCTTGCACCTGAGTTCTTACCCCCTTACCTTCCCCGTCAAATCAAGGGGTCAACATGTCATGTCATGGTGCCTCTCCTGTCTTATAAAGCAATACAAGTCACTTCGTGTGACGAGGCCAGTCACTTAAGTAGTTAAGTACCTCCAAACTGAGCATACTTAGTTCACATTTTAGGGTAGTGATATCAACAAACTAGCGGCCTTAACTCTCCCTCTCTTGTCGGTAAGAATCGGATAAATCCGCGACTACGGCAGCCGCCCAATCTTTCTGCTTCACGTCTTCTGCAGCTGGAGATGGGCCTGCCTCATCACCTGTGATGGGACAACAACGGTTGAATTCAACAAGTGCGCCTCCTGGAGGTATTTACATTTCGTATGAATGACAATTAGTACTTTCCAAATGCAGAATTCTTCTTCCACAAAATCATGTTCTGAGAAGAAAATTGTCGACAATTAGTACTTTCCAAATGCAGAATTCTTCTTCCACAAAATCATGTTCTGAGAAGAAAATTGTCGACAATTATTACTTTCCAAATGCAGAATATCCCTCGTGAGCAGTGGCGGCAAGTCGACTCTGGGCACCTCAAAGGACTGATTCTCCACCAAATCCAAGAGGCACAAATCAAAATCGATCTGCCAATTCTCCAGTGGGTGATCGTAGAAATCCGATCCAAAAGGCTGCTCCAACTCCTCAGCCACCCGACCAATCCCAAAGAAACCGAAGACGCAACAGGTTGTTAGAAGTGCCGGGTTCTTGCCAAGTTGCTCTTCTAGGTGGTCTAGAAGGAGGAGTAGGACAGAACTATTATGAAGGAGGTAGAAGCAGCTAGCACTGACGAGTCAGAGTGAGTAGTCTTGTGTACTGAATCAAGCGACTATATTCATCGCTGGTTCTTAAACTTTCTGGAGGACATTTTTATCCATATCATATGCGCATTATCGATGTAGTTGTCAAAGACTCATCTTTCCATAAACATGTAAGAGGTATTGCCCAGACTAGTGCTACGCCAGTCTGATGCACCACAACGGGGACGATGATCTTGATCAAAAAGAGTCCAAAATTGATGATTTGCATGAAAGGGTACGGGAAAGGCGTTGTCCGAACCACCAAGGCATCGAAGTAAGACGCTATACCTGATTCAGATATCAAAAAATTACCGTCTGGTGGCCGTGAAGTCGCGCTTTTCAAGAAAACAATGAATAGGAATCAATGAATATATTCCAAACTATGATGTACTTTTCGTTTTCTACTTCTATGTCATCGATATGTACTTTTCTACTCCATATGTATCACCTGTAATCATCAACATCTACAAGAACTTACCTACCAGGGATTTTTTACTCGAGCCTTCAGCTAAACCGATAATTTTAATTTCTTACTCGAGCTGCCTTCAGCTAAAAGTATGAGTTGTATCTATAATTCATTTTCATACCTTCATCCAATAGCGAATACAAGCGGGCAATCACAGGAGGGGAGAGATGATGAGCTCCTGAGAAGCGTCCAGAGGTGAGCATAACGACCCAAATGTAACATTGAGCTACGCCGTTCCTCGTAGCTGGCACATTGTGGGCGATGGTATCGGAAGAATACCTGATTATAAGCTCGGATTTCAATTTGGTCCTCAGTAACGGACCTTCCTTAGATCAAAAGAAATCAAGTGGCAAAAATCACGAGGGAAGGCACTTTTTAGGAAGAAGCAAGAAAAGTGAAACCAACTCAAAGCAATAATATCTATAAGAATCCGCTACCGTCCTTGCAATCCGCGTGGTAACCGGCCATTGGCGTCGAAGGCCCCTGCTGGACCACCAAGCGACATCTGCACTTGCTTCTGGTTCAACATTCGTGATCCCAAGCAAGGAAGTTCCACCATGGAGCCGAGCTCTTTTGATTAGAGCAAATGTAGGAAATTATGTGACAAGTGAACAGGCCACCGCCTAAACCACCTATCAAGCAAACTACCTAGGGTTCGAGACCCGGTAGATCATCTAGATCTAGGTGCCATTTCCCTCTTGTCGGCTTCTTTCAGATGACTTTCTTGAAGAAGAAGATGCATTGCTTCTTACAACCATAATTTAGGGCCTCAGCGTGGAGAAGACTGTAGAGTGATGCCAGTCGCAACCGAAAGGTGTTCTTGGAACGATAGGAAGCAGCGGTAAATTGATCGAAGCAGAAGGCTAGGTTGGACGCGATGAAAAACTTCGCTGCAAAATCCTGGGAGAGTAAGAGGTGGGAACCGTTTGTTGATTGTGGAAAATTATGAAGCCGCGGCATAATTCTCTACAGGAGTTTTACATTTGCTATCATCTACAAGAAGCTACTCACTCTCAGAGTGACCGAAGGTAATAAGTAATCCATGTTATAACTACGCATCCTCACGTGGTATTGTTCCTTTTTAAGGGGGAAAAATTGTATATTCTACGATGAAAATCTATTTCTATGATAACAATGAACAAGCACGACCTATCTTATACATAGTAGGTGCGTACCTCACACGACCTTCTAGAATCCCACCATCGCGCATACGCCAGGTTGATTCGGAAAACGAGGGCAAAAGCCACAATCCCCGTGACTAGATTCACCACAGTTTCGTCAACTATATTCCGGAATATTCGTCTCTCCGTCACCTTCTCAGCTAAGCGGAAGGACACTAACACGCCAACGGTGATCACCATGTGAAACAGGACTGTGATGTAAATTCCGCTTGCATGCTTCATCAGGGACATACACCGTTTCTTAGAAGAGGTGCAGGTCCTAGTAGGCATCGTGGTCCTAGTAGGCGACATTGATTTCTCTTTGCTATGAAATAAAGGCTTTCCAGAAAGGAAAAGAATGCCCCTCAAGAAAGTGGGATATCGATATTATAGGAAGAACATCAAGGGATGTAATTATATTACGAAGTGCAGACTTAACTTTGACGGTGGAAAGGTCATGTTCGTCATCCCCCTCTGAAAGGATTTCGTATTTGGCTGGTGCCCAACGACTATCAGTCAGTGCAAACATCGAGCAGAAGTCGGGTGCCACGTTGCCCTTCTTCACCGTGCTCAAGTTGTACATCATGCCAACCTCTGAGCTAGGAGCCGCCGGATCCAAGGAAAGCGGATGAAAGGGGAAGATGTTGTACCTTTCTATATTACTGAGGTAGTTGTTGACAAGAATTATAAATATATATCTTCAAATAAATGTGTGTGTGTTCTTACGCTGCTCGTGCAACCTCTTCTATAATACTTTAGTATTTTTACCTCTTCTATAATAGATACTCTTTAGTATAGTATTATTCGAACAGAGCTTTTCGTTCTCTAGACCACCATCAGCATAACTCGAATGTCTTGCATGTGCGATCATGCCTTCCTCGCGTGCATCGTTCCAGCATCGCCTACGGGTGATAGTGTCAGCACCCGCCGTTTGACCAGCGAACTCGTGCATATGCCCATGAGGCGTGCTGCCACCTAGTAATCGTCCAACGTGGTTCGCGGGGTCGTCGGTGGCGTATGAAGGAGAGACATGACTATAATGGAGGGTTGAACAAAGGTTCAATTTCTTTATGTAGTAGTACTAGGACGAGTAGTGTACCCAAAAATCGAGGGGTAAGTACAGAGGACTCCAGATGCAGTCTGTGATTGCAATTCATCACGTGCGCAAGTGATTATGGAGGATTGAGGAAATTGAGGGACAAGTGATTATGGAGGAGAGAAGTGACTATGCAGGTTTCCACACATCAGGCACTCATCTATGTATGCAAGTACTTACAACTCTAACTTCTGTTGGGGATCTCAGAACAGCATCAATCTTACAAGTTTCATCTCATTCATTCATTCATTTACCTGGTCTTGAGGTAGATCAATCTTAAAAGTGGAAGCGTCCTCAAGTGCAGAGCAATCTTACAAGTAGTAGAAAAAGCAAGTGCAGCTGGCGATTTAGACTAATGCAGTTTTTCTAGACGCTGGTGGATTAGTCAATCTTTGTTAGATTCCTAAGGAGCCTAACTCATAACACTAGGATTACTAGAGCAGCAATGGTCTTATGGTCCATAAGCTATTCTCATGTCCTCTTGCCTTTTCCACATCGTCTTCCGGTGACTGCCTACGCCGACTCCGACTCCTACTGCCTTGATCCTCACCGAGTGGCCTTTTCATTGCTCTCCCACTAGGACGATTCGCATCTTCTTAGAGCTATCCGTAATCCATCCCTGTGTCCGAAATCCTCCTACTTTTTCTCTCTGTAATTGATTCTCTCTAGAGGCATCCGCACATATTTGCGGTGGAGCAGACCTAACTAGAAAAAGAAAACTTAGACAAAGCAAAGGTTATCGATCTAAAGAAACTAACCAAGCGCCGGCGCTTTCGTAGTCCGGTCAGCCCCATGCTAGGTCTCACCTTCGAACGCATACTGTGGTGAAGCCGACCTAACTAGAAAAAAGAAAGACCAGAGGAAGATAGACAAGAGAAAAGGGTAACTATCAACAAGTATCCTGAACACATAATGAATTCAATAGATTAGTTAATTATACTAGATTGGTAGCCTTAATCTTCTACTCGATTCACTTCGCCTGGAAACGATGTTCCTGCTTCTACACCTTGACCTTGTTCTCCACCTTGCGCACCCATGCCAACTATATACTCCGGTTGGTGACCTCCATTCGAGCTTCGTCGCTTCTTACTGGGGAATGAAGAAGAAGAGTTGAACATTATACAACAAGACTGCATGCTATAGCAGGGCCGTCGGAATAAGTAAGAACATGAGCAGTAGGAATAGGTAGCGTGATTTCTAGCTGATGAAACTGTATGCCTACCCCACAGACATCTTATTCTGTACCCTAGCCGCGATTCCGATACCCGAAGATGCTAGAATTCAGAAGATTCACATGTTAAAAATATAAATATGCATATAGCAGGGACGGCAGAAGTAAATAGAACATGAGCAGTAGGAATTATAGGTAGTGTCGTGAATAGTGATTGAAGAGTTACTCGACGACATAACTTTATGAGACTCCCTGGATTTCCACGACCGACGTGCAAGTGTCGGCCTCTGTTCCTCTCGCCTGATGACGACGATGCGCTTTCACTGATTTGGTCAGCACCCTGTTCGGCAGAACTAGAGGATGGCATTACCCCATCCATAGGAGGCATCGCATCTAACTCCCACGATGAGGAGGAACAAGAGGACATCTTTATTTGGAGGTAGCTTTTTGGTGTTGATGATGATGATGATTGTACCTATTCTTGAGGTGTTTGTTCTTGGCATTTATTAGCCTTTGCATTTCAACGTGTGACTTCTATATATCTCGCTTGTTATGGCTGTCCCCACCTAAGGGAGAGAGCCATAACAAAGAAGTTCTTGGAACATCTACTACGCCAACAACTACGAAGAAGATCTAACAATGAACGATGAGGCGCGTCGTGTAACTGTAAGTACTACTCGGATAAAAAGTGTGGTTGAAGTTGGGAGAGATTTGGATGGGTCAGTGTCATCCAACATCAAGATTTTTTTTTGGATCTTTTTTGCCGCAATTGACGAGATGCTATTTCTGTTGTAGTTCCCACTAGTTGTAAGACTAACACGCAATACATTGTGGCGGAGCCGACGGACCTAACTAGAAAAAAGAAAGACCAGAGGAAGATATACCAGAAGATGAAAATTTATCATACAACTAGAGGGGGGAGAGATGGGAAGCAGGTGACTGAGGAGATAGAATCCAGGTGGGTCAGTATAAACCGATCGCGTATGGTCAGTATAAACCGATCGCGTATGGTCAGTAAATAAACCGATCGCGACAACAGATTGACGAAGAGGCACCAGACAGACACCTTGGACCACGTGACCGAATCACCCACCACCGACGAGCACACACAGCCGACATTTACGTGTTCCACCAACATCATCGAAACTTTACCCTTGCTTTTGAGCCGCAAATACTTGACTTCATTCACCGAAAACGAATTGATCACCGAAAACGAATTGATTTCGACATGATAACACTGGAAATATCATTGACCAAGTCGTAGTCGACTACAAGCAAAATCAAAAAAAATTCACTGTCTCGAGTCTGCTATTGCATACTTATGCATAACTTTCTTGCAAGTCTGTCTGTGCATGTTGGGTGTAGCTGTCGAGGACTCATATCGTTTCAAAATGGAAAAAACAAGTCCAGCATCTATAGAAAATCAAACTCTTCATCAGAGGACATCATTCCGATCCCATGTCGTCCAATAGTGTTCCGTCATCGAACGGCTGCTGCTGGGGCACTTGGAGGTCATGGCGCATCGGTTTAAGTTAGAAGAGGGAATCTTCTATCGAGTTCATTCATTGGCAACCTTGTCTCACTCTCGCTCTCACACATATAAAGCTGTACGTCACGTTATATATTAGGAGCTACTTATAAAAACAACATTGTTTGCTCACACAAAACTACACGTGGCTAAGGTTAGTGGAAGCACACAGTGAAAGCCTTAAGATAACGGCTGTCCTGTCACGAGGAGCTGCTGTTCAGACTCCTTGTCTGCGACCCACGCTCGCATTTCCGCTGGCGACATGGTTAGAGCGGCTGGGCCACTACAACCGCCACTTCCCGATGCGGAAAGTCTGGCACTGGATATTAGAGGTAGAACAAGATCTAGAAGGGAAAGGCCGTCATGTCATGTCATGACACCTCGCGCTACGTCTGGACTAACGTTATTGAGGCAGTTCAGCCACCTTGTAGCTTCCAAATCGAAGAGCAAGCGAAAGGCCGTGATATCATGCTGGCTTTATAACATTTATCTTTGTGGCTAGTTGATTCTAGTCCGTTGATGGACACTTTGGTGTGGGTGAGAAAACTGCAACAAGAACCCCATTAGATATGAGGAAGTAAGTTGTCTGTCGTGGTCCCTGATTATCAGTCCAAGTAGATGAGCAAGAACCCCATTAGAGCAGATATTAAACGCATGCAAAAAATCCTGAAATAGAAGATTCTCAACCAGAAGTCATAACCCAGAATCGGCAGCTCCAGCGGGCATCTCCACATCCTCACATCGGGGATCCTCTAGACCGTATTCCCGGAAGCACAGCAGTTTGCACGCAGTTGCGATTTCACCAGTACGTTCTTTTGGCGGCAGAGTCAAGGATTAGAGCTCCTTAAGAAATCTTCCTCGTAGAGTGAGTGAAGGCGTCTTACTGAAGTGGAGGAGAACGAGAAGCATCCTGATATGCATTTTTTTTTTGTCAACTATTAGAGGTAGGTTTTTGGTGCTCGCGGGTTCCCCCGCTTGTTATGCCTGTCCCCACCTAAGGGAGAGAGGCATAAAAAGCGGTAAGAAAAGCACCTTTAACCTACCCTTAAAACTAGTACACTCTAAAAGACATAATAATGAACTGACGGATTTCTAACTAAGACTTTTGCAATTACGGTCTAAAACACATGATGCCGTGTTTTTTCTACGATGGACTTGTGAGTGCCATTTGAAAGAATTGTGAGTGCCATAAGACGCAGCACTTCCCAGTGGTGCACTCAGCCGAGGAGGATTGCTCTTTCCAGCTGCCGTTGACCCTGTCATCGCGTGACTGTCATCTTCCTCTTCGGGTGGCAAAAAGCATGAATGAGTGCCTTGAGTTTAAGATCCTGATAGAACAACTTGGTGGAAACTCTTTTCTTTTGAGACCACTTTGCAGTTTTTAAGCAATTACAACTTACGTCAAATCAATTGGTGAACAACATCAGCAGTAATGGAAACATGCTCCACCTATCTATCGTCTCACTCCATCAACCTTATCCACCCTTCCTACACAAACACAATCACAAATCATCTCGGACACTCTTTGTCTTTTGAAAGAATGAGAAGTAATTTTTATCCTAGCACTAGTATAGTTTTATCCCCTCATAAAATGTGATCCAACACGAAACGCGTGAAGTCCAAGCACCGAGCAGTGGCGACAGCGCTGCCACTCGAGAAGGAGTCAGAGTCGTCGTCTGAACTTTCTGTAAAATCCGGCTCCTCACATGCCGTCTCGAACCTGCGGCGTACCTCGACTTTTGTGCTGTGCGCTGTGAGGTCGGCCAGGAAGTATGAAAGGTTGAGGCAAGGAGTACTGGTGATGCATGCGTAATACATGTGTATTGCAGCAAATTTAAAAAAGAGCACTTGCTTCGAGCCAGACCCCTCTAAGGCACCAGGGAAGCCATGGCCCACCGTGGAAGGCGAGGCACCGGCGACCCACTTCAGAAAGAAGCGGGGAAGAAGTGGGCTGGGGGGCACAATCAGCCGACCCTTCCCACTTTACTATGCCAACTACCTCCAAAGGATCCCACCGGCGCCATGCGGCCCCGCCCTCTGCAATTTGTTTCCTCGCAGCATCTTCCGCCAAGGTAGCCATCATATCACTTGCTGCAACTCCTCGAATCCAACGGGCTTGCCATCCTTGACTAAGGGCGTGATCTTGCTGGTGGTTTCTATTTTCTCGACTGGCTTATCTGGTGGGGTCATGCTTGGCAATTGTCTAGCATCCGTTGCCCACTCAGAAGGATACGCCAACCGTCTAACTCGAGACGCCCTCCTACTCCATCTTCCCTTCTTCCTTTCCGTGTAGGAAATGCCGCAGATGGCAGTGCGTTTCTCGTGTACCCCATTAGGAAACGAAAGGGCGGGAATGCTATCGCTGTGAGTTCGGAGCACTCCTCCGCAGTGGGGGCGACGTCAAGTCCACTCGTCTCCCTGAGGTCCAAAGTCATTACTTTTGTTGTGATGTCCCTCGCAGCTCCTGTGGCGAATCTGGGTGGCAGAAGTTTTCGCCCACACTCAACTCTGGCGTTCCTCCTTAAAGCCGCCAGCACTCCCTCAAGCAAAATAAACTCACAACAACAGCCAGACACACCGCAAACGGGACAAGCCGCCGGCCCGATTTCCTTTTCCTTGCGCTATCACCCGCGTGGCCTGTCCAGGCCAGGCGTGGGCCTGATTCATTGAAGCCGTCGGCTGCTATCCCGCCGCAACTTCTCCACGCTTCCGCTTGATTGCTTGCCGCTTCGCCTTAGACTGCACCGCACGCAGCTGCACCAACGCGCCACCTGCCAACAACGCCAAAAGGCGCACAGCAAGCCCAAGAGCGTCCACTTTCAGTCTCAGTCTCTTCAGCGAGCGACAGCCCTCCACCCCGTTCCCCTTGGTTGCAAACTTGTCCGCACTCCTCCACAAATATCAACAAACAGCGACGACCGAAGACAAAGGCCGCGGGCGTCCGCCTTCCCAGGTGGTCGCTTGCGGGTACTCTACTGCGCGCGCCTCCGCCTTCTGTTCTGGTGGCAAGAAAGCCATGCCAGCGGACGCGGATGGTGGTTGCGGTGCCTCCATCCTTGTCGCCACAAGTTAGGCGGCGCGGTGGCCAGCGCTCGCGTTCATGCGTTCGGGCCAATATCTGGCCAGAGGCTGCTGCGAATTGCGCCCAACTGGCAGCCTGGCGGGCACGTCCAGCCGCCTTCTCAGATGGACGGGCCCAAGATCACGCGGCTGAGTATCACGCGGCTGGCGCCAGCTTGGTTGGCTCCCCGTGCCAGACTGACGAGGCGACGCCTGTCGCGCACTTTTGCGGCCATTTCTGCCGATCAGGGGCAGGGATGTACTCCGGCGATGTGACTGATCCACAAAACTATCAAGCCACCAAGCCAGTAGATTCGGGCACCTGCCGGCAGGTAAGCCCTTGGGGACGCCGCTGGCGCGTGGGTGCTTACGAAACGGGAACCGCCTGGGGCGGTGGCTCTTACCATAAAAAACGACGCGGAGGCATCCACGGGGTTGCCGCGTGTGGTTATCATCTCCATGCCCGTGCTTCTCTCACCGAAAAGCTGCCGCACGCTGTCACTATTCTACACAAGCGGCGCCCGCACCCGATTGCACTGCCGACGCGCATCGGCACATCGGCAAGCAAGCCGCGAAAGTGGCGACGCGCGCCCTTCCATTCTATTTCTGCCCCCGCCTCTGTTTCTCGCCCTTAAACTCGCGCGCCCCTCTGCTTTTTGGCTTTGGCTTCGTTCTGTAATCAAAGCCAAGAAAAAGGGGCCCGCTGTTCGCCTCTTTGCACTCAATATTGCGTAAGCGCTCACGGAGGCCAGCGGCGCCGCTAGCTTTACTCCGCCGCATGCTTGGCGGTGAATGGGAGGCGTCATGCCTTTGCGGCAGTCAGCTGCGCCCTACACAAGGCGAGACGCATTAGGATAAAGCCCCCACGCCCTGCGCTCGCCACCACATCAACAACGCCGAAGCTTCCTAGCGCGAAAGCTATGCCCTTGCCAGTTCGAAGTTGGCGCAGCTATATTATACGTTTACTCCGAGGCATCGGCATGAGAATGAAGTGTGACATACGTATAATTCTGAGAATGAAGTGCGACATTCCGTGGCAATCTACCATAAAGTTTCCGTTAGGTGTTCGCGGCAAACTGGGACGAAAGGGGCAATCTCCTTATGCCCGACGTCAGGATGCATTTCCACAGCTGGCGTATCGCCATTCCAGTTGGTATATCCAGCCAGGCTCAAAACGTGGGACATGTGCCCATTCCATTGCGCTAGGTAGAAGTCTTTGTTGGCTGCAGTGTTAAAATATTAATGGGGAATGGCTTACGCTTAAACCAACTACAGAAGAAGGGCGTACAAGATGAATAGAGGTGGCGCAAGAAATTTCAATGACGTGATGTCTTGCTTGCGCAGATACTAGGACGAAATCAGTGTATAAAGCATGAAAACCTGCTTTGAAAAAGCGAATTGCATGATTTCAATATACCTTGAAAAGCCTGCTGAAACGCGTCTGCAGAAGCATTGGTCACCAGCGAGCCAATTAGCCTTACATGCATCCCAGTAGCATCTTGTGGCGCCTCAGTGAAATCGACGTAGGAATGCAACTCGCGACTTTGCTCCTTCGCTATCGTTAGAAGTCACCTATTCAGTGTGCAAGTGCACGACTGAATTTCACCTATTCAGTAGTGCAAGTACGTCTACGTTTTTGTGGATGAAGAAGACAAGTCGCGTGAGTAGATAGCAGCAGCACAATACCCATATCCTAGACAATCCATAAAACAACTTCAGGATCGTCTTGTAGAGCCGGTGGATGTTGCGCTACTGACCCGGGGGACGACATCGGCGACACAGTTGGCTTCACCTTTGGAGGAGGAGTAGCTTCACCTTTGGCCTTAGTTAGAGGTGACACCACCTAAGGTGTGGGGAACAATCCATCGGAACAAGTCGCCTTCTCAAGACGAAATATTTTTTGAGTCCTCTCATGCCTTTTTCTATTTCTCATTTCCTTCTCTCTATCAGATGACGCATGATCTGGAGACAGTCCCTTCCAGACAGTGACCTTGGAGACCGTCAGATTTGCTAGCATAAATAATATTCCTCAGGACGAGAGGCTGCTACTGCTTTTGATTCGCTCTTGGAATTCGGTTTTGGCTTCGCTGCAGCCTTCTCTCCTTCTGCCTTAGCCTTTGGTAGGGCTTTTCCTTCAGCTTTTGCTTTTCCCTCAGCCTTCTTCTTTCCTTCCGGCTGGAATTGGATTGCCTTCTGCTTCCTTCCTCCTTGTACTTGTGTACTAGAGGCTGTGAGCATCACAGGAGTTGCTATCACTGCACGACCAGAGCCAGCACGACCGCTACCTGATCCACCTATTATAGCACTAGCACTACTTCCAGATCCCATCATAGTAGGCAGCATAGCCATCACTGCCTCTACTGTGGCTCGTTTAACCAGTCGCCGTATTTCATCTCTAGCAGCCTCGTGATTCGCTGAGGCAATGCTGTCATAGCTCATCTGCGGCAATGAAAAAGCAAGATCCAGCTCTGGGATCGTCGGAGTAGGAGTTCTAGGATTTTTGTTGCTCGACGTAGACGATCTGGTCCTTGCTAGAAGTTGTCGAAACACGAGACTTGGATTTCCTCTTGTTCTTGACGTTGATCTAGATCTTCTACTTCTTCTCTTCGTTGTTGTAGTAGAGCTGGACGAGGTGGACGACGAAACTGTACTTTTAGTAGTTTTCCTTCTCGACAAAGCTGTACTTTTAGTAGTTTTCCCTCTAGACGATAGGAAAGTCGAGCCCTGCACCTCCCATGCTGCCAGAGCGAGCCACACCGCAAGGGGGGCAGCGACCCCTGCGAGGACCCGCGACATAGTACTTGTGGGTTCGAGTCAAATATCAATCTAATAAATATTTCGAAATCCCGCTATTAAAAAGCGAACAAATAGATGAAGTAATGATCTCGTCAGCTTTGGTCTCTCGTCCGGCGTTGCAATGAATCTCTCTCTAGATCGGAGTGCTAACAAACTGGAACTTTCTCGCTAACAACAAACTTCTTCTCGTAAATCTAATCTTCGTTCCTTTTTCTCCCAGCCAACATTGAAGAACCTTTTTCTTGGCGTTGTATTTTTCGAGAACACGTCTGACTTTTCGCTGCAGACCGGGTCTTTCTGCATGCCCCATCAAGAGGGTCATTCTTTTCTTGCTGTAACTGTTGACAGTTGTCCTCACTTGATGTTTGTCATGTTGTTAGTTCCTCTATGTGAGTATGACTATGACCACGAGTCTTCACATCAGTCACAAAGAAGACATCATCCAAACTTCGTCTTCAGATGCTATGCCGCTACTTCCTCAGCACAAAACAAAGTCCCGAAACCGTCCGAAGAGCCGCTTGTCATAGGTGAGATCGTAGAAACTCCGTATCAGCTGCCATGACCAGGAAAGCGCGGACGTTAGACCTATTCTAAAAGTAAAAAGTAGATCGATGCACGACTTATAAGCAGAAGCAACGATCATGCTACTTTCCTACTTTCTCATAAAGATAAAGTGGTGTATAATCCTCCAGCTGCATCATCTACGTGTTCCATCTGGTGTATCTATTGTCCAGCTGCATCATCTACGTGTTGGTGTTACTTAATACATGTGTGTTGGTGTTACCTATAATACATATGACGTGTTCCATCTGGTGTATCTATTGTCCAGCTGCATCCATCTGTTACTTACGTGTTGGTGTTACCTATAATAAATACATGTGATGTTTCCGGGAAAACAGTTTTCTTAACAAAATCCCAGAAATCACATCCGCCTTCCGGAGCCACAGATAGCAAGTGAATTGGAGGACTTTTACTAGGTGCGGGCAGAACAACAGCCAATCCAGAAGTTCCGTCAGCAAGTCCGTAAGCGCGATTGAGGCACCTAATGTAGTACTTGTTGAGTAGGTCGTGAGGTAACTTCTAAGTACCTAATTTAAGCGTACTTAAGTAGGTGAATGTAGTACTTATTCGAAAAACTGAAATAACCGAGCAACTATTGAAAATAAGGGAGATACTGAAAGAAGAGGAAAGTAGTCAAGACTCTCTTATTTCAGTCAGTAGCTCGCTTATTTTGAGTTTTCGAATAAGTAGGTCAGGTAACTTCTATAGACGAGTAGTGATTTGAAGATCCGAGGGAGAGTACAGGGTTAGGGTTGCTCAAAGTCAAATCAATGGTAATGCAAAGAATGTTCATAAGTAACAGTATGAGGAAAATTGGAAGCATCACAACTTCGAAACCGACGACATAGGCAAGACAGACCATGACACCGATCTAGTCTAATTAATTATCTTCTGCAAAAAATGTTCGTAAATAATGAGTGGAAGGGGAAGGAAATTATTCTGCTGCTATTCGATCTCCTGCTCAAATGGTACTCGTGATGCGAAATAATATCTTTTTGATGGACACCTTAAAAAATTACCACTAGTAATATGTATGAAAATCCTTAAAAAACTACCACTAGTAATTTGTATGAAAATACCTCCACTAGTACTTGTATCCGGAAGAATGCATGGATAGACGTAAGATTCGAGCAACCAGCCAGTCAACAGATTGTCCAACAGGACACTGGGGAAGGCGATGTTCACAAAAGCATCGGGTTCGCGCCAGTGTATTCGAAGAAGAGCTTTTATCAGGACAAGCCAAAATTCGCACTCAACAAGTGCAGTATCAGTTGTCAGAAGACTCTTTTTAGTGTTAGCCTTAAAACGTGCAGAAAAGCTGAAGATGATGCAGCAGATATGAGGATAAAAAAGAATAACTTGTAGAAGTAGAAGATGTTGTAGTAGATGTTGTACAACAAGTCGAATCATCCAAAAGTAGAAGTCGAATCATCCAAAAGTAGAAGATCGAAAAGTCCCAGTCAGCCATATCATTACGAGAAATATCGCAAGCCGGCGCCCAATGCTATAGGCCTCCGAAGACATCAAGCGTGTGTAGCTCTTCATGAACCTCACGTCCAGGTCAAGAGCTCTTGAGGCATCAGCATTTTTTGTACCAGGTTCGCCTGGTTTCTTCAACGCTGCTGCAGACGCATCATCATTATTACCATTCACGTGATCGTCAGTTGTGCCATGTAGTTGTGCGGACGCTTTCGTGCTACTATCCTCCTGTATTCGCTCCTATGTTAGAAGAGCATCCCTTCTATCAGATAGTCCTCCTATGTTAGAAGATCATCCTGATAGAAGGTACGTAGTAGTTTACCTTCCTTTCGTGGGGTAAGTTAAACAGAAGGGAGGAGAGAGGGGAAAGGGGAGAACGTACGCGGTCGGGGGTTTACAATGCATGTTGCTTCATGACCTTCTTGCTTTTGCATTTGCATGTATTCGAAAAACTGAAATAAGCAAGTAACTGATCAGAATAACCGAGATACTGATGAGAAGGAAGAGTTGTAGCCTTGTCAAAGCTAGCTACCTCCCTTGTTTCATTCAGTAACTCGGTTATTTTGCGTTTTTGAATATTATGTCAAGAGAAGCAGGATGAATGTCCATAATTCTATCGCCTGAAGTAATCGGACGAGAAACGACTGCAATTGTTTGCTCACGAAAAGGAGAAATGCAGTTCTTTAGAGAGATCCTCCATGAACCTTTTCTTGAGAAGTACTTCTTGTTAGGCTTCTTACGTATTAAGGAGACATATTCACTCATTACATTTATGTAATGGCTTCAAGAACATTATCGGGAGCTCGGACAGCACCTTGTAGTGCTCCTGAGATATGGTCCATCTCCAATTTACGTAATTAATATAAGTACAGAGAGAATAAAGATGAGTTTCTTAAACCAAGATAAGGAATTTCCATCCCTTATCGCCACCGCTGATCATTTGCTCCGTAGAGGATTCCCCATGCTGATGCTCATACTGTGCAGTAACTTTGTTCTCATTTTTGAACATTGTTCTCGTGTCCGACTCGGACCCTCGATGAGCTTCTGGAAGTGTTGTTCTCGGCGCTGAAGATGCTGCACTTTCAGGTTTATACCAGCGTCCGTCTACGTCGTAACCTTGCCAATAGGTATGGAATAGCGCAGGAAGCGATCCGGACCCAGCCCAAACCAAGAACGTGGGCACCGCGAAAAATGAACAATCTTAACCGAGATCGATGAACATCCATGACATTCATAAAGTGTATTACTAAGTGCCAAGAAGAACAAAGTACTACTACAAGTACTATCCGTATCCTCGAAGAACGATGTAAACCAATTGCAAACAGTTTGTGCTTGATGAGAGTACAACGAAGAGTGATTCGCTCATGAGTGACCGAATGTGCCCCCATTGATGCAGCCGTAATACTAATATTTTAGGTTTACTATAATATTACAGCGTCCGAATTTTCTACTTCCTTCAGAGAAGATACATACATTCTAGGTTTAATACAGCGTCCGAGAAGATAGTACAACATACTGGAAACTTTAGACAAGAACATAGTATTCGTACCTACAAAAATGGCCATAAATATGTAATCACCGGTTGCCACCATTCGATGCATTCAGATACTGACGCCAGAGCTGTAACGAGCTGCACTCGCAGCGAGTTGTTCTGCGCATTGCTTGGGGAAAAACAGCACAGCCGCGTTGCCGCTGCCCATAAGAAATGAAAGGGTTGCACATACACATTTACGGTTGCTAGATCAAGATGAAATCGGAAAATGAAAATTTCATCTCGATCTCTCCCTCTCTATCTTGATCTGTCCCGAGTATTTCATGCCTTCATCTCAAGGCGAGGAGGTGTCACGGGGACTACAGTTCGAGACTACTTCATCCCTTCACTGTGAGCGTAAAAGCGACAATTACAATTACAAATTTTACGATGGGGGTTATGGCGGGTGGTATACGAAAAATATAGTATAACCCACATATTCACAGCAACAACGAAGAGAGATCTGATGAATTCGATAGTCATAGTTGTAGATCTTCGATTTTAGTCACAGCAAAAACGAGGAGAGATCTGATGAATTCGGGAGCCATAAACGCAAGCAATTGCTGCTGTAACCAGAAACGTTGGCACGGTTTGTACTTTCGAAGCGAAATACAGCTCAGGTGGCGAAGAGCTTCCGTGACTCGTCATCTTCTCTATCAAGCAATATGAATATTGATCAAAAACATTGAACTTTCAACCAAATCGACGAGGTGCGCTCCTTCTTTTTTGAGAATAATTACGACTACTATTCTGAAAGGCTTAACTACGTACATAACTATCAAAGATGAGCATGAATCAAAGATTTAAGCATGAGGACCGCGACGGTCCCAAACTTGAAGGCAGTTTTTAGACGACAGAATAGCCAGAAATTCTTCTATACTAGTGCTTCTAGAAAATTTTAATTTTATCGGTATGCATCTCCTTCTCCTAAAATTTCATGAAATCATGATAAAGTAGATGAGTGTACTAAAGAGTATACGACTCAGGGGGCTATGTTGCTATTTATCGAGTAGTATTGTACTCAGTCGTGAGGTATAAAAGATAAACTGACTAGTAGAGACGAGAACCATGTTAATATCACCTTCACCTGGTGCTTGTTTTAGGGGGTCAAGAGAGGAGAGAGGGGGCGAAGCCGAAGATACAATGCAATTAATCTCGCACAAAGTTCAGTGCAGACTGCCAGAGGGCGTCGTAGAGTTACTTTTACATCACGACTAGAAGAGATTCACTCATCGACTCAAGGTGATCTCCAGAACGAAACCAGCACGCATCGATCATTTCCACCTCATGTGTGTGTGCTAATATGGCGCGCGGCTCACCAAGAAGATGGTGTATACTTACTCGCTGCGAAACATTTAGGGTTCCATAGCGGCTCTGCAAGCGCCGCACCTCTGGTGCGCTCGGAAGCTAGACAGAAGCACCTCTTGACCGCTGGGTCCTTTCCGCCACCACGAGCGGTCCCGTGAAGAATTACGCTACCAAAAATAATGGCAGTGGCACAAATGGTATACTCTTCTTCATGTCAACATGTTCAACATTGCTGTCAGTCATATAGTTCAACTTCCTTTATAGCGCCTCTTCTTGCTCTTGTTTCATCTGGCAGCTTAGTGCGTGTCTGAAACGGTTTTTGGACAAGCGATTCTAGACGACTTTTTCCGCTGTGGTCGACATCTACAGCACGATTATGAGACAAGAGTTGGATGAGTATGAAACTTGCATCAACAGTCGCCAAAAGTAAATTGCAGTTCTGTAAACAAAGGAGTCAATCATTCCCAACACTCACTAGAAAAGGTTCAGGCTCTACCCCTAGTTCACCCCGTGAGACAACAAGAAAGAGGATCAACAAGAGAAGAGTACTAAACTTGTCGTACTTCTTCTTGTAGATGAAGACGATTTTATGACGAGTGTAAGCCCATTTCTTATGATATGCGATGCCGTTCGTAGACCACCTAGTACCTTCTACTTACTTTCTTGTCAGGAAAAAATATACCATATATGATTATCCGAGCTTCATGGGTGGAATCTATTGGGCACGTGCCTCAGATTTATTCCCTGACGATTTCTACCTGCTAAAGCTAATCTACTATGTTTTCTTTAAACTAGTACTGAAGTAACCAAGTAGACTCGATAACAATCTCAGATATCTGGCTATTGTATTTGTTACTCGCTTATTTCAAGGATCCGTGTGGCCTATTTATTCGACTTCTACTACTTCAATTTTTGCTTCTTCATCTGATTAAAGTGCATGCGGCGCTTCCTATTCATTATTGTCCTATTTTTATGCTTTTGTTCGCACAAATTCGTGTAGATCCTGCCCCGTATCGTTGACCAAGGAATCCCTGCATAGACATGAGGGCTACTTCAATCGCCCCTCGTCAGCCGACGTCAATCCTCCTCTTACCAAGCACCAGAGGTCGAACGGGACACGCGCCATGCCTCATTTGTTTCGCGCTTCCCTTACTAATCAAGTTCAAGCGCAATCACCTTTTTTTTGTAGACCAAGACCGCAGAAAAGGTGATCCCAGTGATATCCGGTTTGCCCGCCGGTAACGTCGGGTGTATCTATTCCGTATTCAATTTCATATCTCTTAGACGCTTCTGCACGATGGTGAGGGGAAGAACCTCACAGCAGCTGGAGGTGGACTAATTAAAAAGTGAAAGTAAGAAAGAAATTTTGTTGTGCATTAAGTACCTTCTTGTTGGCGTACTATTCGGATCGGATAAGAACTGACCCACCTTCATCAACAGGGTAAAGCTCGCTGTAGCCTTTATGTTAGATAGATAGATAGATAGATAGATGTACCCACTCATGGGGTATAAGTTCTTTAATTAGAGTCTGCATCTCCATTATAAAAATAAATATTTATAAGTAAGCCTCATTTGATTTCTTTTCCTTAGTTGAATCCCCAACGGTCCAACTAGAAACAAGATCTTAATCAGTAGAAAAAAGAACTGATTGCTCGATGGTGGCAGGACGAGAAGAGGTTAAACCTTGCTCACTGGGCTCCTGCTCTGGCGTCGTGTCCTCCGACATGTAAGGCGTCGTTGTGGTAGAGTTCTGGTATAATATCCGTAACCAAGAAGTTCACGGTATACTCCAGTCGCGTCGTCCCGCGTTTGCCTTTCCAGTTGAGACTCTGTATGAGCTTCAACGAAGCAGGGTCATTCGCGTATTTGGTCTTCCAGGATTTACTCCGCTCCACAAACTGCCGAAAGTACTGCAGCATGAAAAAATACTTTTCGGATGTTTTTCCCTGTTCACGCAGTCTAGTCTGAAGCTGGGCATAGGGCTGGAACTCCACGGCCCCCTGCTGATGTTCCTGTTCTTTTCGCATGGCCAGCGGAACAGCGAAGTTCAACAAGGCGTCGACCAGCTCGCCGAATCTTTTGACTGCGTGTGAGACTGCATTTACCTCAGCATCATACGCCAGATTCTTCTTCTTCAGGCCATTCGCATTCCACAGTTCGCCACACAGCTTATTGAAGTCCCCCAAGGACTGCGGACATCCTCCGTCCGATGAAGAACGCGCAACCACATCTACGGGAGTAAAATATTCCAACAGAGCCTGCACCTCGTCTCTGGTAAGTTGGGACCAGGACTCACTACAACCGAGTACGCGATCCGGCGCGTTTGGGTCCACAGGGCGCACAACGTCCTTCCAGGCCCATTTCAAACCTTCCCTATGTTTTTTAACCTTATCGCGTTCGTGTCTGCTCATGCGAAGACTGGTGGAAAGACTCTCCAGCTCATGTGCTGAAAGATTATCCCTTTGCCCTTGTAGTCGTGACTGTCCTGCTTCTTTTGCTTGAGGTGGGACTCTAGAAGTAGTTTCCCTCTCGTCCTTCCCCACTCTCCTCTGCTGTGGATGGGGATGTGGGGCCTGAGGATGCGGAGCCGCTCCGCGGCTTTTGCTTTCCATATTGTCGGCCGCGTAAGGTTTCTTGCCTTTAGTAGATTCTCTAGTATCATTGCCTGGTGAACTAGATGGAAAGAATGGTGCGGGTGAAGGTTGATCTTGGTGCGAGTTCCGAAGAGCGTCGAAGTCTTCTGAGGTAAACGGCGTAAACGTCGGACGGAGAGCAGTTACGTCAGCGGATCTCTGCGCTAGTACGAGTAACAGCGCAGCAAGCGCAGCAGGCCCTCCCCTTGTGCAGAGGTTTCGACGATGGAGTAAATGGCTCACCATTTTCTGTCCTTTCCTAAAATATTTAGTTTGTGAAAAGGGGGCTCTAAATGGTGTTGGCGACTAGATGATATTATACGGTTTTGAGTAAAGTTACTAATACTATATGCCAGGCTATAGAAAGATAATAATTAGACTGGCTAGTATCTAAGCAACTAGGTACAACTGGCTAGCGGCTACTCTTGCTCTTCTGATATAAAAATAAGTGATGAGAAGTTGTGAATGTGATCCTGAACGATAATCAGTTATTAATTTTTCAACCTTTTTTTTGACCACAATCATTAGAACTTCAAGAGCTAAGATTTCAGAATCACGCTCGAAGGCTTATCCTCCTTCTACTCAGCTTAATTCAAGTCATGCAACTTAGGAATATCTAAAAAGCTAGGTGTACATCAAGTACGACCACGATAGATTTTCTTCCTGCTTACAACTTATTTGTTTATTGATACCATAAATGTATAAAAAAGTGCGGATTACTTCTTACTTCTAGATTGACACCATAAAAAGTGCGATCTGGACTTATAATAGAGCAGTTTATAGGGGTGCCAGATCCGGGATGGGATGGATCGGATGGATCGGATGGACTTCCCACCATTTCAAGTAGGACCGGAAGAATCAGGGGGGTCCATCCGATCCATCCGATCCATCCAAGTCCATCCTACATCCGTTCTATAAACTACTCTATTATAATGAGGATTTATGGTTCAAGTTTCGCCAGCCTCGTGACTTTGTGGATGATTTGCTGCAGCAGGGATAGTCCTGCAGGTCAGGATCCGTCTGACGTGGTCTATTCTTCGGAAAGGATCTCTTCGACGACATCTCTTTCTGAATGCGATGATGATCTTCTGATCTTGTTCTTTGGGAATACGTAGATTATGCATCTTCTCGGTTTCCGATGATCTTCATGATCTCTATTTGATAGATCTACATCTAGATCATTGAAATATCCTCCACCAGTGACGTAGATGTTACTTCCTGATAATCATGTTGAGATGCGGCGTTTCTGCTCATCTGTTATCTTTTTCATGCCTACTCTCTCACAACTCCGAGTCCTATCGCTCCAGGAACCTTTTTACGTCCTCCAACTTGAAGAGTTTCAGTGATCATGCAACAGTGGCGAAACGGAAACCCTGGGGCGACCACAATCATCATCACCACCACCAGTCTGCTTTGCTGCTTCTATTTGAAGAATCACCGGCTAACAAGCACTAACCTCCATCTTTTTTTCACTGAGCTCCCCCAAGGAGGGCAAGCACTAGGATTCCTTCACTCCTTTTTCAATTTCATGTAGCGCACTTCACTCTGGCCGGCTATACTAGTGTAATACTTCGTCCCCGACTAACTAAAATCAAGAACGACTAACTAAAATAAAAGGAATCATCATCAGTCTAAAAGATAGTGCAGATGCAACGAACGTTAACGATCAAGCGCAAGAATAACACGAAACAAATTCTCAGTAATTATAAGTCGAAAAATAGAAAAAAAATAGGAAGGCGCGGCCTTGAAATCTTCAGAGCTATTGACCTTCTAGGTCCCGGCTCATTCATTGCTTAATGCCCTATTGTGATGATCAGGCGATACATGATAATGTGGTGGATTTAGTAGAACTAGATGAAGTACTCCAGGTTCTTACTAAAAGTTCTCTATGGTATTTGGTGGTCGTGGTCCACTTGTCCTCCAAGGAGTCAAGCGAAAAAAATTATTGACCTGCAATGAAATCACGAAAATTATGGTCCACAATCGCGAGTAACTCACTCATTCATTCACCCTTGACGAGTGAGCACGTGACAAACTAAGCTGCCGAGCACGCTGTGCGATAGGATGATCAAGAAGTTCATCACCCAGATGGTCAAGATGTACGAGATTGAGAAATGTGAAAACCTCAAGATCATGGAGAAGATACCATAATGATGATGAATGGACTTTTTAGACACTTAGACGGTGTTTAACGAGAGGACCAGCGAACAATTGAGGTGCATAATATTTATGTAGCTAGATAGTACCAGATAAGTAATGCGAAATGAAATGGATTGAAGTACAGCAAGAGACACCCTGTTACTGTTTTTCAAGTCCAAATAAAATAAAAAGTGGCGCTGATGATCATGATGTAGATGTACCCAGCAAGTAGATACATATACATAATCATGAGCCTAATTATTGTTTTCTGCCTTGAACTTACTCGCTTATCTTACGATTTCGAATACTTATGTAAGTTCTATGAAGGGAGCCTTCGATGGTTCGGAACCCAGCACTCGTTCAAGTTAGTTCAAGGTCAAGTTAGTACGGGTTATTATTCCTCGCACTAGAGGATAGTAGTCGTCCTATGTAGTTTAGTCATTACTCCCTAGTAGTTAGTACTAGTAGTGGTGTACTCAGTCGAATTCAATCATAATTTTCCTGCGGTAGACCTATACTTATAATTATACTCATACTTATAGTTATACTTATACTTATATATACTTATGCTTATGCTTATACTGATACATAGTTATACCACTTTTATACGAAGGAGATAACTTGTTCTCTAATACAAATTCTAATTCGTTTTCGACGAGTTCCTAGTCTTGTGTTAATCGTAATTCCGATTTGTATACGAGATAAACGCCGCATTTGTGCTTCATCTCCGTGTCTATCAGAGACGGGATCTGCAGCCTTTTCCCTGTTCTACTTGAGTTGACCTCGATGTCCAGCGAAATATATATTTATAATCCTCATGTTCATTCATTCACTCACTCATGATTCATTCATTCATCTACCTAGCGCGAGGGAGTGTCTCGTGGAAGATGGTTGCAAAGGGGAACAACAAGGGGAGGTCTCAAAGATACTAGTACAGATGCAGCGATAACGTTTAAGTACGCGAATAACATGAAACAATTTCTAAAAAATTGTTACGTTTGAAAACTTTCAAGAAGTTACGAAGTAAGTGTAGAACAAGAAATGAGCGTACTAGAACAAATCCGAAAAACAAAGATTATTGCCGGCCAACTTTGGGAGAGGTAAAACAGCTCCCCGCTGATTTTTCCAGATCCAAGGTTGGGAAATTTTTACTGAAGATTTACTATAAAGGTTCTCTAACCTTGCTCACTGGGCTGCTGCTCTGGCGTCCTCGTGTTCCTCGACAGGTATGGCGTCGTTGTTTTTAACAAGAAGTCCACAAGGTTCTCCAGTCGCTTCTTCCCGGTCTTCAAGTTGGGACGATCTAGGAGCGCTAACGAAGCAGGGTCGTTCGCGTATTTGGTCTTCCAGGATTTCCTCCGCTCCACAAACTGCCGAAAGTACTCCATGATAAAAACATACCGCCCGTGTTTTTTTCCCTGTTCACGCAGTTTAGTCTCAAACTGGGCATAGGGCTGGAACTTCTCCACGTCCCCCTGCTTTTCCTGTTGTTCTCTTCGCGTGGCCAGCGGGACAGCGGAAATCAACAAAGCGCCGACTAGCTCCCCCAGCCTTTCGACTGCGTGTGCGACTGCATTTAACTCACCGTCACCATCATAGTCCAGATTCTTCGCATTCCACAGGTCGTCACACAACAAATTGAGGTCCTCAGAAGACATCGGGATCGGACGTTCTCCATCTGCTGAAGAACGCGCAACCACATCGACTCGGGAGAAATATCTCCGCAGGGCCTTCACCTCGTCTCTGGTAAGTTGGGACCAGGACTCACTACGGAGTACGCGATCCCCCTGCGCGTTTGGGTCCGCAGGAAGCACAACGTCCTTCCAGCCCCATTTCAAACCGTATCGCCTATGTTTGTGAACTTTGTCTCTCTCGACTGAGCTCATACCAGTAGACTCTGGTCTCATATCGGTAGACTCTTCTTCTTTAATGCCGGGTAGTTTTCTAGTACTATCATTTGCCACTGGCAGAGGCGGGGTCCCGCTGCCTGCAGAAGGCGGGGTCGCTCCTTCAGAACACCACGCGTAGGATTGCGATGGAGTTCTCTGGTCGGCGGCAATGTGAGCCGTCGTCTCATTGTAGAAAAGTGGCTGCTGCTGTGCTGTAGCTCCACTTCTATTCTTGTGCAGATTATCTGCAGCTTCTGTGGGACCTTCTACTGGCTCTTGTCCACCTGCGGGTGCTGTGGAGGTGGGCACGAATTGATTGCATGGATACGAAGTAGAACAGGGAATCCACACCGGCATGAAAGGAGGTGAATACGAGTTTTCGACTCCTCCTGCAGGAACTGGACCAAAACCGTAGTTAACAGGAAAAAAATTTCCAGGTTGTTGAGCACAACATGTTACAGCTACAGGCACTGCGACAAATGCTTGTACAGGTACTGGACAATATAGCACGGCGGGTACTGGTGCACCCTCAGCAGTACCATCAGGAGAAACCCGCCCTGAAGAAGTACTTCCATGAGGAGCAGGAACTACAACAGGCGTGGTTCCAGTCCACATTGGGTAAAAAGTAGCGCGAGGATGTTGATCATGTTGTTCACATCCTCCATGTGGCCGCGAGGGCAACGGCGATCCGTGCTGAGGCGAGTTGTGTCCAGGTCCACGAGAAGGAGATGCAGAACAAGAGGACGACCCCCACAGTAGCTGCGGTGAGCTAGATGTGGAGGATGTTGCGGGTGAAGGTTGATCTTGATTCGGACCTCTGGTGGAACATGCTTCTTGCGTAGAAGACGTGCTGATCGGACTGCGGAAGTCGCTACATTGTTCTTGCACACCTCCTTGTTCGTATATGAATTGATCTTGTTGCGCCTGCTCGTGGTGGCCATCATCTTCGTCCTGGTGAAGTAGAGCCTGGTAATCTTCTGGCGTAAACTTCGTAAACGTCGGACGGAGAGCAGTTACGTCAGCGGATCTCTGCGCTAGTAAGAGCAACAGCGCAACAAGGGCAGCAGGCCCTTCCCTTGTGCAGAGGTTCCGACGATGGAGTAAATGGCTCATCATTTTCTGACTAGAGGTTATATGGTTTTGAGTAAAATCACTATATGCCAGGCTATGGAAAGCGAAAGATAAAAATAATTAGACTGGCTAGTATCTAAACAACTTCTAGGCACGACTGGCTACTCTTGCTCTTTTGATGAAGATATAAAAATATGTGAACGTGAAGTGATGAGTTGTGATCGTGAACGACAATTATTTAAGTTATTTTTCAACAGTTAGAACTTCAAGAGCTAAGATTTCAGAATCACGCTCGAAATCTTATCCTCCTTCTACTCAGCTTAATTCAAGTCATGCAACTTAGGAATATCCCCAAAGCTAGGTGTACATCAAGTACGACCACGATAGATTTTCTTCCTGCTTACAACTTTATTGTTCATACCATAAAACTAGAAAAAAGTGCGGATTACTTCTTACTTCTAGATTGACACCATAAAAAGTGCGATCTGGACTTATAATGAGGATTTATGGTTCAAGTTTCGCCCGTCTCGTGACTTTGTGGATGATTTGGAGTAGGGACAGGCCTACAGGTCAGGATCCGTTTGATCTTTAATGTGATCTATTCTTCGGAAAGGATCTCTTCGACGACATCTCTTTCTGAATGCGATGATGATCTTCTGATCTTGTTCTTTGGGAATACGTAGATTATGCATCTCCTCGGCCTCGGTTTCCGATGATCTTCATGATCTTTTCTTTGGAGATAGATCTACTTAGATCATCATAGAAATACTCTCCGTCTGTCGCCACCGTAGTCGCAGATATTTAAGCGCAAGCTCAAGGGGTCTTCCCGTTTGAGAGGAAAAAGTTATCATTTGCGTGAAAAAGGTCCAAGTGCATTTTCATTACATAGCCTTTCTTTTCAAAAGCAGAGTTCTCGTTTAGCACCGCTTTTTGATGATAAACCAAAGAGAAACAAATAGATTCGCATCACTTGTCGACTACCTTCTAGTGGTTGCATGAGGACTAGCTACATCATTACACTTATCTTTCAGGCCGCTCTTTGATTGAAACAAATAGTACTTACTAACTTATACGGAAGCTGAACTTCTCTATACTAGAGGACGGGGGTAGCTGCTAGTTGGTTAAAATTTCTATACAACCGGTAGAGGTAGTTTCCTTCCCTTCAACCGTTACTACGCCACACCTGGAAGATACTAGTGCGTTCATTCACTTTGCTCACTTGAACTTCAAGTGCTGCAAGTCACTCATACGTACCTCTAGTTTTTTATGCTTGCATTTCTTTTTCGAATATAACTGCATTTTTGTGTTGTACTGAAATGTAGTATGGTGCAGTCATCATATTCATTCGAGTTCGGCACACTGCCACTGATTGATCATGATTTTTGCATTCACTGAAGGTGAAGTATCTTCACCACATTATCGTAGTTCTGCTTGCATCTTTAGGAGGGAATCGAAGCGTCTGCTTCCACGCGCTCGCCATTCATTTTCACAACTGTAGGTACTCATAGTCTTATATTGTTGGTGGAGCATACCTAACTAGAAAAAACAAAAACCGAAAAAATAAAAAGGTCAGCGTCAGGCAGGTACTTATCTACTACTAAATACTCTTATATCATATATTTAATGATTCTCAAGGAGGTCGTGATTATAGTTGTCCAAAATCTTATCGAGTTCCTCAGCAGAATACGTCTCCAAAAAACGCTCGAAACTCAAAAAACCACCACCAATCCGAAACACCGGACGATCGTTGGAGACTCGGATTTGCACCTGCTTGGTCCCAAAATGGTACACGCCGGACAATAGGCGCACCTGTTAGAAGAAGGAGCTGCATTTGACTACTTAGAAGAACAAGAGGACCTGCATTGGACTACTCACATTGACTTTATAATTTAGTTGTTATTAGTCATTTGACTACTTGTTACATGGACTTCAGTATTATTTAATAGGACAACATCAACATGGTACTTACATAATACATCGACTCAAAAATTCAGGACAGCATGTTATTAGATATTTATCCTTTAGGACAACATTGACTTTATTTAGGACATAGACTTTATTCGTTGTAAAGACATCTTTCATTCGTAGCAGAACATGAAAGGCATAAGTAAACGGCACAGCAGGTCGAAAAGCGTGGATGTATCTCGCCAATATGACATCTGTGGGATCCGAGCGCATGGGGACGTACTTGCTCGACAGCTCTTGAATCCGAAGCATTAACAAGCGCACTTCCTGTAGGTTGAGATTTGGAGCCTCTATGTTGAAATCTTTAGAAACTACAAGGAAGCAATGATTTCACAAATCTTTAACTTGAACAACAAGAACAACCATGATTTTTTGAAACACATTTGTTAATACCTCATTTCTCTGCAGCAGACTACGTTGCACATCGGCAACCCTAGTGTCAGCGGTCGATACCACCTCTCGATACTCTTTGGTCACTTCAAGCAGATGCCGCAGTAGGTCTTCCTTCGCGTCGGAGGTGGCATGAAGAAGGCAAGATGTATCATCGATAAAGATGGATCGATAGTTGAGATACAATGACACAGGTTTAGACGTAGTTGAGATACAATGACACAGGTTTAGACGTAGTTGAGATCCAATGACACAAATTTGTGATTGTGGTCTACAAATTTAGACGCGCTCAACATAAAGTTGGTCTTTCTCTTGTGCAAGACAAGTAAGTTCGTCGTGGAGTGACTCCGTCAGCGCAGCAGCGGAGCAAGCGGCTCTGAGTTGCTGCTCTAGGTGCGCGAGACGCAGTTTCAATTGCTTGTTGCGCATTTCTAGACTCTCCTCTTCTTTCGAAAGAAGCATTAAGCTTGCACGTGCCTGAAGTTTAGAGGCTGATGGGTCGACGTCCAATCAAGTGAGATTATGCACCATGAGATGCGCATGAAGATAAAAACAATAACAAAAGGGCGACGCCCTAATATAGTCCAGATGAATCAACAGTGAGATGAGTCTATGTATAAGAGTCTAATTACCTCTTCCCTCTCACGTTTTGTCTCCTCCATTTCAGTCTGTTTTTCTTGCATTTGCTGGTCACGCTCTTTCCAGAAGGCCTCAGCTGCTTGCAAACTGCAACTAATTTGAGTGCGCAAATCCGCATTCTCAGCCTCCAGCTTGCGGCACAAAAGCAGTAAACCACTGTAGTCTTCTGTCGTAGTGTATTGTTGAGGAATGTGCCAGAAGTTTTTGATTTAGGCGAGGGATGGGGCTGACAAAGATTTTAGAGCACTACCTAGAGGATGACGAAGATTTACCATGAGGGGGCCGACCTAGAGGCGTTCATAACTGCATCAAAAGGCTACCGGTGGATGGATTCGCTTTTTGCTGGCCATGGATTGGCTCTATTGATTGCGAAATATTCCGTCATTTATGGTAGAGCAGAGGACACAGGCGCACTAAAAGTGTTCAAGTCTTCCTCTCCACTATCACTATGTGTGAGACTGTGTCTATGAAATCGGTTTCATCCAAGAAGTTATCGAAGATTTTCCAGCACGTAGGACGCACTTGACTGACCAATTGCCCCAAGCAAAATACCTTGTTGCTCGCTCCTTTTCATGGTCGCGTCAAAAATGTCACAAAAATTCGAATTTCCGTGGGAACTCAATTCCGTAGCGCGTTCCGTCTCGGCTGCTAGCTTCTGTTTCAACTCCGCGTTCTCTTTTTGCAGCGCGTTTATGAAGATCTACTCCAGAGGTGACTTCCTTTGGTTTTTCTAGACGAGGAGAATGGATTAGTCAACCTGTCTTAGTTTGCTATTAACTTATAACACTAATCAAATAGAAATACACTCGAACGCTATCTCTATCTTCATCTCTGAGATCATCCTTTTTTATGAATCATGCTGACGTGTTTTTAGAAGTCGTGTTTACAACAACATGCTTCTCATAACTTGAACATTGGCTTCGCACTCTTCTGTTCTACGTAACATCTGTTCGCGCACGGATGACACCCATCGTTCCTCCACCTCCATCTTGTGCTTGGCCTCGCGTTCCCACAACTCCCTCATCTTTTCGCAGTTCAGTTTCAGAGTTTCGTTTTCGCGCGTTGGGAATGAAGGAGGCGAAGTTGAAAACACTTTGTTTGGTGGGAAAGGTGAAGAAAAGGTGGGAAAACAAACCAATTAGTTGTTCTTACTCTTAGGGTAACTTACACTTAATAGCACCTTGATCTTGCATATGTCAGCAGTGATTTAGTACTACAACTATTTTCTGATGCTGAGAAAATGGAAAACTAATGGTTAAGGCAGGGGAAACCACATTCATACAAATCAATTCCTTGTTAGGGTAGTAGACGTAGACTAACATGTTCTTCCGTCATGTCCTGTCACCTCAGGTACTACATGGTCAAGTAGTTAAGAGGTCACTGGTTGTGCATCCAACATAAGCACGATTCCACTTTATCCTCGTATAGTGCGATTTGGGCTTGCTTTCGTTTCAACTCGTACTGCAGACGATCTGCTTGTTCTTCCGTTACATTTCGCTTCTCCCGCTCTATCGCCAACTGCTTCGCTAGTCCATCCCGCTTCGCGGCTGCTTGTATCTCTCTCTCCCGGTGCTCCTGCACTTGCTTAGCTGACATTAGAGGGCTGCCCTAGAAGCGGAGGGTAAGACGAGATGAACGATGAACAGCACGAAATCCAGTACACATTCCCGGTGCTTGTATCTCCCTTTCCCTAGTAAGTAGATGACATTAGATGATGATACGTCTGCACAGCAACTACATACTACTAGTGATGATGATACGTCTGCACAGCAACTACATACTACTCCCTTTTCCGGTGCTTGTATCTCCCTTTCCCGGTGCTTAGTTGACATTAGACTTTACGTCTGCACTACTACTACATTATACTACAATACTAGTACTACTCAAGAATCCAAAGAACATAGCATTTGTGTCTCGAGTTGCAGATGCTGGTCCTCGAGGTCTAGTCTGCGCTGCAATTCTTCGCCTAGTTGCACGCGCCACGTTTCTAATTCCTCTGCCAGGCTAGCATGTCCAGCAAGCTCTTCCTCTAAGCCACGCATCTGTGCTAACTGTTGTTCCTGAGACGCCTGTTGTTCTCGCCCACGTTCCTCTAGAGCCTGTAATTCGCTTAGAAGAGCTGCGCGGCGGCTCTCCACAGCACTGGTCCTCTCCAGCGCTTGAGTCTCGGCTTCCTCCGCACGCGTGCAGGCTGCGGCAAGCTCCAGGATTTAGAAGAGTTCTCGTCTCCACTAGCTGTAGTACTAGCAGTCAAAGATGAGTGAAACTGGAGAAGAGTTCTCCCTAGTGCAACAACTAGCATCAAAAAACTGTAGAAGGTGAAAGCTTTCTTGTGGCCTTCTAGTTCTCCCATTCTCGCCATATTGTTCCGTCTCTCTGCAGCGGTCATGTAGTAAGTCAATGCGAGATTCTGCATCTTCCAGAAGTCTGCGTAAGCAGGGCAGCTGTTCTACTTCACGCAAGAGCACCTCTTCTTTCCGCTTCATCGCTTTTACCATTTGCCGATAGGGAAGAACGAAAAATGAAAGGGTACTCCTGCAAACCATCATTAAATGACGAGGAGGAGTCTAGCTGCACTACTTACAAATTGTAAGTTACAATACTAGAAGATTGGCATGTTGAATATTGTTTACTGAGATATTCAAGAAGTTACTCTTGATCTTGTCGTGTGAAAAATAGCGTCGACGGATAGTAAAAATCAGATTAAAAATGTTTTTTGCACACTGCATCTACTGGCGTTTTCATAACCTCTGTGCAACGAACTCATCCACAGATGTGACATTGTTTCCCGTCGGCCTGAGGAAAGAGGTCTGCGATGCTGGTACAAAACCCGCTTCTGCATGTGGTTCATTTTTGCCATCGTTTGATACTGTTGTCTCGGCTTCACGAGCTGACAAGAGGTTGTCAGAGTCACCAAGAGGCTCATCTAAAAATTGTGTTCGAAAATGATGATCTACGTCATCCCGATTTTGCTGTTGATGTTGCTCGTTCTGAACGCGATAAGAATAGTCTTGCGAGCTTCGAGCCATATCCGAACCTACATTTTCCTGATACGATTGCTCGTTCTCCTCGTCTCTTCTCCTAGTTCTAGGTCGGAAAGTATTACCATGCCTGTCTCTGGCATTATACTCACCAAGAAGACGCTCTGCGCTACTAGAAGTTGTATCAGTTTTGCTGCCTGCTCTGTACAAAGCTTTCTTCTCTAGCTTCGTCGAGATGCGTGGTGACACATCGTCTTCAGCCAGCAGCGTTGGTGGAATCTTCACATCTCTTCTGGTCGACGTGCTGATAGAAGTACTTTCTTCATTTTTGTCCTTCCCATAGACATAGCCTCGTGTGGCCTGCTGAGTCCGTCTTTCGCTTGCACCCAGACGAGCAGGAGGGGAGTCTTCTATATCGGTCACAGCGAATTGTCTTTGTCCTGGTTCATGACGTTGACGGGGTGGCGACTCTGACGGATCGTACTCGTTCTTGATGGATCGTACGCTCTCTGACGCCTTCACTGATCGCACGCTTTCCTGAAACTGCTCCTCTTGGAGAGACATTGCGTGTTTTCGCAAGTTCGCAGCTTTCACCAAATTACGCTCAAGAGACTGGTTTACTAAATGCAGCGCGCGTAACTGAAAGTCGCCTTCTCGGTTGTACGACTTAGAGCAGGTGTCGAGATACCGTTTGTAACTGATAATCACTAAAGCTCTAGTGGTGGCACATGTAGATGAGAGCTAGGGTATGTGTCGCGCCCGCTTGTAGCTGTAGTTGCTTATATCTTCTCGGCAGCGTGGCTTTTCTTGTGTGTCGATTGACTCGCTATCTCACATCATCTGAACAACATGTTTCCATACCTACTCTATTAGCTTCATTTGTCACGGCGCAGTACTGCAAAAGGACATGCAATTTCGGAGCCTGCTCTGGTGGAAGCGGCGCTTTGAGGTCGTTCGGTCTGGATGAAGACGGCGATGACTTTTTAGAAACAACAGAAACAATGCGCGACTTCCAAAGGTGTGACGTTGGAAATTGGTGGAGGACTGTGGTGCCTACGTCTGCTGGTCTACTTGATTCATCTGAGAGAAGTTCCAAAGTGAATACATGGACACTACGCTAGCAGCGAGTAGCTGTAAGCTTTACAAAGGTGCACCGCTTAAGTCTTGAGTTAATGTCTAAGCAGTGAAGGGCTTCAGTCACCCGCGTGGCGCCCTTTGCGACACACATGAAAGGAGGGGGCACATTCATCACACGGCCCACGCGACAGGTGCGCAAATAAACGCGAACGCGCGCGCAGCTGCTGCAATTCGTGCGAACATGATGAGAGCCAGAAGCCTGCGAGCGTTCACGCACCGCCTCGACAATAGCAAACCAGAAGCCGACGGGGGGCGCACCGCTTTCGCCGCCTGGTCTTGCGCATTGGACTGCGCTGACCGAATCCGCCAAGCCTTCACCTTCGCGGGTGCTGGCAGGTGAGTAAGTAACCCCACAAGTCTCGCGCTGCATCCTTCGCCCCTCTTTGGGTCATGCCGTAGCTGCCCGCAGTCGCTTCCCGTGCCCTTCACTCTTCACCCCACGCGGCCCAGTCAGGGAAACCCCGCAAGCCTTTCCGCAAGTGACGCCAAAAACGTCGCACCGCCTCGCCGCTTTTCATGTGTTGCGCCCTCCTCTCTCCACACATTGGAAACGCCTCAAACACGCCGGCAAGCTCTGACGGGTTCCCCTGCTCCTTTTGGGGTCGTGCTCTTTCCCTGGTCCGTCGAATTTCGAACGCAGACGCCCGCACCTTCAGCGCCTGAAATTTGAGGCCCCCCCTTCCCTGCTATGTATCTATCAGCCTGCCTTCCTTTCCCGATGCTGAGGCGCGGCATTGCTGCGCGCTGCTGCTCTGCAGTTTGCCCTTCGCTGCTGCTTCGCGCGGGCCCGCTCTCCTCCTACGCTGTTCCCGCCTGGAGAAGAGACGAGGGCCAAGCCCGAGGCGCGTGGGCTCCTGGCGCTCTGCTCGTCGGCCGTCCATGCTTCCAAAGCTGGACACAGCGGGAACATTTCCGCCCACCCTGTCCGCCGCTGCGCAGTTGCATGCGCCTGGTGCAAGTGATTCACCGCGCCTCCCCCACCCGTCTCCGTATATCCATGCGCCGGAGGGCTGGCTACCCCACAAAAGCTCGCGGCGCTTCCCCCACAGCTGCGCCCGAAGTGGAGAGACAAGACCAGACTTCCAAGGAGGTCACTCGGAGGCCAGACCATTGGGCCCCTTTTTGGTTGACGACCGGCGTCGGCATGTAGTTGGATGCTATTTATCAACGCAAGTCCGCTCTTGGAAGGACTTCTCAAAATCAACAATGCAGCAAAGAGCTCACAGTCACACCTCATACAATTTGAGTCGGCCGGCGAAAGTGCATACCAAACGTTCCACAGGTCCCCAGTCAGAGCGTCGTCGAGTCTCCCTCCCTCCATCGCTGGTATTGTCATCACGCCTACTGTCCGTGAACCCTGGAAAGCAGTAATCTCTAGAAACTGATCTACAATTTTCGACGCAGAACTGTTCTGTTTTCTAGAAGTAGTCCAAACGGAAGTGGAACCTGTTGTCTGTGTCTGGTGTCTCGAGGACAATGTTGATGTAGCTCCACAGTGCTGTTTATCCATGCGTTTTTGTCCTTCTCCTCCTCGAGTATCTTGATCTTCATGATGGCCATGCTCTTCTTCACTGGGATGCGGCAACAGGGGTACTTTCAGTATGGACTCGTCTACGCTAGGAATGGACCGCTTGGAAACGGGGATAGCCAATTGCAAACCGTCTCCACCTGCATAACTTCGCCACAGACTCACTTCGCAGCGATAGCGTCGTGACGATGGAGAGGAGGACGGAGAGGAAGGATGAGTCTGATCGTCATTTGCTACCTCTAGAACATGTAAAAGTAGCATATTATTCTGCTCTGTATTTTTCCGGAGCTGACTCTTGTCCAATATCTGACGTCTCGCCTTTGTCGCGCGACTACTGCTGCTGCTAGTGGCACAACTTGTTGTAGTACTAGTCGTAGCTCTTCCTTTCACTTCTCGGTCGTCCTGCTCTCCAGCAGTGTGCGGGGAAGCAGTGGTTACAGACCGGGAAAAATCTTGTTCATCATCCCGAGAGGCGAGCGGAACAAGCATCTTTATTTTTCGTAGTTGAGTGGCTACTAGATGTATAGAATGTAGATTTAGAAGTAGTCCAGCATTGTGGTCCCTGATATAGTACACAGCATGAAGATGAGCAGCGGGTGTATAGAATGACAATGACTGGATGTTGATGTACTTGGTCAGTGGCAGCTTTTAAATTAACTTTAATGTTCTTGTGCTGGATTCTGTGTCTCTCAATAATCATTTGTCTCTTCCACCATGTACTAGTCGTGTGTTCCTAGTGCAGTGCTGATGTTATCTGGATACAAAAACTAGTCTATTTGCATACATCATAGCGAGAGCAAAATACTTATGATATTCAATTAGGCCATGCTCGTGTGACAGATTCGCTCACGCGCACTAAAAGAAATCGGAGTTGTTTTTTTCTCCTGTAGTTTTCGTTCAGCAAGAACTCTGTGGCTCGCCGGATTATGATGAGAGGCTTCGGCGCAGCAATTGATGGTGTTGGTGTCCACATAAGTTCATCTTCATAGTTCTTCGACTTTTTTCGAAGCAAAAAAAACTACAGCATCTTTCGAGCACCCACTATTGTATCTCCACTTCCTGATAGATATGATAGATCATTTTTCAAATTGCGAATGCGATATTTTTTTTGAATTTCTTGTGATGCAGAAATTGGTACCGCGCTTTGGCGGACCCCCCAAGCCAAACTTCCCAATACTGTTTCGGCCAAGAAATAAGTTACTATCTGAATGAAAAAAAAAACTCTTTTTGCTCTTCTACCTATCCTAGTGAATCCATCGTAACTGGTGACACTTACCTTAGTTCAGTGAAGCAGTTCGCTGAGTGTGCCGTTAGTCTTGAGTCCGAAAACAATATCTACTAATGTCAAATGATGATGTCGCTGTGCTAAGAACATATCGCGAATTTTTATCGAAGTCTTTTTTGAATAAGCATAAATTCTTTTTCTTCCCCCATCCGATGTCACGATGAGATACATCTTCTTCAATTGGCTCTATTGTCGTTTACAAACAAGGGCAACGCTTATCTAAGATCTACGTAAGTCTAGGTTATACCAATAAAATTCAAATAAGTATTTGTTGAAATAACAAGCGCATTTATGTACACCCACCCCAATGTATCAAAAAACCTCTCTCTTCTCACAATGCAAGGTTCTTGACTCCTCTTACTGTACGGTCTTTGCAATCGATGCTGAGCAAAGCATAGGCTAGTTCTCCAGTGTGGATTTACCACGATCTTTTATCTCTACAACTTCCGTACTCCCAGTTTTTTGCTCTAATTGAAAAAACAGACCAGACCGTGGGCCACTTTCAGAATTTTTCTTTCCCTGAATAGAAGGCCCCCATCTTTTTAATTAAAAACCTTTAGCATAATGATGCTGCAGAACAACAATTTCAATTATTCACATTACATCTACGTCAGATACAGATAGAAAGAATTCATAGTGATAGTGTCCTGAGCTGGACCAGCTCCCATCCCTCTCGTCCCTGTTCGGCATGCCCATGCCGATACCGCAAGTAACCTCATTTACCACTTAGACTTACGCGCTCGCTTTCTTCAACTCAGCTACCTCGCTTGCTAGACGCACGTTTTCAGCATCCATCTCACCGATCAGTGCGTACTGATGGTCCAACGTCTTGTACAGTGTCTGCAGTTCTTCGCTTTTTCCTAGCACGCTGTTCGACAACATGGAACTCTTGTCCACGACACCGGTTACCTGAGATTGGGATGGAAGAAGTTTCCTCTCTTTTCCTCTTTCGAACGGCCTGAGATTGTATCTAGATGATGGTTTCGATTGAGATGTTGGCAGAAGAAGTTCGGTTTCGGTTATTTCGATTGAGATGTAAGAAGTTACCTGAGAAGATCGAGTCGTTCGATTTGACAAGTTTCATTTGGTGCTCGATGTAGCACTATAGATGTATCAGACATGATTTAAGGTTATTCGAAAAACTGAAATAAGCGAGTAACTACTTACAATAAGCGAGATACTGAACAAGGAAGAGTAGCCCTGTCAGAGCTACCTCCCTGGTTTCAGTCAGTAACTCGGTTATTTTCAGTTTTCGAGTAGGTACTATGGTATACTATAGGTACACTCTTTCCTCCCGTTGTAATCTGACTAACGTCTCCCGCAAGCATGCTGTCGCCCCCTGCTCCGGCACTCAGTGCGCCTCCGCTGAGGTCCTTGCGCCTAAATTCTGCCAACAAGCCTTCAAGTTTCGTATTGCGACTGCGCTCCAGCTTCGTTAACTCTGGGGTTTAGAGACAGACTATGATGAGTGAAGAGGTAGACTGGAGAAGATTGAAATCGTCGCACATGAGGGTTAGACCTGACGACCAAGAGAGACCAAATGATGTTCATCATGTCCGTTCAACTGGTGATCCACATGATATATCTATTGATTCAATAGTACGACAAGTTGTAGTGCTCAACAAGGAATAAAAAGTATGCGCGCTCAAATGATGATCTATATGTGTGAATTTCCAGACGGTGATAAATCAAAAAGAGCGAACTATTCCTGCACTAGGAAAATAGATAATCAAAACGAGCACAGCGGGAAGAATGTTCTCTGAGGTTCTACGGGGGGAGAAATGGTCTAGTAGAAGTAGTAGTAGGGAGGTACCCAATCATGGGGTATAGAGCATAATTTTCTTGTTGCAGATCGTTCTTTAGCCGTGTTAACTCGACCATTTGCCTATCTTGGTTGGCTCTTGCTGAAGCCAAGTCCCGCTCTATGTTGAAGCGGCGTGTTTCCACCTCCCTTACTGCCTGACCGCTAACCTGGTGTTATTGGTATCGAAAAAAAGTGGAAATTTTTGTACGTCAATATGATCGTGTATGAATTCCTTAAAACCATGATCTCCGTTAACAATATAATTCTGCTTGTTATTTGTCGTGTCAACGCTTTTTATTATCAACCTCTACTTCTACTACAGGTGCCTGAGTACGAAAAGTTCTTGCTCGAATTCGCGCTCTCTTCGTAGCTTGTCTTCTGCCTCTTGCGTCAGCGTCTCTAATCTGCCACAAAGATCGCTTACTTGCTGTTTCAGGGCAACCACATTCATCCCCTCTTGTCTTGCAGATGAGTTAGAGCTATGCTATTTAATAGTAATCTTCATCTTCTTCAAGAAGACTTCTTGCCTTCTTGTCTTGCAGTGGATGGATTAAAGCTCTATCATCTTCATCTTCATGCATTCTTGTCTCGCTGTTTCAATAGACATAGTGTATTTGATTCTCGTCGAAAGATCGGTAGAGGGCCACTCTTCCGCATCTATGACGCTAATCAATGATCATAACTGACAGTGCCTTTTCCTCTGCGTCGATGAGCGCTTTGTTGCGTGCCGTGTAATCGCTGATCTTCTTTCCGAGCAATGAAGGGTGAGGAATTATTTGTAATCGGTCCTATAGGGTGAGGAATTATTTGCAATGAAGGGTGAGCAGGAATTATTAATGTATTAGTCTAAATGAAACGCACTCATTTCTTCATCGACCAACAGCTTTCACGACTAGAACAAGCTAGTACTAGAAAGCTCCTAGTAACAAGAGCACGACTAGAAAAAATAAGCCTTTTCCTGACACAGGAGACACCATAAAGCTTCATCCTTTTCGAGTCGGAGCTCTTTCAAAGCGGCCTGCTGCCTCTGCGATTCTTCCACCATCTCTTTATATAGCTGGACCATGTCATCACGCTCTAGCTCCGTGATCTTCAAAGTCTGCAGATCTTTCTGTTGAGCGACCTGGAGTAAGTGAATGGTTCCGGTTTTTGGTACTAGCCTGAATTTATTGATTACAAAGGTTGTTCTCTTCTTGTTTTTCCTTATGATCAAATTCAGGCTATACCAGAAATGCTGGAAGCATACAATAAGCGACGTGTTTAATAGAGGGAAACTACAATTCTGCTGATTTATAGACCTACAGAAGGAGGTACAGCTACAGTTGTACATCATGAAGCTACAGAAGTTGTACTTCATCAAGGTGGATTTTAAAGCCATATTATTTTGCTTCATTGAATTTGATTTTGAAGTAAGTTTTTATGCAACAATATCAAGATCACTTCTGGTGATAGAAAGTACTATTCATTGTCCCTCAAGGAATGCAAATGAGCGACTGCGTTTTGATGAGTCATCCAAGAAGTAAGTCTCAATTTTCTCAAGATCAACACTACAATTATTAGTTCTTCACTCTTTCCACAGAAAGAGGCAAAGACTAGGCCAGCAAGATCTTGTTACACGTTTATAGCAGTGGAAAGCTCATCTCGAATAATTATGTTTAAACGCCAAAAAACAAAACTATAAAAAAGCAATCGCACAAACCTGAAACTGATTCCTCTCGGCAACAGCAAGTTCCTTGTCCCTGTGCAGCTGGTCGATCTCCTGAGACAGGGCGCCGTTTTCTTTCGTCATCACACTCAGATCGTCAGCATAGGTGTCAAGGTCCCGACGATAATTTATTATGTCCGCTCGCTGCTGCTCGAATGGTATGAAAGAAATGGTGGCGACGGTAAAACGAGAGATGTCTAGAGGGTAAGAGAGATGTCTAGAGGGTAAGAGAGATGTCTAGAAGAGGGTAAGAGAGATGTCTAGAGGGTAAGAGAGATGTCTAGAGGGTAAGAGAGATGTCTAGAGATGTCTAGTGGTAAGTACTTAAAAGAGGGTTGGAATAGGAATACCCAGGCGCGGTGAGTGGGAGGTCGCTACAGCTAGTCTTGAAGAACCATCTGCTCAGAAATAGCGAAGATCCTCATGATGATTACTTATGTTGAGAGAGGAAGAACTATTACAACTATAGTCGTCATATTTTTGCTATTCATCGAAGACAAAAGCACCAAGAACATGTTCAAAAACGAAACCATAAGTTGTTGTTGCATATCCGCTTGTCGTAGTGCGTGGTCCTCTAATTGTCTTTCTCGGTCTGTCAACTGTCCTTGAGAAATGTCCAGTTTTCTTCTCAGCTCCTCGATTCCTTGCTGCAAACCAGCCTCTATCTTCTTTCCCTCGTCGAGCTGCAGCACAAGCACACGCACCTCCTGGGACTTTGGAATGAAAGAGGAAGGGCGAAAATGGGTTGATGTAAAAATGTTCTTTTCGGGAAAAAAATGAAAAAATGGTCCTTCATGTGCAACAACGTCGTCCGCAGTGGGTTGATGTAAGTTAGTTAGTATTAGAGGTAGGTTTTTGGTGCTCGCTTACCCCGCTTTTTATGCCTTTCTCCCTTAGGAGAGGCATAAAAAGCAGTAAGAAAAGCACCTTTAACCTACCCTTAATAGTAGTTGATAAGATTATAACTTCTAGTGAAACAAAATAACTACAAGAAAAGTGAAGGGTCTTCTTCTATCGAGACTAGTCTAGATAAAAATGTTCTTTTCGGGAAAATGAATGGTCCTTCATGTGCAACAACGTCCGCCATAATTTCATCAGCCTGCGCTTGTATTTTATCTCGCTCGATGTCGATTTGTTTCAGTGCCTCTTTCAATGAGTCTATTTGAGCCGCGTTGTCCGCTGCTGCTTGTGCGTTATCTTAAAGGTTGTGAATCACTATCCCCGGTTGAGTCTCTCTCCCCTCTCACTATCCTCTTGATAGCTCTAAGGCGAATGCACTCAGCACAGACCAGGTGACCAGAGCCAGGTGCTAGTGGTGATGTTGATGATGTAGTACCCAACAAGCAGTAAGGGTTATGAGCACAGTCCACGCGAGATAGTGATTGACATCACGCCTTAATTGTTACTCGTATTCTGAAGCATACGCGCTCTTGTGTCGCGTTCTAGATCTAGCACGCGCTGAGTTTCCTGCAACTGCGACACGAGCTGCTCTCGGGTCTGCTCTAAGGAATTCACCTTAGCGCTCACACGAAGACGAATTCATCTTTATCTTACTTTAAGCCAAATTCATCTTTATCTTACAACTTTATTTAACTTCTTGGAGCTCCTAGTCCTAAGGCTTTATTTAACTTCTTTGAGCTCCTAGTCCTAAGGTCATATCCTCAGAAACCAAGAAGGGAACTGAGAACAACAAAGCTCTCCCCTTTCCCTTCCTTTTCCCCTATTCTCTAAAGGGGTCGCTTCGACCATGATTGGCATTGGAGGTGTGCAACAAGAAGACCATGATTGGAGAAGGAGATGTGAAGGCTCCTACTAGTCCTATGTGATGATGAATGAATATCAGGAGCCTTAATCATCACACCAGTAAGCTGTGTCTTTTCCGCTTGTAGCTCGGCAACCTGTGTTTCCAGGCTCTCGACTTTGGCCCTGTACTGGCCACTCTCCGCAGTTAGGTGCTGTTCTGACGCGGCCTTTGTGTCTGGTGCGGCGAACAAAGTGGAAAGACTTTTTCAGACGAGGTCGTTAATGTGCTGTGCTAGAACAATTAGAATTGCATCAATAATTATTTTCATTTCTAACTCGAAAAAGTCTAGTCGACGTCGAAATCCACCAAGAAATCACAAGCTACCCAAGATAATCTTACAGTCTACTTAGCTGCATCCTCTAGTACTAATAGAAGTACCTCCCACTTGCCTTGCCTCCTTGAGCTCTTCCCTGAGTCGGTCTAGTTCACGCACGAAGACGAGGCGTTCTTCCTCAAAGTTATCGAGTTTCAATTTTGTTGCTGTCCTGCCTAACTCAACTTGCTCCTTCAGCGTTGTCGCTTCCTGCGCTTGATCTTCCAAGGCATTTTTCTCTCGAAATTAGAAAGAGCTCGCTGTTATGGTTAGGTTATGGATCCTGCACCAAATGCAGCAAATTGTCTTGTCAGCAAATCATCTTGTCCTTTCCCCATAGAGATCCGTTATGGTTTCGGCGTTGGTAAGTGAACAGGCCAACTGCACAGTTGGCTTAGTGGGGTAGGCGTTGGCCTGTTCACTTATCAGTGGTTAAGGGGAGGTTGGCGTTGGAGATTGTCGTGATGCATGCTCCTACTTGGTTCTCAAAAATTCATCTTTTTCTTTATTATTAGTAAACTAACCATATATAAGAGCACTTCAATGCTGATCAGGATCCGAGATTGATAGAAACTCAAAAATTGATCAATGCTGTACTAATACTATATTATGTGGAGCCAGCATAATGTTCGAGAGCGGCCTTCTGTTTTTTCAGTTCGTCGCACAGCCGCTGAATCCCTTGCAGGCTTGCTTCCTTGCTCTGCAGGCCCTTCTGGGCGGCCTCCAGGTTCGATGCCAATTCCTGGTTTTGCTCGGCTAGAAAATGAAGAGACAAGAAGGATAGCACTAGTAGTACTCGCCGTGGGACAAGAAGGTAAGTAAACAGTAGAAATTAGTTGGTCCTCGTGGTCACCGCCAGGGGACTAGTAGCTATTTGTGGGCTAAAAAATATTAATATGGCATGAAATATGGAAAGTAGCTCTTTGTAAGCTAAAAAATAAGGAAAGTCTTCCTCACTAATAATTGTGGTGGAGCCGACCTAACTATGGAATAACACCATGCCAAAAGCGAACATAGAAAAGCGGTTTTTTAGCCAAAAAACGTACAGGAAGCCCCGGGATCAGTTGGGCAGTATTCGTCTCAAAATGGAAAATTTTCATTCTGAGACGAATAAAGTACAAAAAAGCGCTTTTTTTGCGTTATTTGTACATAATTCGTCTCAGAATGAAAATTTTTCATTTTGAGACGAATATTGCCCACCTGATCCCTGGGCTTTATGTGCGTTTTTTGGCCAAAAAACCGCTTTTCTATGTTCGCTTTTGGCATAGTGTTACTCCATAGACCTAACTAGAAAAGAGACAGACCTGAGAAAGATATAAAAGAGAAAAGGGTAACTATCAACAAGTATCCTCAAGTATCCTGCTAACTGCTAAAGTCTTCCTCACTAATAATCATAAAGTGTGAGAACCTCTTGCTGAATGGAGGTCATCTCGTGGTTGAAGGATTCTACACGCTGGACCAGAGATTTTTTCTCTGCATGGAGTTCGTCGGTAAGCTCCACATTTCGCTTGCTAACCCGTTGTATCTCAATCTTCAAAGCTGTATTCTCTACCTCATATTCTTTTCGCGTCTTGCTAGCTTCCGAGGCCAAGCGCACGATATCGGACTCTTTACCTTTGATGTTGTTGGAATTCAGTGGAGAACTATACCTATAGCAGCAAGTGGAATTGTTCAGTGAGCAGCAAGTGGAATTGTTCAGTGGAGAACTATATCTACAGCAGCAAGTGGAATTATTCAGTGGAGAACTATAGCAGCAAGTGGAATTGTTCAGTGAGCAGCAATTGAAATTGTTCAGTCGAGAACTATATCTACAGCAGCTTTAGTATAACTAAAAATAATACTAGCTACTTCATCCACTTCTAAATGTACTAAATGACTCAGCAAAAGCGACATCAAAGAAAAGCAGTACTCATCCCCGTTCGCATAGCCCTCTCGAGCTTCTCCTCCAAGTCAGCCTTCTCTCTCTTCGTCTCCTTCACCTTTTCGATCCAACTATCGACTTCGCTCTTGAGCGTTTGCGCATAGTTAGAAGAAAGGTGAGCATATCTTCTGTGTACTTAAAATGCAGTTATAAAGTGGTAACGCGGTAGTAGATGATACCTTGATTATTTGTTATGTATTTAAGTACTTAAATCTATAATGCAGTTTTTCTAGACGATGGTGGATTAATCAATCTGATTCTGTATTTTGAATTATTAACTAAGTATCTATAAAATATACAAACGCTATCGCATTCCAACAAGGAAGACCTCGTCTACTTATAGCATAAATTCAGCTTCTAGTCGCGCGACCCTTTCCTCCGAGAATTGCAGTGTTCTCTTAGTCGTAGCCAGTGTCGATTTTGCCTCACTTTCGGCAGATCGTATCACTAAGGCCTCGTCATCTCGTCGTTTCCTGACATCTGATTCCAATGCGGCTTGTCTCAAAGTTAGAGGTAGGTACTCTATATTCTTGTGCAGCGGTCTATTGAATTTGCCGCCTAGAATAGTCAGTGCATCAAATATAAGTGCTCAGGAGTTCTTCAAGGGATCCAGAACCATTTTTTCGAGACTTGTGTCACGTTCTTCTTCTCCCTTCTTCTCCAGAACCAGAACATCCAGGACGGACCAAAAACGAATCAAAAAGAAGGTTGCCTATACCAGAACATCCACAGTCATAACTTAAGTTCAGCAATGGTGGTTGTCTGAGACTCGACTTCAGCTTTGAGAGCTGAGATTTCGAAGCTCATGCTCTGAATCTCAGCGTCCTTTGCGCCTATGACCATCAATCGGTCCTCGAGGTACCTGAGAGGAAGAATCAAAGTTGGTCGTGGGACATGTGATCCACGACATTCAACATACACGATCACAAATTGAAAGAATCGAGAATCGAGAATAACCAGAATCGAGAATCGAGAATGTAACCATTTAAGTACTAGACAGGAATATTCATCTCTAATGATATCGATTGGTATAATATGCCTGTCTGGAATATACTTATAATGAAAGTGAAGCGTGACGAGAAGAGGAAGACATAAACTGTGCCTGTGTAGTTACGGAAGAGCATTACCTGTCGTACTTGTACCATTGGATTTGGGAAAAGTAAGTAATAAACAAGTACTTCTGCATGCTTCCTTTCTCGGTTGCCATCTCGTTTAGATTGCTCATCAGCTCTGTCACCTGGCCACTTAGTTCCTCGCGTTGCTTCTTCACACTTGTTGTGCTCATGGCGGAACTATGCTCTAGCAATCTAAGACGTCTAATTTCTTGATCTTTTTCTTCGATCTCAGCAGCTTTGAGTGCAAGTTGGGTCCGCGTGTTCACCTTCTCTGCATTGCTCTGCGCTACCTCGTCTGATAATCGACTAATGGTCTCCTGAAGCTCCAATGCCTTCGCATCTCCGGTTAAGTCCTCTACTGGACTAGAAATTAGAGAAGTCAGAAGCACTGATCCTACACCCTAGTAATAATTTTAGAGGCGTCCTAACTAGGAGAGTAGATATAAAAAATTATAATATTTCTAATAACCTAGTAATCAAATGTTATTTATAATAACCTGATCCCTTACCCGAGATAGTAAAAATCAATATCTTCCAAATTTTATTCTGTATCTAAGTAACATGACCGTCTCATGACCTAATATCTAAGTAACATCTGCTAGGTCTCATACCTTCATGGCCGCTTCCAGTCGCAACTCCAAGATCTTGCTTTGATTTTTCACGGTAACAAGCTGCTCACGTGCTTCCGACAACTCCATCTTCGTCTTCTCCTGCGCCAGCTGTTCGTGCCGCAGCGCTTCCTTGGCTTGTATTAGAAATTATAGGGCACAATCTACTTGTTACAACAATCAACTTCTTGTTACAACTAGAACTGTTTTATGTTTTTCCCTTTCATCATCGTAACTGTGAGGCTTCCACTTCTGCCTGCTTATGTGCAGCGTGTTTCTCGAGTACTGCTTTTTCGACTGCGCTATGTTCCTTGGTTAGGTCGGTTAGTTTGTCGACTTGGCAGGGGATGAAAGAAGCAGAAGGGAAGGAGCTTCTCGCCTTGGCATTGGATGAATGAACATGATGCCAAAAAATAATAGGGTAACGGAGAGGACTACATCAACAATCGCGAATGGATACAGAAACGAGCACGCAGTGAAGTAGATTTATACTGTGTAGAGTAGCTTCGTTAAACGACGACGGTGCAACTAACTTGTGCCAGGTACTGTCCTAAATTCTTACGTAGACAAAAGTGACTGCCACTCAGTGACAAGTCCACCTACACCTCCTCCATGATGTCATAACTTGCAACTTCTCCTCTTTTTCAATAGCCATTTGGTAGCGAGTTTGCATTGCTGCGAGATCGTGCTTCAGGTTGTTGTGTGCGCGCTTTAGGTTCTCCACATATTGACCGTTATTCGACGCTGACGAGCCTCCCGCTGTCTCGGGCTATGAAAGTGGAAAATAGATAAGCGTCAGTGTCGGGAAGCGGAAGGAGAGAATGAAAAAATGAAAATGTTGGAACTAGACCCGATAATTCCACTTCCTCTTTAAATAATCAAAGAAAATGTTGGAACTAGACCCGACAATTCCACTTCGTCTTTATTATATAATCAATGAATACGAATAGGAATACTGTATAAGTACTTTCAGTGCGAATGAGAAAAATGAGATCGACAACGTGACATAACAGATTGTCCTGTAATTTCTGGTTTTCTGCCTCTAGTTCTGCAATTCGCCGTGTCAGATGTGTTGTAGTAGATGCATCATCAGCATTCCTCCTTTTCGATGGTGAATTCAATGTTCGCTCATGTCGCAGCTCCGTTTCAAGCGCTACCATTTTTCTTAGAACTCGCGATCATCATCATCATCATCATCGTCCAGATTCATACTTATTTGAGCTACTTAACTACTATAGATACATCAAAGCATACATACTGCTCTTCACTTCTTCCTAAGGAGGAAACAAAGAGAGACGCTCTGTTAGGATGAATTATCGTGAGCCTTAATTTCCGTTGCAGGTCTGTTTCGCTGTCAGTGTATCGCTGAGTCAGCGTTCGCACTTGCTCACGCGCCTGCCGCTCGGCATCGGCGCGTGCGTCCTCGGCCTCTCGTAGGCGGCTCTCAACCGCTCGTACGGTTTCGTCGGTTTCCTCATACCGCTGCTTGAGCAAATGAAAGCTCTCTACGCTTTTCAGCAAGTCCTGTAGCAGATGATCCACAATGGGCGCCGCGGCCTGAGGAAAGCTCTCGGTGTAGTGGAGCTCGGCCAGGCGCCGCTTTAAGACGGCGTACGAACCTCCACCTCCGACGTTGCTCATCTTGTTGTTGCGTGATGTGGTTGTTGTTGGTTCCTCAGAAGCTTAAAGAACAGGAGGAGGTTGTAGTCTTGGAAGTAGTTCTTGCACAGAAGTTCTACTTGTGGCTCATCGCGGCAAACAATAAATTCGACGTCATCTCTTGGCGTAGCTAAGTAATCTCTGAAGCGCAAAGTGTGTCGTGACTCCAATGCTGCTTCACGCTACGAGCCCGACGCCTCCGCAAGAGCCATTTTATCTCTTCTCTCGTATAGGGCCCAATACGGCGCCACAATCACGACTGACAATCCCTAATAGTTGTGGTGGAGCCGACCTAACTAGAAAAAAGACAGACCAGAGGAAGATATAGAAGAGAAAAGGGTAACTATCGACAAGTAACCTAAAGTGTCCTGCTAACTGCTAAAACTAATAGTAATAACCATATCAACATTATAGACTCTCCAGCTCCAGGTCCAGCATTTTTCAACATTAAGTATTTACACAAACGACTCCCGTCATCAAAGTCAGTTTAGAGCAATAATGCAAGTCATCAGTTTACTTGCAGGGGCCACGGCTCCAGACAGGCTCCAGAATGGATAGACGTCATCAGAGGAGTTTCTTCTATCTCAGCCTCTCGCCATCACTTTCTTCTGTTGATGTCTTGAAACTTTGCACTGAGAAAAACCAGACAATTCTTTTCTCTTTCCTCGTCCAATGAAAGATAGCACGTCCACCACTAAGAAGGTGCAGGTCTTCACTATCAGCTTCAGAGAACAACTTCCAAGACGATGCCGGTGAGGTCGTGTCGGCTGCGCAACACACAGGCTGCTTCATGATAGGAAGGAGTCAAGTAACCAGGTATGAGCATCATCGTCATGTGTTCCACCCCGTTCAGTCTCGAAGTCTGTAGAGGGCGGCACTCAACCACCTAACGGGTTATACTTTTTTAACCTCAATGGGCTCGGATGTACACGGCAAGCTCTGCGCATTTTCTAAAGCCGTGACGTTGGGTACGCCTCGCTATCACACGAGACTAATGCTGAGCCCTGCATTACTGATATATTATCCGCGTCAACGGGGAAGGGGATAAGCACGTAGAAATTGGAATAACAAGTAGAGCAGTCTAAGCCTAGTACTACACGTCTGGGGTTTTTCACTTCTGATAAAATCAGCAAAGCTCAAGGCATTTATATACATGATTTGGAACTACGGCGATCGTGCGTCGAAGCACAAGAAATTATGTCAGGGATATGATAGATACAAATAGCTCGAAATAAAAGGACAGATTCTTTTAACTTTTTACTGATGATGTCTGCGAAAATATGTAATACTTCATCATGTAGACAGGAATAAAATAAAATTTTTCATGATACAAGTTCTGCTCATATTATAGCTCATCATTGAAATTGACTCTCTACTTTTGTTCCAAAGAGATGTTGCCTTGATAAAGGCTCGAGTCAATCTCTCGTCTCGAAGACTCTGAAATGTGGTCGAGACGGGCTCGAGGCTTGTAGCATTAGAGTAGAAGCAGACGGTAGCTGCTCCATAAGCTAATGATCCAAGTTCAACAGGAAGATGTGTTTTCGAAAAGCGCGATTATACAACTGATGGCTGAAGAAAGCTACTCCTGTGTTGTCAAGTAGAGCGTTGGTCATGTATGTTGAAGTCGCAGCGTCATTCTTGTGCAGCTGCGAGTTCTTCAACTTCAGCCCCCGCGCCTATCCCTTCGACCGCCTGAAAATACCGCGCGACTCGATCACGCGCCTGCTGATTCACAAACACCGCTCTCACGCTGTTTCTCGAACCCTGTTGCGCCAGGCGTTTCAGCACTTGCTCCAGCTTCTGCACCTCTTCCGGGCCGCAGTCGAACGTCGTAGCCTTCGTAAGGAGATACTCTGCCACATCCATCCGCAAGCCGCCGCGCTGCAACTTCAGCAACCCTGACGCGACCTCCGAGGCGATTTCCGGCTTCTCCCCGTTCTCGCCTGCGAGCAGTAAAAATCTCCCGGCGTTCGTCCATAGCCGTTCGACGTGGTCTCCGATGGCCCGACCGTGTAGCACGTGCCAGAGGTCGCGGGCCTCGACACACCAAGCGTCTTCGCAATCGTTGCTGTACTGGAGTATTGAGCGAAAGTGGGCGACTGTGAAGGTGCGGAGGGTTCGCAAGGTAGCGTCTCCAGTAGTCGCGTTTCCAGCTGCTGCTGCATCCAGCCGATCAGGAGTCTCGCCATCCTTGCCTGCGGAGAGAATCTCGGAGACGCCTGGTTGTGTTTGGTTCCGCTACAGCACTAGCATGCTCAACTTGCGGCAAGAACAGTAGTTTTACACTAAATCTGTAAAGTCAACCTACTTCTAGCACTACTTCAAGATCAAGCTGGGTGAGTGAATGAATGCACTTAGCGTGAGGCGTTGGAAATCGTTTTTATATCGCTTTTCGATAAATTGTAGCTGCCCAACGAAGAAAGAGAAACCATTGCAACAGAAGTATGCGCACTTTTTTAGTAACTAATTTTTAGTCATTCGCTTTCTCGTCACAGCTCCTATTTGGGGTTTTTACTCTACTAAAAAAGTCACATCCTGATTAGTTGGATTTTACGCAAATGTTTATCATAGTGCTTCGTAAGAAAACCACTGAAAACGTCAAATACAAACGTCAGCGGCCGTGAGCTAGTTTTTGTGCCGTGTTGTAAAGTAGAACTGTGATAGCCCAAAACCATTCTTGAAAACTCTGAGACCTAGTTGAAGATTGCTTGAATGTCAAGACTATTGGGCTGCAACATTCACAAGACACTAATGACAAAGTAACTCAGATGAAGTAAAGATGCAAAAGGGCTCAACCAGCAGTAAACTGAATTTCTGCGGAACAAGACATAGACAGGTCGACTATGAATAAAACATGAAGATCTAATAAATATATATACATATGGTCCTCCTGTGCTGCAAGAAGAGTCTAAATTATAGTACTTAGGTAACACGTTTCGAAGCTGAAAGCGATATCATTTCTTCAAAAATGTAGTACCTCCAGCTGCAAGCGTATCCCCGCCGTCGATGTCCATCGGCGCCGCCCCTCCATTCTCGACCTCCGTCTCATCAAAGACTGTCGGTGCCTTTATCGCGTGATATTCATCGCTGGTACTCTGTCTTGGCTGGTCCGGCGCTTGCAGGAACATAGCGTACCTACCGGAGAATAGCCGTGCGCGGTCCGGATCTTCCAAGAAAGGATCGGACGCAAGGAAGCGTAAAATCTCTCCTACTAGCTGATCTTTCTTCGCTGCCTCTACCGCGCGATTTAGATGAAACGCTTTGCTGTGGGCCCAGTCGAGAACAAGTAAGGTATTCGGTGTCGCTAAGATTCCGGCTTTGGCAGATTGGAGGCCGGGGTCGAGTAGATCAACGACGTCAACAGCGGAAATATCCGTCTTCAGACGAAGCCAAGCCCAGGCAGCAGTTGCGAAGACCTGAAATCAGTGTGCAAGTCGAATGTTGGAAAGCAAAAAGCGTTAAATTGGTAAATAATCGTCTTCAAACTGTAAACGGAGACACCTCAAAGAAACTTGTCGCCCAATAACGTGGTAAGCATGAGATAAGTGCCACAAAAAAAAAGCTGCGAGATAGAGGAGAAGAGAAGCGAGAATGCATGTAATTATGCGAAAAGATGAAGCACACGCAAGGAATCCTACATGAGGCAAGGCGCAGAAAAGAGCTGTCTCTACTTCAAGCTACACGAGAAGAAATCTAGCAACTATGTACCTTTTTGCTTTCCGGTGTGGTCTTCGGTGCCGTCACCCGGTACTTGATGATCTGCCCAGCCAGCTCTTCAACGTAGCACAGCGCTGGCGCTGCCATTAGCGTGCATAATGTCTCTGCGTCGGTGTGCTTCAGTACCTCCGATGGGTTCCTCGACGCAGACAACAACCTGCAGTAAGCCTCCGGATTGCCAATCACCAGCAGCCCTCGTCTACCATGCTCCGCCCAGTCCATGCTGTGCCCCCGCTGTAACGCTGCGATCACTTCCTCCAAATCTGCCTCGTCGCCTCCCCAAGAGAACGCTCGCCCCTCTGCATGTGAAGGCGCGCTCCCTTCAGAGCTGAGTTCGAAAGGAAAGCCAACCTGGTCCACAAAAGCAACATTTGCGAACAAGTTTGACAAATTCGAAATGCCTCTGATTCGGTCGGGGCGCTTCGCAATCGAATTCAAAGCATACGCCACCCAGGCCGCAATGCGTACCGCCGGTGGGCTATTGTACAGAGCGACGTTGGAGTCGAGAAATTCTGGAAGCGTCATCAAGTTATCGTCGGTAAGAACGGAGTGCGCGGCGTCGAATACAACGGCAGTCGCGGTTCGAGGCTGTTCGGTAGGCAAGTACCCTGTAACCCCGAGGAAAGCCCGCACGAAGCTCGTTATTGTCCTCGTAGACACCGTCGGCACTTTCTGCGCGAGTAGCGCTTCGCAGCGCCTCTGCAGAAGCTCGGGAATAGGCGGCTCGCCTAACAAGTCTTCGAAGTCAGTCACGAGCCTGAGAGAAACAGACTCATCTCCAAAGAGCAAGCGACTTACGCGGAACCAAACCAGAATGGCCTCCCGCAGCTTCTCGTCGTAAATGTGCCGGCTTTCCATTACTTCCCTAACTTTCTGCTCCGTCAGGTGCGTGTCGAGAAGTAAGTGTCTTGACTCTTCCAGACTGCGCATGCGGTTCCGGTCCCGAGAATCGACGCGGTTTGCGATCAAGACGGCCGTGAGTGCTGTTTCGGTTTGCAGCCAGTCGAATAAGATTTCTTTTTGTTCCTCGCTGAGGAAGTGGTACTCGTCGACGATCAAGAAGATACTGCGCCCAGCGCTGCATCGTTTCGACGATCCGCGAGCGATTGGCGCTTTCTGCGACTCTCCTGCGCCTCCGCCTTTGCTCAGCTGCGTCGCCTTCTGAAGCAAACTCTCTAGGCTGTGCTTCACGAGCTCCGGTGAGCTCGCGTCGAAGAGTGTAACCCTCGAGCCAGGGACGGCCTCTAGCTCCGCGCGCAAGTCAAGCATAAAGTGGGTTTTTCCGGTTCCAGGTGGCGATACCAGCATGACGAGCGGGATCCGCTCTGCTGGGTCGGAGCTTAAGAGAGCCTTTCGCATTTCCTGCCCGAAGTCCCCCATTAGCTCACTTCGCTTGCTCAGGTTGATTTTGTCTTTCTCAGGATAGAAATTCTGGAAGTAGTCGAGCAAGCGACTGCCAGAACCTAAGTATTGC